CTACAGCGAATGACCGATCACTCGATTTCCGTTCTGCCCGTGAACGACGCCGAGACGGGCGAGTTTATAGGCTCCATAGCCAGCGACGAAGTCGTGGAAATGATTGTCCTCACGGCGCAGGGGCACGAAATCTAGTTGTCCTAACGCGCCCCGCCGTTTCGATGCCGCTGAGTCCTCGGTCGTCTCGACGCTAACCTACCCGCCGGTATCCGGCGACCAGTTGTACACCTTTGTCAGCGCCCCGCCCATCAGCATGGCGCGCTCGGAGTCCGAAAGTGTGTCGGTAACGCGGAACGCCTCGACGCCCTGCTCGTAGGTCAACACATTCGATGCCCGCGTCCAGTCTGTGCCCCACAAGCACCGCTCGAAGCCGAATGCCTCGAACATCCTGCCCAGCGGCTCCCAGATATCCGGGTAGGGGAACGGCTCATGCGCCAGCGTGCAGGCGCCGGAAATCTTGATGGCAACGTTGTCGAACTCTGCCATCGCCAGCACACTATCCAGTTCGGCGAACGGCTCCGGCGGCGCGGGTGGATGGCGCGGCTGGGCGAGTCCCACATGGTCTATCACAATCTGCGTACCAGGATTGCGGCGAGCCAGTTCGCGCAATATCGGCAGATGACCCGCAGCCATAATGTTAACCGGAACGCCTGCCTGACCCGCAGCCGCAAGAATGGCGTGAAGGCCGGGGTGGTCACCGTCGTACTCCCCGTAAGTAAGCATGATGCGCGCGCCCACAACACCGGGTGTACCGGTCCATTCGGCCATGTCATCGGCTATCGTCTCCGATTCCGGGTCGAAGGGCCTGATTATGCCGAACCTGCCCGGATGCTTCGCATAGACCTCAAGCGCGTAGCTGGCGTCGAAGCGATACATGGAGTACGGCGAGACCAGCAGAGCGCCGTCCACAGCCGACCGCGTCCATCGCCGCCACCATATCGTCGCCGGTAACCTCATCGGGACCGTCAAGGAATCCCTGCCAGGGACGCTCAGGGCTGTTGCGCTCGTAGGCATGCACTTGTGAGTCGATAGTGGGAGTCCCGTTCAGCCATCGCCATTCTCCTTGCTCAATATATTCTCTATTGCGCTCAGAATCAGCCGCTCACCATCGGATAGACATGGTAGCCGCGCTGCAAGTCCAGCGGAATCTTTTCTCCCGTCCAGCTATCGCCGCCGTCCGCGCTGGCGAAGAAGTGCCCGTAGTTCGTGGTGCAGAACAGATTGTCAGGCACTCTGGGGTCTATCGCCACCTGGAACATGCGCCCCGGCGGTTCATCGCCGATGTCCAGCCGCTCCCAGCTCTCGCCGGTGTCTCGGCTGCGGAAGAGCGCACCTGCCTCCTGAGTGCCGGATGGCGCGCCGCCACCGCCTGCGCCTGCCGCGAGGTATATCGTCTCAGGATCGTCCGGCGAGACCAGCAGGCCCCGGCAGTACGAGCCGCCGGGGAACATCTCGCCGAAGCGGATATGCTCCCAGTTGCGTCCCTTGTTGCGGCTGCGGAACATCGCCACCTGCGCGATGATGAACACCGTACCGGGCGCGGCCGCGCTCACCTGAACGCCGTGCAGGTCAACCGTGTGGTTGTCGCGGTACAGCCCGTCCGTCAGCGAGTCCCACGACTCGCCGCCGTCCCTGCTCGCGATCAGCCCGCCAACCTCGACCGCGCCATAGATGTCGTCAGGCTCGGAAGGATCAGCGCAGAGGCCGATGACGCGCTTGCCCAGCGGAGGCATGTAAGTCGTAACATCCGGGTATTTTACCCGGCTCGTGTCCATCTGCTGCCATGTCGCGCCGCCGTCCTCAGAGCGCGCAACACCGCAAGGCTCGTACCCCGCGTAAAGCACATCCGGATTGCCCGGGCGGAACGCCAGCGACCAGACATCGGCTTTCGGCGCGTCCAATGCCTCCCAGTGCTCCCCTCGGTCGTCGCTGCGGTACGGCCCGTCCTGCGTGCCGGCAAAGATGACTGCAGGGTTGTCGGGATGAATCGCCAGCGCCCGCACCTGCGGATTCTCCGGCAGGCCCTTGGCAATGCTCTGCCATTCCGAATCCCCGGCAGTGCGCCGAATCATACCACCCTGCCCGATAGCGTCGCCCTCGCCCGCGAGGCCGATGTAGATATGTGTCTGGTGTCCATTGGTAGTCATCGGTGCGCCTCCATTTTCATTGATTTCGCCATTAAGCCATCTTTTCTGTCCCGTCCAGCGATGTCAGTTACCCCAACTCAAAAGTCTTCACCCACACGCCCGGCGACCCAACCGCGTGCTCCATCGTATTTTGCCAGAGTTCATTGCGCGGGTCTATCGCGCGCTGGCGCAGCCACTCGTCAGTCTTGGAAACGTCTGGGTCCTCCAGCTCATAAACAGTGCTGTATGCGGGCTCGCCTACAACCGCGCGATAGCGCCTGCCGCGTATGCAGCCCGGCACCTTCATGTAGTTCGGCACATAGACGCTGTTGTACCACTCGTTCCACTCCGCATCCAGCTCCGGCGGCACCGTCATGCGTCCGATTTGCAGCACAGGCGCCATCCCGCTCTGCGCCACGTCGTCCGTCACATCGGCGGGGAATATCTGCTCGTAGGTGTTGCGGATGTACGTGGTGCCAATAACCTCAGGCGATGCCCGTTTCGTCCACTCAGTGGCGTTGCCGCGCACGCTCAGGTACGCATCAGAGGTCATCACGCCGATGTTCTCCAGCTCATACATAGCCAGATGCTTGGGCGCGCCCGGCGAATCCGACTCGTACCGCGCCGCGCTCAGCACACCCGGTATGGCAAGCCGCTCCGCCAGGTGCTCCTCGTTGTACCAGCCATTGAAGTCGTCCTCCTTGTCCGCAGGCACCTCCGCCCACACCATCAGCAGGGCGCTCCCCTTCTTGTTCACCATAGTGTCAATCTCCTTGTCTGTTGCCAGTGATCAGTTGCTAGTAATCAGATATTAGCTTTCTTGAGCCAAAGGATCATGAACATCAAGATTCTCTACCCACCGAAAATCTCCGATGTTGCGTGTCAATAGCGGAATGCTATGTACTAAGGCGGTTGCAGCTATGATAGCGTCACCGAGTTCTATTCTGCGCTGTTGACGCAATCCAATAGCCCGGTCCGCGATTTCGGTAGTCAGGTGTATTACTTCGATGGATCGAAAGAACTCTTCAAAAAAGCGCTTTCGATAGTCATCCAGTCTTCGAAAGCCCAAGACTTCAATATAGCTTGCGATTGAGACAGCCGTGTCTTGTTCTTCAACGAGTTGCTGCAAGTCGGCATACTCAGGTTCTGCAGAGTAAATGACGATGTTGCTGTCCAGAAGTATCATAGCTCGCGCCCGGGCAGTGGCCGGTCTTTGCGGATCTCCCGCTGCCAAGCCACGGGGTCTGGTATTTCGGGAACTCCCCCTCTCTTGGCTATCTCTCTCAACGCCGCTGCCGCTTTCGCGCGCCGTTCCTTGTTAGTCTGTGGTTCATCTCCGTCTTCTTCCCACACGCTGATTTCAACCTCAAGCGGCACGTTCGTCTTGGGTTTGCCACTCACCCATTCCACATAGTCGTAATACTCTTCCGGATCGTGGCGAATAACAGCCTTGTAGGTGTGCTTCTTCTTTTCCATATTCCCGCCTTTGACACGCATGAATTGGGCGGCTTCAGTCAGCCGCATGTCCAGTATAGCCGACACGCAGGCTTACCCACTTACAGGATTGCCGCCCTGCTTGCTATCACTAATCATCCCCCGGCACAGGCTCCGCCACCTTCGCCGAGAAAGCCGGCATGACCTCTTCCGCGAACCACTCCAGCTGCTCAGTGATGACCGCTTCCGGCGTGCCAACCGGCTGGCTGACGCTGATTCTGTCCAACCCAGGGTACGCCTCTTCCACGCGCTTGAGATGCTCTGTAACCTCTTCCGGAGTGCCGCACAGGAAACCGCCTGTCTCGACCGCGCCCTCGATGCGCGGCAGGTCGAAGGTAGGCGCGCGCTTCGGGTCGCTCATCGCCTCAATCTGCTCTTCGCTTAGGGCGCGCACCAGCCGCAGCGGGCCGAACATCTTCAGGTTCTCCTCGAAGAAGCCCGGCAGCCTCGCGCGTCGCCTTCTCCTTGCTGTCGACAGGTAGAAGTGGAAGCCGAAGCTCAGGTTCTCGCCGAGTTCCAAGTCCTCGCCCTTGCGCGCGTATGCGTCGCAGAACGCCTCCACAACACGGTGCATCGCGCCGCCCTCTGCTACGCCGCCGCCTATGATGCCCTTGATGCCGTGCTTTGCCATGAAGTCCAGCCCGCGCGGTGTGGCGCTCTGTATCGGCTGCCAGCACTCCACCGGCAGGCGCAGCGGGCGCGGCACCAGCGAAATTTCCTCCAACTGGTAGCCGCGATATGGCACGCTCGGTGGGATGGTGTAGTTCTTGCCGTGATGCGAGAAAGACGCCTCGTTGAACGCCTTGAAGATGATGTCCACCTGCTCCTCAAACAGGTCTCGGTTGCCCCCTGGTCGAACAGCGGCGAGCCGAATGTCTCGATTTCGCGGCTGTGGTATCCGCGCCCGACCCCGAATATCACGCGCCCGCCCGTCAGGATATCCGCGGTCGCGTAGTCCTCGGCAAGACGCAGCGGGTGCCACATCGGAGCGATGTTGAAGCCGCAGCCGATATTCAGCCGCTCCGTGATGTGCGCCAGATGCAACGCGCTCATCAGCACATTCGGGATGCACTCATACCCCTCCGGCTGGAAATGATGCTCCGCAAGCCAGAAGGTGTTATAGCCGTTGGCGTCCATCGTCTTGGCAATGGCGTCCGTTTTGGCATACACGCTCGCCAGATGGTTATTGTCGAACAGTCGGTCGTTCACCGCTGTTCCCGCATAGCCGACATCGTCCATATCCACATGCCCGGCGTACAGGCTGTCGAACTTCGTAATCATTTATTGCCTCCCATACTGAGTAAGATAGGCTTATTGTAGTCTGGCATAATCTAGTGTCAACAAGGCGAATCTTCTGAATGGCTGCGATAAGGAGTTGATATGACCGATTTGCAGGGCAAAGTCGCCCTGGTAACAGGCGCAAGCCGAGGTGTCGGACGCGGCATAGCCCACGAGCTTGGAGTTGCAGGCGCGACCGTTTATGTAACTGGCCGCAGCGCGACCGATGACGCGACTACGGAAGACCTGGGCGGCACTGTGAACGGCACGTCAGCGCTCGTAACGCAGTCCGGTGGTATCGGCATCCCCGTGCTCTGCGACCACACACGCGACGACGCTGTATTAGCGCTTTTCGAGCGCATACGCCGCGAGCAAGGGCAGTTGGACATCCTGGTGAACAATGTCTGGGGCGGATATGAGGACTTCGACGCCGCGAATTTCGTCGCTCCATTCTGGGAGCAACCGATGTGGCGCTGGGAGCTAATGTTCGATGCAGGCGTCCGCGCCCACTACACCGCAAGTCGTCTCGCCGCGTCCCTGATGATCCCGCGTAAACAGGGGCTTATCGTGAACATATCATCGGGTGACGAAGGCAAGTATCGCGGACAGGTGATGTACGACGTCGCCAAGGCGGCAGTCGACCGCATGGCGTTCGCAATGGCGCTGGAGCTTCGGCAGCACGGCATCGCCGCCTTAGCCATCTACCCCGGCTTGACGCGCACCGAGCGCGTTAAGCGCTTCGCGTCCGCCAAAGAGCTTACGAATTCGGAATCGCCACGTTACGCTGGACGTGCCGTAGTCGCTCTAGCCACCGATTCAGCCTTGATGGAGCGCAACGGCGGTGCATACAAGACCGGCGAACTAGCTCAAGATTACGGCTTCACGGATATCGACGGCACGCAGCCGCCTCCTTTCAGCTTCGGATAGCGAGAGGGTCAGGTCATTCGTCCGCCATCTGAACACGATAAACACTCTCAAAACTCTGTCTGGCAGTGCAACGTTAGAACGGTCATAGGGCTTTAATTGTCTGCTCCGACACCTCGGAATTGCTACGAGCGAAACGATGCCGGATCTCAATCGTTCCTTTACATATCATCGAATCTCGTCTAAACTCTGGATATCTGGCTGTACAACTTAAACGACAGACAGGCCATCACCAATTAGGGAGGAGGAAGTTATGCCAAAAGGAAGTGTCCCTAAGCGTGAGGCAAAGAAGCCCAAGAAAAAGGCGCAAAAGCGAGAGACTTACATGTCCCCCATAGTCGCTGGAGAGACCGTAGAGGTCGTGGGCAAGCGCCGCAGGCGCAAGGCAGATGACGACTTCTAGCCATTATGTGTACGAATAAGCAGGATGCCACAGGCAACAATCCTGCCCATCTGTCCCCCACCCATATAGATGACCTTCGGTAGAATGTCTAGGACTGAAATCGCTCCAGCAGCGCCGGAAGCTCCTCTAGCCCAGTGATTCGTGGCTGTGCCGTGTAGCCCTTGTGGTTGCCATCCCTGTCCAGCAGTACGGCGTTGATGCCCGCATTCACGGCGCCCGCAATGTCCGAAGTAATCTGGTCGCCCACATGCACTGCGCGTTCGGGCCGCGCCCCTGCGCGCTCCAATGCGCGCTCGAAGATCAGCTGATTGGGCTTTTCCGCGCCCACCTCATGCGATGTAATCGAGAGGTCGATGTAGGGCAGAAGTCCCATGCTATCCGCAAGTTCGTCGCCACTCTGGTTCATGTTGCTGATAAGCCCGACCGTCAACCCCATTTGCCTGCACGCATTCAGCGCCGGTATGGTGTCGTCGAACAGGGCAAGGCCGTAGTCAATCTTGCGGATGCGGCGCCAGATCTGCCATGCCTGTTCTTGCGACACCTCCACGCCCGCGCCGCGCAGCACGCGCCTCTCGTACTCGGCGAAAAACATCCTATTTCGTCACGACTGAGACTCCGCACCGGCTTCGTGGCGTTTTGCTCGGACATGAAGGCGTCTGCGAGGTAGTAGCCCCGCAGAATTCCCTCCGGCGTTACGCTGATGCCGAAGTCCTCAAGGGCTTCGGACTGTATCTCATAGCGCGAGGGACGAAACCCCGCCAGCGTATTGTACAGGTCAAAGAAAACTGCGGTAATCATAGCGCTCCAATGATCAGGTATTTCAGTTTCTCAGTTTGTCGGTATCCTGCTTATCCAGTGTTTTATGTTACCTTATTGCCCAGCCACTGACGAACCGACACACTGAAGAACTATTATGCTTCCTGGCAAGCTTCCCATTGACCTGCTCACTCGGCTGCTGTCCGACATAGATGTGCGCGATCCGCGCGTCGTGCTAGGCGCGAGTACCGGCGAGGACGCGGCGCTAATCGACATGGGAGATCGCTACCTAGTTGCTAAGACAGACCCTATAACATTCGCCACCGACCTTATCGGATGGTATCTGGTGCAGGTCAATGCCAATGACCTCGCCGTGATGGGCGCAACGCCGCGCTGGTTGATGGCGACACTGCTGCTGCCCGAAGGTACGACCGAAGCGCAGACCGAGACGATTTTCGCCCAGCTGCTGGAGGCGTGCGACTCGCTTGGCATAACGCTCATAGGCGGCCACACCGAGATCACATACGACCTACCACGCCCAATCGCCATGGGCGCGATGCTCGGCGAGGTGGCGAAAGACGAAGTAGTGCTGACTTCCGGCGCGCAGGTCGGCGACAGCATCGTGCTCACGCAGGGCATCGCAATCGAGGGCGCATCAATACTCGCGCGGGAGGCGGAGGACACGCTAACGGCAAAGGGCGTGTCTCGGACAGTCATTGAGCGGGCGAAGTCGTTCTTGTTCACGCCGGGCATAAGTGTCTTCAAAGCCGCGCGGATCGCCCGCAATACTGCAGCCGTAAATGCGATGCACGACCCGACCGAGGGCGGCGTGGCAGGCGCGCTGCTAGAACTTGCCACCGCGGCGAGCGTGGGGCTTGCCGTTGACGCCGACCGCATACCTATCCTGCCCGAGTGCCGCACCATCTGTGACGCGCTCTCGCTCGACCCGCTCGGCCTCATCGCATCCGGCGCGCTGCTCGCCACGCTGCCACACTCCGAAGCGGAGCGCTTAGTCTCCGCGCTCGGTCAGGAGGGCATCCCTGCCAGCATAATCGGCAGCGTCACACCGAAATCAGAAGGCTTGCTTCTCATATCAGGCAGCTCTGAACGACCGCTGCCCACCTTTGAGCGTGACGAACTCGCTCGCTTCTTCTCCGAACGATGACCCAGGATAACCAGAATAACTGGACATGCCCTCAGCCTCCCCAGCTTCGTTCGTGCATGTTCGCCCCTGTCCGCTATGCTATCCTGTATTCATCCATTGAAAGCAAACCAACCCACTGGAGTTAAATCGCAATGCCCTTCCACCCCAGCCGTATAACTTACGGCGCAGTCCTCGCCATCATATTGGCGGCAACCCTCATAGCCTGTTCACAGCAACCCGAACCACAGCCGACTCCCATTCCCACAGCAGCAGTGGCCGTTCCGACTCCACCACCACCCGCAGCAACCGTAGAGCCAACGGCGACCGTTGCGCCCATCCCCACAGCAACAACAGCACCCGCTCCTACGCCCGCATCCACAGCCGCAGCGCCCACAGCACCCTCCGAGGCAACTCAGAGTGCGACCGCGTTCGTTCTCGGCGAGGGCACCGTTGCCCGCTATATGGTGGAAGAAGTGCTGGCGAGCCAAGGCTTCAAGGTCGCCACCGGCGAAACGAGCGAGGTTGTCGGGCGCATCGTGTTCGACGCCGACGGTGCCATCGTTGCTGACGAAAGCAGCATTGTCATTCAGGCAGGCACGCTCAAGACCGACAACGACCGCCGCGACCGCTATGTGCGCGAGCAAACTCTGCAGACCGCAAACTACCCCGAGATAATCTTCCGCCCCACCTCCGCCGAGGGTCTCCCGTCTCCTTTGAGCGAAGCCAGCGGAGAGGTCGAGTTCACTCTCAGCGGCGACCTCACCATACGCGACCAGACTCGCCCCGTAACCTGGGATGTCACAGCAGAATTCGGCGACAGCATCACTGGTCTCGCGGTAATTGACATCAACTTCGAACAATTCGGTATGGACAAGCCCAGAGTGGCAGTAGTCGTCAGCGTCGGGGACACGATACGCTTGGAGCTGGACTTCGTTGGCACTGTCGAGCAGATTGCCGCAATGAGCACAGGCAGCGATGACAGCGACACCGAATCTGATACCGCAGATGAGCCGGACCCTGCAGATGAAGCCTACGCGCAGGTGCTGGGCGACGCCGACGCTCCGGTCACAGTCGTGGAGTTCTCGGACTTCCAATGACCGCACTGCCGCACATTCGCCCTCGGGCCAGGGCGACAGATAATCGAGGAGTTCGTAGAGTCAGGCAAAGTGCGCTTCGCCTACCGTCATTTCATCGTCATCGGCGAGGAATCGATAATCGCAGCAATGGGAACCGAATGCGCTGCGGAACAGGATAAGTTCTGGGAGTTCCACGACGCCATCTTCGACAATTGGCTGGATGCGAGACAGAACGCCTTTGCATACTCGTGGCTTCAGGGCACCGCACAAAGTCTGAACATGGACTCCACAAAGTTCCAGGAGTGCATGGAAAGTGGTCGCGCCTTCGAGCGAGTCAAGGCAAGCCAACTTGACGGCATGGAGCGCGGCATCGACAGCACGCCCTCCGTGTTCGTCAATGGCAACCGTGTCAGTGGCGACTACGAGGCGTACCGGAAAGCGATCGAAGACGCCATCAAGGACAGTCAGCAGTAGGCGGTCAGCCTGCGGACGACGCCATCGCACCGCCGTCATAACCGACCGCCCTAATAACCTAATCCCTAATCGGCATACACCGTCGTCTGGCTCTCGGGATGCGTCAGTGATATGTGCGAAAAGTCCTCGCCGTCCACTGCGCCGTGCCAGTGCTTCTCACCTGCCGGTATCAGTGCTGTGTCGCCCTCTTCAACCTCCACCTGCTCCGATTCGGTCGCCACATAGCCCTTGCCGCTCAACACGAACAGAACCTGGTCGCTCGTGTGGACGTGGAAGTGGTTCTTCGCACCGTTGAAGAAGCTCACCTTGTTGAAGTTGAAGTCGCCGCTCATGCCGCCGCCGACAATCGCCTCGCCCTCAACCTTGCCGCCGTAGAAGATCGGCGCGTCGCTACGGTCTTCCGGGTCATTCTGTCCCTTCCTTATAACCTGCATCCTGCATCCTCCTTAATTTGTATCTCTTGTTCAATCGACAATTGACGATGCCGACTCTACATTATGAATTAGCCAGCGTACATTATACGATTACGCACGCCTAATGGTATAGACCGCGTCCTCAACAGGGATCACCGCGTCAACCCTATCCTGTCCATCCCGTTCATCGATGTTAGCTCCCGCTAGACTGCTCACTGCGGGCCGGCTTGCCCGCCTGCGTCAACGCCATCGCGCCGGTGAAGAACAGCGCGGCGACCAGCAGGAAGGCAAAGCGGTAGCTTCCCGTGCTGTCGAACGACCAGCCCGCGAGAATTGGACCAAGGAACGAGGACACCCCCATCGTTATGCTCATAACGCCCATGATACTACCGTAGTGCCTTATGCCAAATGCGTCCTGCACGATGAGTGGGAACAGCGCGCCGAACGCGCCAAGGAAGAATCCGAAACACCCTATGAATATCCAGAACATCGAAAGCGTCGCGCCGGGGAACAGCCATACAAGCGGGATAGATAGTCCAGCAAAGAAAGTCAGCAGGGTGAGGAAGCCCGACTGGCCCAGCAGGTCTATCATGAGGGCATAGCGCGCCGTTATGCGGTCTGCAAGCAATCCCATCAGGAACTTGCCGGTCATCCCACATCCCGCGAGCAGGCTCAACGCTATTGCCGCCGACCCGGGTGAAACACCCTCTCCCGTCAGGTGAGCCGCCACCTGCGTCAGTACCGCGGTGTATGTGAAAGAACCAAGCATGACCGCCAGCGTCATGGCATAGAACGCCTTCGTGCGCGCCGCCTCTTTCAGCGACCAGCCGCTAAGCACGACTGGAGCATCGCTCGGGGCGCTGTCATCCCCGTCATATTCACGACGTACCTGGGCACGCGTCGGGAACTCGCGCACCACTATTAGCGCGTACACGGTCATCAGCGCGCCTATTACTCCGAACAGCAGATAAGTGCCCTGCCACGGGGACACGTTAACGAACGCCCAATGCCACGACATCCCCAGCGCGAGCGTGGTGAGATGTGGAAAAGTCATGCCCCCGAAATTGTTGCCCATCAGCGTGATGCCCAGCACTCTGCCGCGTGAGCGGGCGAACCAGATGCCCACCAGCCTACCTGCGGGCAGAATGGACGCGCCCGCGAAGCCCGCGTACTGCACGAAGCTAAGCGCGTACCAGTGCCAAAGCTCCGTCATCAGCGGGCGCAGCAGGTAGCTGACGACTATGAGCAGCATGGAGACTACGAGAATACTCTTCGCGCCGTGCCTGTCCATGACATAGCCAAGGTACGGCGCGATGAAGCTGCCAACCGCTGTGAATGACAGCGAGAAGTTGATCTGAGTGCGCGTCCAGCCAAACTCCTGCTCCAGCGGCTCTATCAGCAGCCCGAAGGCGTACTGGCCTGAGCCTACCGTGAGCATTGCGGCAAGGAATGGGGCGGATATGACCCACCAGCCGGCGTATATAGGCAGCGGCTTTGGGCGAAGTGCTTGTATGGCTTTGAGCATCGCGGGGAAGTATATCAGGGTTTTGGTCTGTCGGTTAGTCAGTATGTAAATATTTAGATAGGACGGAAGTCAACCGGGGCGGATAGGATACGGCTTCGTTGCCGTTCAGATGCTTTTGGTGATATAACTGACATACTTAGATACGGACAACGGAAATACTGGAAGACTGACTAACCGGAGGCATACCCACATGGCTGAAGACTTTCGTATCGCGCTTATCGGACAGGCGGCATTTGGCGAGAGCGTGCTGAACGCTCTCTCGGAGCACGGGGAGAACATCGTTGGCGTGTTCTGCCCGCCCGACAGGGAAGGCAGGCCCGCAGACCCCATAAAGACCGCCGCCGAAGGACACGACATCCCAGTGCTGCAATTCCGCCGCATGCGCAACCAGGACTGCATAGACGCATTCATGGCGCTGAACGCCGACCTGTGCGTGATGGCGTTCGTTACGGACATCGTGCCGGACGCCATTCTGGAAGCGCCCACGCAAGGCACGATACAGTATCACCCGTCGCTGCTCCCGCTGCACCGCGGCCCGAGCTCCATCAACTGGCCCATCATTCAAGGTGACGAGAAGACGGGGCTAACGATATTCTGGCCCGACAAGGGACTGGACACGGGCCCCATACTGCTGCAAAAGGAAACGCCGATAAGCCCTGACGACACGCTCGGCTCGGTCTATTTCGGCAGGCTATTCCCGATGGGCGTGGACGCGATGGTGGAGGCGGTGGATATGGTGAAGGTAGGCAACACGCCGCGCGTCGAGCAAAATCACGATAATGCCACCTACGAAGGCTGGTGCCGTGCAGGCGATTTAATCATCGACTGGGACAAGCCGGTCGGCGAAGTTTACAACATGATTCGCGGCAGCGATCCCAGCCCCGGCGCAGGCACGACCTACGGCGAGATGGGCATGAGCTTCTTCCGAGCGAGCAGGACAGATGGCGAAGCAGGCGGTGCGCCCGGCGAAGTCACGGAAATCACAGACGATGGCTTCCGCATCGCAGCCAATGGCGGCTCCATATTCGTGGGCAGAGTGCAGCAGGGCCGCGACCGCAAAGTCAACGCGACAGAGTGGATCGAAGCTGTCGGCTTGAAGGTGGGAGACAGGTTCGGAGTCTAGGACGATTTATGAGGGGTGGACAGGCTGCTTGGTCTCTTTGGGAATAAGTTCAATGTTCAGAGGAGAGCCGGAAATGGACTTGAGACCAAGCACATGAAAGCTGAGCACGTTCCCGTCTGCGTCAAGGCGGATCTCGACGCGCTCGTCTTCGGTGTCATACGCAACGCCCTTGCCTTTTTCAAACACGACTTCAAGGAAATCTGCCTCCGAGTCGTACCAGAGTCTTATTGCCTCTTTTCCCATATGACAGTGCCTTCTCTGACTTGCTCTCTAAGATAAGCGGATGCGATGAACGCATCATCCTCCAACATTATAACCGCAACATATATATATTTATCGCCAGCATGGGTTTCCGTATATTCCCTGTAATAGAGATGAGCATTCCTGTTGGTGTTTGACTGGATAACTGCGTCAGGTAATTCCAAAGTCTCGCGTATAGCGAAGATCAATGGTTCCATATCCTCGTGACTTTCAAGAATATGGTCTAAACGCTCATTGGTAAATCTTACCTGCCTCCCCTGAAAGTACGGAAGATTTGCATACGTCGGCTCAGGCCTAATTCCCGTTCGAGCCGTAAATCTCCTCCCATTCGGGGCGTAGTATCTCCATCTGGATGAAGTCCAAGCCGCGCTTGCGCACTTGCTTGATCTGCCGAAAGCCCGACTTGCCGAAGGACTTCTGCGCGCGCTGGTTCCAGTCTAGCGTGTGCAGATAGACGCGCTTCATATTCGTCTGCGTGAAGATATACTTCAACAGCGTGTCCACGGCGTCGGTGCCGTAGCCCTTGCTCCAATACGCGCGATCGCCAATCATTATGCCTAGCTCGGTCTCGTGGCGGCGCGTGTCTATATCGTAGTACATGCAGTTGCCGATGTGCTTGCCGGTGAGATCGTCTATGCCGAAGCGCTTGGAGCGCGAGCTAGGGAAGTCAATCTCTTCCTGCGAGTAGCGCAGAAAGTCGTTGTACGCCATATTGAGCGGCCGGGTGGCATCCAGCTTCGCAAGCTCATCGTCAACACGCCAGGTGTAATCGTCAAGAGCGTCTTCGATGCGTTTCTCTCGAAGCACAACCTTTTTGCTCTCAAGCGACATGGGCTCAGTCGGCTCGGGCTTTTTTCGAGATAAGGTAAAGGGCATTTTTAACAACTTGAACCTCATTTTCGTAAGTCAGAGTTCTCATCACTTCTGATGCTGGAAGCCAGTGAACATAGTCAAACTCATGGTCGTGTAGGGACAGATCGCCGCCGTTCGCGCTCATCAGGTAGAAATGCACTACCTTATGGCAGGGAACACCATCGCCGTACCGCTCGAAGCAGTAGTCGATGCTTTCCACGAACTCATCGATTCTGACCTGCAAGCCCGTCTCTTCGCTCACCTCGCGCAGAGCAGTCTGTTCGCGCGTCTCACCGTCCTCCGGAGTACCCTTCGGCAACCCCCAGACGATATGTCCCGGCTGAGCGTCGAAGCCACAAACGACGATTTCCAGATCACCTCTGCGATCCCGCGCTACAACTCCCCCCATCGACTCCATTTCAATCAGGTCAGCCAATACACCGCTCCCTGCCACATCATACGGTTCAATGTACATATGGTATTTCGGGCTATTCTAGTGGCTTGCGCGAAAGGGAGTCAAGGCGCGGTGGGGTACTTACCTTGATAACAAGGACTGTTTGAACAGCCAATTCGGAGAATATCCTGTGCAGATGTGCGCTCATGTCGCTTGAAGCGGCTGTCCTAGACCCTGTACAATAGACGAGACAATTAGATAATGATAACCCCTTTAACTCAGTCCCGAGAGGCTGTCAAGGGAACAAAAGCATAGCCGTGATTGTGCGCCGACAAGCGCACCTTGCCATTGCTTAACCTCTTGCCAGTACGCAAGAGGTTTTTTTGTTGGAGGCTTCCTTGGCGGAGAACGGCAGCGCGATGGAGCGCAGCATTATGGGCACGGACGAAATCCGACGCGCGCTGGTGCGTATCTCGCACGAGATACTGGAGCGCAACGGCGGCGTTGACGGCCTAGTGCTGGTCGGCATACAGACGAGGGGCGTCTGGCTGGCGAAGCGCATCGCAGCGTTCATACGGCAATTCGAGGGCGCGGATGTGCCGGTGGGCGAGCTGGACGTCGGCCTGTACCGCGACGACATCGCCGAGCGCGGACGCCCTCTCATGCACACCAGCATCCCGTCGGGCGTGCATGGCCGCTGCGTCATTCTGGTGGACGATGTGCTTTACACAGGGCGCACCATCCGCGCCGCCATGGACGCGCTGAACGACTTCGGACGCCCGCGAGAGATTCAGCTCGCAAGCCTGGTGGACAGAGGACACCGCGAGCTGCCCATTCGTCCAGACTATGTCGGCAAGAATGTGCCGACCTCACACGACGAGTCTGTGCAGGTCTATATGAGCGAGATTGACGGCGTCGACAAGATAGCGCTGCTGAGGGAGGGGGAATGATGACTACGACTAGCCAACGCAGACCGCAGAGGCAGGCGCCGCCCGCTCCCACGAATGGTGCGCGACCCGCCGCGCCCCGGAACATCCTCGACCTCGACGACTTCACGCGCGAGGAAATCGATCTGGTCCTGCAAAACACCGATATAATGCGCGAGGTATTGCAACGCGACATCAAAAAGGTGCCCACGCTGCGCGGCAAGACGGTCATCACGCTCTTCTACGAGGCTAGCACCCGCACACGCGTATCATTCGAGCAGGCGGGCAAGATTCTCAGCGCCGATGTCATCAATGTCTCCGGTGGAGGAAGCAGCGTGGAGAAGGGCGAGTCTCTGTACAACACCGCCCTCACATTGCAGGCGATGAACGCCGACATTATCGTCATTCGCCACCCGCATTCGGGCGCGCCGCACTTCCTATCCCGCTTCCTGAACTCCGCAGTCATCAACGCGGGCGACGGCACACACGCGCACCCCACGCAGGCGCTGCTCGACCTGTTCACCATCAAGTCGCACCTCGGCAAAGTCGAAGGGCTGAAAGTGGTCATCGTGGGCGACCTGCTATACAGTCGCGTGGCGCGCTCCAACCTCTGGGGCCTGACGAAGATGGGAGCGGAAGTGACTCTGTGCGCCCCGCCCACACTGATTCCAACCGACTTCCTCGGCGGCATAACGAGCAACGGCAACGGCTCATTGGAGCATCCCTTCAGTGGCGTGCGAATCGAAACGAATGTGGAACGCGCGCTTGAGGACGCCGATGTGGTGATGGCGCTACGCCTGCAAACGGAGCGGCAGCGCGCCGGACACCTGCCCACGCTGCGCGAATACTCGCGGATGTACGGCATCACGCCGCGTCGCATGGGACTCGCCAAGCCGAATGCGCTAGTCATGCACCCAGGTCCCATGAACGAGGGCATCGAAATCGACCCCGAAGTGGCGCACGGCGCGCAGGCGGTCATCGAGGAGCAGGTCACAAATGGCGTCGCAGTACGAATGGCTCTACTATACGCGGCCATCACACCACGAGTGGGATAATCGAAAAGCACTACACGTACCTGCCAGAATAACGATTGAACAAGAAAGGAAGAAGTAAGTGAACGAAACGCCACGCCAGAGAGCAACCGCCATCGTTGAACGCGATGGCCGCGTGCTGCTGGTGCGCGACAAGTGGAGACCTGCGTTCATGCTACCCGGCGGCGGCATTGACGAAGGCGAATCGCCTGAGGTTGCCATTGAGCGCGAACTCCGGGAGGAGACAACGCTGACCGCAACTGCCGTGCAGTACCTGTTCACCCACGACGGCAAGTACAACCACCACCATGTGTTCAGCGTACAGGCTGACGGCGATGTGGACATCGCGCACGACCCGATGGTGGTCGAGTTCGCCTGGTGGGATGGCGGCCCCGATGTGCCCGTGCATCCGCATGTGAACGCGATCCTGGATAGGATGAAAAGGATAAGTGATGCTGCTAATTAAAGGCGGAAGACTCATAGACCCGTCGCAGGGCATTGACGGCATCGCCGACCTGCTGATCGAAGGTGGCGCGGTCAGCGGCATCGCTCCGCATATCGAGCCGCCCGAACACGCCGAAGTCATTGACGCGACAGGCATGGTCGTTTGCCCCGGCTTCATCGATGTCCACTGCCACCTCCGCGAGCCGGGCTTCGAGGACAAGGAGACCATCGCGACGGGCACGCTGGCGGCGGCGCGCGGCGGCTTCACCACAGTCTGCGCCATGCCTAACACGAACCCTACGATGGACACAGCGTCAACGCTGGAATATGTGCTGCGCAAGGCCCGAGACGAGGCTGCGGTGCGTGTGCTGCCAATCGGCTGCGTCACTAAGCAGAGCAAGGGCGCCGAGCTTGCAGAGATGGGCGAGCTTGCCGAAGCTGGCGCAATTGGCTTCAGTGACGACGGCAACCCGGTCGTAAACTCCAACATCATGCGACAAGCTCTCAGCTACAGTTCCGCGTTGGGGCTGCCCATCATCAACCACTGCGAAGAACCCTCGCTTTTCCACGGCGGTTCGATGAACGAAGGCTGGATATCCAACCGACTCGGCATCAAGGGCATCCCCAACTCCGCCGAGGACATCATGGTAGCGCGCGACATCAACCTCGCCGAACTCACCGGCGGTCGCTACCATGTGGCGCACCTGAGCACTGCGGGCGCGCTTGAACTCGTGCGCCGCGCCAAAGAGCGAGGCATGAAGAATGTAACCGCCGAGGTCACGCCACACCACCTGACCCTGACCGACGAGGCAATTCTCGGCAGGACCGCAGATGGCAGTAACGGCTCAGGAGCATACGCGCCGCTCACTTCAGCCGCCTACGACACCACCGCCAAGGTCAACCCGCCGCTGCGCGAGCAAGCTGATATGGAAGCCATGATTCAGGGCTTGCGCGATGGCGTCATAGACCTCATCGCCACCGACCACGCGCCGCACAACCGCACCGACAAGGAATGCACCTTCCACGAGGCAGCATTCGGCATCAGCACGCTGGAGACCGCGCTCGGTCAGCTCATGGCGCTCGTTCACAGCGGCGCAATCGACCTCCCCCTGCTCATCGAGAAGATGACTCTAGCACCAGCCCGATTTCTGCGCCGAACCGACATCGGCACACTGAAGCAAGGCGCGCCCGCCGACATCACCATCATCAATCCCGAAACCGAGTGGGTCGTGGACACCGCACAGTTCGCCTCCAAGGGTAAGAACACCCCCCTCCAGGGCGCGACCCTGAAAGGGCATGTGCATGCAACACTGCTTGAGGGACAGATCGTATATCAATCTTAATTTCTCAAGTTCATGACTTGTACTCGAAACACAATCCAAAAGACTCTGGAGTATCATCTCAGCAATGCCACAAACCAAACCCGCCCACCTAGTCCTTGAAGACGGCTCCACGTACCGCGGCTATGCGTTCGGCGCACAAACCTCCGCGCACGGCGAGGTCGTCTTCGCCACCTCGATGACCGGCTATCAGGAGATGCTCACCGACCCGTCGTTCGCCGGGCAGATTGTCGTGCCCACATACCCGCTGATGGGCAACTACGGCATCAACTCGCGCGACATCGAATCGCGCCGCGTGCAGGTCTCCGGATTCGTCGTGCGCGAGCACAGCCTGCGCCCCAGCCACTCCATGAGCGATATGACGCTCGATGCCTACCTGCAGTCCGAGGGCATCGCAGGTATCAGCGGCGTCGATACGCGCGCCATCACGCGCAGGCTGCGGACTCAGGGCGTCATGATGGGCGCGATCGGCGTTGACGAATCACCCGAGGCCACGCTCGCTCGCCTTGAGGAAATCCCCGCCTACGGCGATCTCGACTTCGTGCGGCAGGTCACGACCAAAAGCGCATACGACTGGGACAGTCCACTGTGGCAGAAGCCCGCGCCCGAAACCACGCGGCGCGTCCTCGTCAGCGACTTTGGATTGAAGTACAACATCCTGCGCATGCTGCGTTCTCGCGGCTGCGAGGTCATCGCTATGCCCGCCACCGCGTCCGCGCAGGACATTATCGACCGCAATCCGGACGGCGTGATGCTCTCCCCCGGACCCGGCGACCCCGAGCTTCTCGACTACGCCGTGGAGACGACGAAAGGGCTGCTCGGCAGGCTACCAGTCTTCGGCATCTGCCTCGGCAATCAGGTCGTCGGGCGCGCAGTAGGCGGCGGCACGTTCAAGCTCAAATTCGGGTCATCGCGGCGCTAACCACCCCGTCAAGGACTTGCAGACAGGCCTCGTGCATATCACCGCTCAGAACCACGGCTACGCGGTCGATGCCGACACGCTGCCTCAGGAAGTAGAGGTCAGTCACATCAACCTCAACGACAACACCGTCGAGGGCTTGCGCCACAAGTCGCTGCCCGTAATAACGATTCAGTACCACTCCGAAGCGTCCCCCGGCCCCCTCGACAACGAGTACATGTTCGACCGCTTCATGGAGATGATAGACGATTCGGAGGGACAATAGACAATGCCGAAGTTTTGCCAAAGTTTATGAATATCGCACATCGTGGCGCCTCATCATACGCACCGGAAAACACCTTCGCCGCGTATGACAAGGCGCTGGCTATGGGCACCAATCACATCGAGCTTGATGTCCACCTGACCAGTGACGACCATATCGCTGTCATTCACGATGACACCGTGGACAGGACGACCAACGCCAGCGGTCCCGTGGCAGACTTCACCCTGAATGAGCTTCGTGCGCTGGACGCCGGTTCATGGTTCGGCCCCAAATACAAAGGCGAGCCGATACGCTCTCTTGGAGAAACTTTGGAGCACTACAAGGGCAGCTGTACTTCCACATCGAGATAAAGGCACGGAAGGTTACCGGCGGACTGGCGAGGCGCGCAATAGACATGGTGCGCGGCTACGGCTTAACGGACAGCGTTGCCATAACTTCGTTCCAGAAAGAATGGCTGGAGGAGGCGGCAGCCTATGACTCCACGCTGCCCAAGGGATGGCTTGTTCCGATGGGCAGTGGCGGATGGGACGACTCATTCATCGAACAATCGAGAGAACTCGGACTCGCGCAGATTTGCCCGCGCGCCGACCTGACGACTCAGGAACTGGTGGACAGGCTTCACGCCGAAGGGTTCGTCGTGCGATGCCATGGCCTGTTCAACGAAGACCTCATGCGACACGCCGTCGACGTAGGCTGCAGACGGGGCGACCGTGAACTTCCCCGGACAAGATGGCTGACTACCTGAGCGCAAAGGGCATTGGTCAAGATTAATGAAATTGAGGAATCGAACAAACAGTGAACAATAAACCATCCAAAGTCCTCGTCATCGGCTCCGGCCCCATCATCATCGGGCAGGCGGCTGAGTTTGACTACGCCGGCACGCAGGCATGCAAGGCGCTGCGCGAAGAGGGCGTCATCACCGTGCTGGTGAACTCCAACCCTGCCACGATAATGACCGACGAGGACATCGCCGATGTCGTCTATATCGAGCCGCTCACCGTCGAGGTGCTCACACGCATCATCGCTGCCGAGCGTCCCGACGGCATCCTGCCCACGCTTGGCGGACAGACAGGGCTGAACCTAGCCGTGGAACTAGCGGATGCAGGCGTACTCGACGAGTACAACGTGCGTCTTCTCGGCACGCCCTTGCAGACCATCCGCAACGCCGAGGACCGCGAGCTGTTCCGGCAGTTGCTGTCCGACATCGGCGAGCCTGTACTGCCCAGCGAAATCGTCGAGTCCATGGAAGAGGCTCACGAGGCGCTGAAGACGCTAAATCTGCCCTTGGTCATACGCCCGGCATACACGCTTGGCGGCACGGGCGGCGGCATCGCTACCACGCTCGACGAGTTCAGTACCATCGTCGCAAGCGGACTCGCCGCAAGCCCCATCAACCAGATACTCCTCGAACGCTCCCTGATCGGCTGGAAGGAGATCGAGTACGAGGTGATGCGAGACGCCGCCGACAACTGCATCACCATCTGCAACATGGAGAATATCGACCCGATGGGCGTCCACACCGGCGACAGCATCGTGGTCGCCCCCAGCCAGACGCTTTCCGACAAGGAGTACCAGCTTCTGCGCTCCGTCAGCCTGAAAATCATCCGCGCGCTCGGCATCGAAGGCGGCTGCAACATTCAGATGGCGCTCGCGGCAGGCGATGTCGTTGGCAAGACCCTACCAGATGGCGGCGGCAAGGACAACGAATACTACATCATCGAGGTCAACCCACGCGTTAGCCGCAGCTCCGCACTCGCGAGCAAGGCGACCGGCTACCCCATTGCCCGCGTCGCAGCCAAGATTGCAGTCGGCAAGCGCCTCGACGAAATCCCCAACGCCGTCACGCAGCAGACCCTCGCCGCGTTTGAGCCTGCGCTCGACTACTGCGTGGTCAAGATTCCGCGCTGGCCCTTCGACAAGTTCCCTGCAGGCGACCGCTCCATCAACACTCAGATGAAAGCCACCGGCGAGGTCATGGCGATCGACCGCTCATTCGAGGCGGCGTTCCAGAAAGCCGTGCGCTCCCTCGAAATCACCAACCGCGACATCCTCTGGGAAGACTCCGGATGGTGCTTGGCAGATTCGTCCGAAACGGATAGCGCAGACATTCCCGCCCTATCGCTGGAAGGCTTGGACAAAGCGCGCCTGCCACTGCACCCCAACGACGAACGTCTCTGGGCGCTGCTCTACACCCTGCGGCGCGGCGTGAGCCCTGAAGCGCTATCCCGCAAACCAGGCATCGATCCCTGGTTCACCCGCGCCTTCCAGAACATCGCTCTGATGGAAGAGGAACTGCTGTCCTCGCACCTCGACACCGATATGCTTTGGCGAGCCAAGCGTCTCGGCTTCTCCGATGAAAAAATCGGCGAACTGACTGACCGCACCCCGCAGCAAGGTACGCGACCTGCGCCACCAGTGGAATCTTCGCCCCGTCTATAAGATGGTGGACACCTGCGCCGCCGAGTTCGAGCGCACACGCCATACTTTTACAGCACCTACGAGCAGGAGAACGAAGCCACTCCGATAACATCGGCCAAGGCGCTCGTCGTCGGCAGCGGCCCCATTCGCATTGGACAGGGCATCGAGTTCGACTACTGCTCCGTACATGCGGCTTGGGCGCTCGGCGAAGAGGGCGTATCCAGCATCATGGTGAACTCCAACCCGGAGACGGTATCCACCGACTTCGACACCAGCGATCGCCTCTACTTCGAGCCGCTCGACGAGGAGAGCCTGCTGGACATCCTTGAGAATGAAGCGCTCGCCGGAGACGGTGCCGAGTTGGAGTTCCCGCCCTCGATCGTGCAGTTCGGTGGCCAGACGGCTATCAACCTATCGCAGACTCTCGACAGCGTGGAGATGCCCATACTCGGCTCTTCCGCGCGCTCCATCGACATCGCATCCGACCGCCACCTCTTCGAGGAGTTCCTCGCGAGAACGGGCATTCCCAACCCACCCGGCGCGGCCGTCAGCAACCTCGAACAGGCTCTCAATGTCGCGCAGCGCGTAGGCTATCCCGTGCTCGTGCGTCCCAGCTATGTGCTCGGCGGCAGGGCGATGGAGATTGTGCAGAACGCCACCGAGCTCGTGCGCTACATGACCCACGCATTCGAAGCGGGCATGGGCAGGCGCGTGCTCATCGACAAGTATTTCGAGGGCCGCGAGGTCGAGGTGGACGCCGTGTGTGACGGCGAGAATGTGCTCATCCCCGGCATCATGGAGATGTGGAGCGCGCCGGCGTTCACAGCGGCGACTCCATGGCGATTTACCCCGGCCTGACCCTCACCGAAGCCGAAGTTGACACCATCGTGGACTACACCACGCGCATCGGACGCGAGCTTCAGGTCAAGGGCTTGATGAACATCCAGTACGTGGTCGTTGGCGGCGCGGCATATCGCAGCCCGAGCGACAAACCAGGACGGCGGCAATCAAGACACGCAAGTATTCGTCATAGAGGTCAACCCGCGCGCAAGCCGCACCATCCCCTTCATCTCGAAGGTAACGGGCGTGCCGATGATTCGCCTCGCGATAAAGGCGATGCTCGGCAAGAGCATAACCGAAGCAGGCTACGAGGGCGGCTTATGGAAGCGGCAGAAGCTCGTGGCTGTGAAAGCGCCCGTCTTCTCCATGTCCAAGCTCTCCGGCGTGGACACATACTCGGTCCCGAGATGAAATCTACAGGCGAAGTCATGGGCATCGACACGACTTCTCCTCTGCTGTCGCCAAGGCGCTGATAGCGTCTGGCATGATGCTCCCTGAGAAAGGATCCATCCTGCTCACCATCGCCGACCGAGACAAGGCTGACGCCGTGCCGATGATACGCGCAGCTCGCCGAAGCGGGCTACGGGCTGTTTGCCACAGCGGGCACGGCAGGCATGATTCGCGGGCTTGGCATAGACGCCTTCGCCATCCCCAAGGCGCACACCGGCGAGCGTCCCAACACCGTGGACATCATTGCCGACGGCACCGTATCAGCAGTCGTGAACACCATCGAGGGCGACCGCGAATCCCTTGAAGACGGCTTCGAGATTCGCCGCGCAGCCGTTGACCAGCGCATCCCCTGCTTCACATCCCTGGACACCGCCCGCGCAGCCGTAGAAAGCCTCATAGGAGGCGCCGCCAACTACAACATCAAGCCCCTGCCAGAATATCGGAAGCAATCTTAAGTGAAATTGATGCCAATCTGAGCAGATTAGAAGTCCTTATTCACGATCTGCGATGCTCTCCAACTCTGCGATCAATGGTGGTAAGTCAATCTTGACGGTATCCCATACCACATGTGCATCAACTTCGCCGTATTGATGTATCAGAAAGTTGCGCATGTCTGCCATGTCAACCCAAGGCAAGTTGGGAAATGATGCTCTGGTCTGTTCTGAAATGTGCCTAGCCGCCTCGCCAATGATTTCAATGCGTCGAATCACGGCATCCTGAAGTTGTGTATTTGCGAGGAAATCATCTATTGAACTGTCTTGAACATAGGATACGGCAAGCCGCGCAGATTCAAGAACATCGTACAGAAGCGCGTCATCCTTCTGCATATATGACCTTCGCCGAACTCAATATAGCCTCGCGCCGTATCTTGTTTTTACTGACTTCTACTGCTCTCCTGCTCACTAAGTCCACCTTGCGCCGCAGAATCTTCTCAAGTCCGCCTCGCATTCTCACCATATCAAAAAGTCCATGCCTTGCGCCGTCTGCGAAAGTGATCAGCACATCAACATCGCTGGCAGGGGCAAAGTCGCCGCGAAGCACCGAACCGAATAAGGACATCTCAACGATGTCCCATTTCTTGCAGAACGATTCAATTTCGTTGACGGGAAATTCTATAGCTATTTCGGAAAGTACCAAGTCGCCTCACCTCTTGCGCGGTCTGGTATAGACAGGATACCACTCCGTAGTTGAGTCGTGCAGACCTCCATGTTCTTGACCAATCATGCCCAACGTTGATGTGCTATCCTCCTACCATCACCAGTCGAAAATAAAAGCAATGAGGCACACCCTTGATCCCCCTCAGACTCAGCGTCAAGAACTTCATGTGCTACCGCGACGATGTGCCCGCACTGCACTTCGAGAGCATCCATGTCGCCTGCCTCTGCGGTGACAACGGGCACGGCAAGACCGCGCTCCTCGACGCCATGACCTGGGCGCTGTGGGGCATAGCCCGCGCCACTCCATCAGGCACGGGCACAATCAACGCGCTCCGAATCGCCGACCTCGTGTATATGGGGCAGACGGACATGAGCGTGGAGTTGGACTTCAAGGCTGGAGAACAGCAGTACCGCGTCATCCGTAGGCACACCGTCAGCACGCGCGGGCGCACCAGCAGGACTACTCTTGAGTTGCAGATTGCGACCGATAACGAAGGCGAAGCCTTTCGCTCCATCAGCCGCAACACCGTCAGGGAGACCAGCGCCCGCATCAGCGAAATCCTGAATATGGACTTCAAGACCTTCGTCAACACCGCATATCTGGCGCAGGGTCAGGCAGACCTGTTCACGACCAGCACGCCCACAGAGCGCAAGAAGTGCCTCGCCGAAGTGCTTGACCTGTCCTACTACCAGCGCCTTTCGGAGGACGCCAACGCGCGCAGCCGCCGTATCCAAGCCGAGATACAGCAGGCGCTCACCGCGATCAACCTGCATTCCGAGGAGACAGCACGGAAGCCCGAATACCAGGAACGCCTCGCAAAGGTGAACGCCCGCATCGCGGAGGTTGCGCCCCAAGTCGAGGCGCGGCGCAAGCGTGTTGAAAAACTTCGCGGCGAAGCGCAACGACTCCAGACGCTTCAGTCCGAGTTCGCCGAGCTTCAGCAGCGCGCGCAATCCGCGCAGGCAGACACCATCCGTCTGCAGCGGCAGATCAGCGCTGACGAGAAGCGCGTCGCCGCCTACGAAGCCACCATCGCCGACGCACCCCAGATACTAAGTGGCTACGATGCTCTGCAATCCGCCCAGACGGAGCTCGGCAGGCTGGACATCGCCCTATCCGAGAAGAGCTGCCTTGACGCGCGACATGCTGCACTCTCGCAGTCAATCGCGCGTCAGGAAGAACGCCTCGCCTCCACGCGACAGACATTGCAGCGCCGCATATCCACCGAACTGGAACCCCGCGCAAAACGCCTACCCACAATTCGTGAGCAGCAGGCATCAATGCACAAACGGCATGCCGCTCTCACAAGCAAACCGCATTATTGAGGAACGGCGCAAGAACACCACGAAATCACCGCTCGCATCCAAGCCCTGACTCAAGACAACGAGCGCCTGCGGGAGCAGATGCAGGACACCCGCCAAAAGTTCGACATGCTTGAGCAAGGCGACACCACCTGCCCGCTCTGCAGCCAGCAGCTCGGCACTGACGGTCAGCAACATCTGCGTGCCGAATACCAGCGCATCGGCGTAGCGAGCAGGACATCGTTCAACGACAACCGCACCAGGATAGACACGCTCACGAGCGAGCACAAGGCAGCAACCAAGACTCTGACGTCTATGGAGGCGCGGCACAGGGCAGATGGTCGCGCACTCGCCACAGACGAGGCGAACCTGAAGCGTGACGAGCAAGATTCACTTCAAGCCCAGCAAGACTTGCGGCAGGCATCCGAAGCACTTGCAGAAGCGGAACGCACTTTGCGCGACAAGGCATTCGCGCAGGACGAGCGCAATGAGCTTGCCGACCTGAACACCACCATCGCAGCCTTGGACTACGACGCCGAAGCGCACCAGCAAGTTCGCCAGCAAGTCGCCTCACTGCGCAGGTTCGACGCTGCCCACCACGCGCTCAACGAAGCCCAAGCCAACCTACCCGGCATCAGCGAGTCACTGCAGACAGGCCGCCAGATACTCGCCGAGCGGCAGGCCGACATAGACGCCGCTGCCGAGCGCATGAACACGCTGAAACAAGACATAGAATCACTGCCGTTGCTCACGGCGGAACTTGAAGAAGCCATGCGTAGCAGCGAGCAGTTGGAGAGCGAATTGCGTCAGGCGGGGATTGACCGCGGCGTTCTTGAGAACAACATCAGCCGCTGCGAGGAGATGGAAACACAGATACACGCTCTGGAGCAAAAGCACAGGGGCCTAGCCCGCGATAAGGGCATCTACGACGAGCTGACCCTCGCATTCGGCAAGAACGGCATCCAGGCGCTCGTCATCGAGAGCGCCATACCTCAGCTGCAAGACGATGCCAACGAAATTCTGGGACGCATCACCGAGAACCGCATGCACCTGAAGCTGGAGCTTGACGAGAGCACATCCGAGCAGCTTGAGATACGCATCGCCGACGAGCTAGGCACCCGAGACTACCTGACATTCAGCGGCGGCGAGGCATTTCGCATCAACTTCTCCCTCCGCATCGCGCTCTCCCGCTGCTTGCCCGTCGCTCAGGCGCGCCGCTGCCCGTGCTATTCATAGACGAGGGCTTCGGCTCGCAGGACCGCAGCGGCCAGGAACGCCTGACCGAAGCCATCCAGTCGATTCAAGACGAGTTCGAGAAGATTATCGTCATAACACACATCGACCAGATGAAAGAAGCCTTCCCCGTCCGCATCGAGGTCAGCAAGGGCGACAGAGGTTCGACCTTCAGCATCGTGTAACTTTGCCTGCATCTATTGGCAGCAACATTCAAAACAGGCATCACACGTGTGGCTTTACAGTTCGATCTCCTGCACCTCTGGCGATACTATAAGCGTCGCGTCCGTCTCGCGCCTGCACCTCTTCCGCAGACCAGCCCGGCGCGACCTCGCGCAGCACCAACCCTTCCTCTGCCACCTCCATCACGGCGATGTCCGTAACTATCAGGTCAACGCACCCCTTGCCAGTCAGTGGGTAGCTGCACTCCTGCACCACCTTCGACTGACCGCTGCGGTCCGTGTGCTCCATTGCAACTATGACGCGCCTTGCGCCCACAGCCAGATCCATCGCGCCGCCAACATTGCCCACGCCGCGTTCCGGCAGCATCCAGTTCGCAAGGTCGCCGGACGCCGATACTTGCAGCGCGCCCAGCACCGTCACATCTATGTGCCCGCCGCGAATCATGGCGAATGCGTCCGCCGAGTGAAAGAACGACATCCCCGGATACCACGCCAGGAAATGCCCACTCGCATTCGTCAGGTCAACATCCTCATCGCCCTCCTCCGCCACCGGGCCGAAGTTCAGCACGCCGCTCTCGCTGTGGTACAGCACATCGCGCCCCTCCGGCACGAACTGCGAGCACAGCGAAGGTATGCCGATGCCCAGATTCACCACATCGCCGTCCTGCAATTCCTTAGCGACGCGCATAGCGATGATTTCCCTGTCCAGCCTGTATTTTTCTACCGTTCCTGCCATTGAGTAAAGCTCCATATCATAATGCCAAGCGGTTTTACAAGCCGCCTGACGTACAGGATACATCAACCCGGCAACGACGCCAACGCCAGAGAACACCGCCATCACCACAAGCCCCGCCAACAGCGAACCGCTCAACTCCGCCACCGACACCCACAATCATCGGCCCTGCCGCAAACCCCAGTCCCGCGAACATGGACACCAGCGCGCTAACCGCCGCCACCTCTCGCGGCAATATGCCCTCAAACTCGAACGGCAGCATCTCCATCGCAGGCACCGCCACCCACACCAACCCCAGCGCCGTGATCGCAATCGCTAGCAGCAGTGTGTCGGTCGTCAGCACAATCGCAAGTGCAAGCAGCACGTTCAGCACCGCAGGCACAGCCAGCAGTATCCGCCTGTTGTGAAACTTGCGATTGACCCATCCACCAGCAAGCGCGCCCGGTATCAAGGCATAGTACAGGAAGCCAAGCAGGGGCCCGCCCAGCGTTATATCAATACCCCTATCTTCCAGCAGCAACGTGGGCAGAAAGGTCACGATGCCCGTCCACACCGACGCCAGCGAAAACATCACTATCGCCACCGACCAGCCCTGCCTGTACTTTCGCAGGGCCACAAGCGGGCTTGTCGGCTGATTCCGCAGCGCATCGCTCATATCCTGCACGGGTGCCCTGCTCTCCCGCGCCGCGAGCATGAAGGCGACTGCCTGCAGAGCCACGAAACCCCGCCTGCAAGTAGTACGCGCTGCGCCAGCTCCCAAGCGCGACAATCAGCAGCGCCCCCGTACTCACCGCAATGGCAAGCAGCAGACTATGCTGCGAAAGCCCCACGGCATTGATCAGCGCGTACTGCCGCCTCGCAGCCCACTGCTGAAACAGCAAGGGACGCACCGCAATCGTAAGCGAATGGAACAGCACCGCCAGGAACCGCGCCACGAACAGCATCAAAAAGCCGTTCGCAAACCCCTGTAACAAGAGCAGCGGCGCCACAATCCACATCGACACCTGAGTTACCGCCACCGGACGATAGCGCGAGAACCACACACCAAAAGGCAGTACCGCAACAGCCGCCGTCACCCACCACACACCTTGCAGCATCCCCACTTGCAGCGGAGTCAGCGCGAGGTCCTGCGCTATGAACGGCAGGAACACGCCCAACACGAACGATGACAGACGCAGGCTACTCAACTGCAAGTGCGACAGCAACAGCACCGCCCATCCCCGCAGCGATGTGCGCTCTACGCCATCAGACGGTGTAGTATGGGATTGCACAGTTAGGCGATCACTCTCAGATTTGGTCGAAAACACATGCATGTGGTATAATAAACTCGAAGTGAGTAGGCGAAGTACGCCGGTTTCACATGAGCGTTCCCAAATGAGGGAGCGCGATTTCGTTTTACAGGACATGAGGAAAAGGAGGTTGAGCATGACTTGACGATTGGCGAATTGCACGTAGATGTGGGCGACTTGCGCCCAATTTGATTGAAAGCGTTCCATTTGTGGGACGCTGTTTTCGTTTATAGGAGGCCTAGAACCCTTCAAGAGGTGCAAATTGAAGAAGATACATAAGTACATAATGACAGGTTAGAGAAGCGTTTGATGAGTTGGTTAACACGGCTTCGTGTTCGCATCTTCTTGGTGAGATTGCGAAACATCCTCTTAGTCGCCAAGAAGAAACCATTGAAGAATTCTATCGTACAATTCTACGAGCTAAGCTAAAAGGTAAGGTCAATATCCTGCTGGCCCAACGCAGAGAGACTTATGGATATGAACATGACATTGTAGGCAAGCGCGAATCGCGCGCCTTTGTAGTGGTCGAAATAAGACACTTCACCGACCCGGTGGTATTCGTTTCAAGACCCAAAGGCCCGAAGGCTGCCAAAGGACATTGAATCGATCAAGAAAGCTTTGGATCACGAAGTGTGCTGCGCTTACGAGTTGGTAGTGATGTTTGAGTCCTACGCTGTGAACAAGAAAGGTAAAACAATTCAAGCAAGTAAGGCAGAGCTCTTTTCAAAGTACGGAATACGCTGGCCAACTGAGTGGGGTATCGCCCTACCGAAGGCGAACAAGAAGTGAACGATGCATAAAGAGTTTAGCAAAAAGCAATGGCCTTAAAAGTAAAGCGAAAAGGCTGGAGGAGAGTTGAGTTACCACGACCCCATCCTAAAGTCCGCGCCTTCATTGACTGCGCCCTCTACAAGGTGCAACTAAAGTAAGCGGACCTGATAGTGCAGATGGCAGTATAGGCAATCCGCCGCCTGTCCCTTATGTTCAGAGGACAAAGAAAGACCCCGTGCGTATCGGCCTGATTTCGAACGGGGTTCTCTTTCTATCAAAAAGCCCTAAAGAGTGTGAACAGCGCAACCATTATCATCACCAAACCCGCACCCTGAATCCACAAGGCGCGATACATATCGGCGCGAAACTCTGAAATGTCCGACTTCGTTGCCAACACCCGTTAAATCAGATTTGGTTAGGAGCTTTCCTTTATCCATGTTTGAATGGCGAGACGATAGCATCTGCTTGCTTATCGGTGAACCCAGCGTTTTTGAGCGTGTCGTATGGGGTAGCAGCCATTGCCTTTCCTATATCCTTACCATGTGCCACCTCGACCGACGCGCGTGCTCCTGAGCAACGCGCTACCGCCTTTCGCCCTCGGTGATGCGCCTGAAGCGGCTGCGGAGCTTCTTCAGACCCGGATCATACTCGGCAAGCGGATATTCGTCCGGGTGGGCCTCCGCCCAGGCAACGGCAATTTCATTGACAAGCAAGTCGCTGACGAGCCTGTTTCTCGCGCGCTCCAGGACGAACTCCTTCCGCTCCCTCTGCCGCCTGACCACGCCTCGTAGATAGAAAGGAAACCAGAAAGGAAGAAAAATCACGCGAAGAAGTAGCCTGAGCAGAGACATCTGATCACCAAATGCCTCCCGGGCGGCGCGGCCCTCGTGCCTACCTACTTCCGCGCGCCAGTCACGGCGTGGTTCCCTTGACATATTTTCCTTTCACGGAAATAGCGTCGCCCTACGCATATTTCCCTGTCAGCTGCGGCGTCGTGCCTTCGTTCCCCGCAGATTCCCACTCGTGTCGCGTCTCGCGACCCCAGGTGCGCTTCAGGTCGTCCTGCACATGCAGGTGCAGCCTGCCAAGGCCTTCTGTCTCCATGTCGATCGTGTCGCCGTCCTGAATCGCGCTCAGTCCGAAGTGATTCGTGCCCGTCGCCACCACATCGCCCGGCTCCAGCGAATGGACCGATGTAATCCACTCGATGACTCGCGGAATCTTGTGCGCCATGTCATCCGTGTTGAAGTCCTGGCAAAGTCGGTCGTTCACCCACAGCTTCACGGGAAGGCTCTGCGGGTCCGCAATCTCGTCGGCGGTGACCAAGTATGGTCCCATCGGCGCGAACGTCTCGCGCGACTTCATCTGGTAGAACGCAGGCACGCCCCGCGCCGACACATCTATGAAGTTCAGGTAGCCGAAAATGTAGTCATAGGCGTCCTCTGCCTTGACCTGCCACGCATGCTTGCTGATGACAATCCCCAATTCCGCCTCGTGCTCGAAATCGACGAAGGCACATCCGGAATCAGAATGGTGTCGCCGTCGCCGATAACGCCGTTAGGCGACTTGTTGAACGCATTTATGGGCGCAGGCTCGGAGCGTGTGCCGTTCTCCATGTAATTCACTGCCATGCAAGCGATGTTGATAGGTCGCGGCGCAGGTGAGCGCAGCCGCACACTGGATAGCGGCACGCCGTCGCTCGCGCTTATCGCTTCCTCCAAGTGAGACTTATGCGTGTCGAAGTCGGCAATCAGCCCCGACAGGATATCCTGCGGCGACACATGCGGGATATGCTCCGCAGCAGCCGACAGGTCAACCACATTATCGCCCTTTACGGCGCCCAGCTTGAAGTCGTCAAAAAATACCAGTTTCATGGTTTAACTCCCTCCAGTCATTTAGTCTTTCAGTGCATCAGTATATCAGTCAGTATTTCATCCTGTCAGTAGCGCGGCTGTTGAGAAGTCAGATGCCAATTGCCGCATCGACCTTCGTAATATGCTCGCAGATATGTGCCTCTACTCATCGCGTTCTCTGCTGCGCTATGAGCGCTCTCCCCATCGCCGTACACTATCTTCTTGCATCTACCACAACGGTTCCTGCCTTTGGCATCCGTGTAGTCTGAAGGGGTGGTGAATTTCTTTATTACCCACCATATAGCCGCTACTATCAGTATGGTGAGTACCCATTCCATGCTGGAAGCCCTTCCTAAATCTTGACGATGCGGTTCACATAGATGGCGGGCGTATGAACGCCATGCCCGTCGATTTCGCCGACTTCAACCACCTCATCTACTTCCATAATAGTCGTCCGCGCCGCAGTCGCCATAACTCCGTTGAAGTTGCGTGATGTGCCGCGATACACGATATTGCCCATAGGGTCGCCCTTGTGCGCCCGCAGCAGCGCGAAGTCGGCTTTCAACGCATATTCGAGCACATGCTCTTTGCCGTCGAAGACGCGCGTCTCCTTGCCCTCCGCCAGCAGCGTGCCCGCGCCGGTCGGCGTGTAGAACGCCGGTATGCCCGCGCCTCCAATGCGAATGCGCTCCGCAAGCGTCCCCTGCGGCACAAGCTCAAGCTCCACCTTGCCCTCGCGGTACGCGCGCTCATAAGAAGTAGGGCGAGACGGCGACGGAGACACCGGGAACGACGCCACAACCTTCTTGATCTGCTCGTTGTCCACGAGTATGCCGATGTCGATTGGACGGTCACCCGGAATGGTGCCGAAGCCAATGACGCTCGCAAGCCCCGCCGTATTGCTGATAATCGTCAGGTCTTTTGCCCCGTGGTCGCGCAGCGCCCGAATCAGATTCTGCGGCGTGCCGCCCGGCCCCGCAAAGCCGTCTATCATCAGCGTCGCGCCGTCCGGAATATCCGCCACCGCCTCGTCAAACGACGCAAAAACCTTGTTTATCGCCATACGTTCAAGCACCTCGTCAAGAAAAGCAATTGCAAGGCGCATTTTAACATGGTTGAGAACGATAGACAGGTTCTGTAAAACACCATGAATCTAATGGCTTTCACCCTACACATCGTGTTAGCCCTCAGCCCGCGACCGTCTCGGCGGCGCGAACACCACCAGCAGCGTCAGCGTCTCCGTTATCGAGTGAAACCGATGCGGCGCGTCCGTCTCCACGAATATGACCGTCCCAGGCTTTATCTCCCTGTCCTCGTCGCCCACCTGCAACCGCGCCGACCCGCTCACCACATAATAGATTTCATCCTCCGTATGCGGCTGCTGTGGGTCCGTGTCCCCGGCAGCACACATACAGCCCCAGGCTCAATGTCCCGGTTTCCGCCGTGAAAAACTCCAGGTAGCGCTCACCAAGTTCCTCACGCGCCGCTATCAGGTCAGCCATCTCGAATGTGTCCATAATTCCGCAATGCCCTTTCAAGCCCTTCAAATCCTTTCCAATACATCGCGCTTATCATAAACTGAAAGCCATGACGAACATAAGAGTACGCGACGCAACCCGAGCAGACATAGACCACATCGTCGAGTTCCAGCAGGCGATGGCGATCGAGACCGAGGGCAGAACACTCGACCCGTCCACCATTCGGCAGGGCATAACCGCCGTTTTCGACGATCCGCAGAAGGGCTTCTACATCGTCGCAGTGGTAAGCGCCGATGGCGATGACGCGCCACAGAAGGTCGTCGGAAGCCTGCTCATGACTTACGAATGGAGCGACTGGAGCAACGCTACTCACTGGTGGATTCAAAGCGTCTATGTAGATGCCACGTGGCGGCGCAGGGGCGTCTATCGCGCGATGTACGACCACATACTGGCCATGACCAAGGGGCGCAGCGACATCTGCAGCATACGCCTCTACGTCGAGCGCACCAACACCATCGCCCAGCAGACCTACAAGAGCCTCGGCATGTACCATTCGCACTACGACCTATACGAGATAGACCTCACGACATAGTTGATTCGGGTTGCGGGCCGACGAGAAACCGCGACTCACGATTACACAACACCTCTAGACACGGAGGAAAGAAAATGCTGCCAGACAACATCAAAGACTTCATCGCCAACAACGACAAAGCCGTCCTAAGCACATTTCGGCGCAGCGGAGCGGCGCAGCTCAGCATCGTCAGCGTGGGACCATACGGCGACGGCGCGGCGTTCACCACCACCGAGGACCGCGCCAAGCTCGCCAACCTGCGGCGCGACCCGCGCTCCTCCCTGCTCGTCTCGCACGATAGCTGGTGGGGCTTCGTAGTGCTGGAGGGCAGCGCGCGCGTCATGGCCGCCGACAACACAGACCCCGAAGAGCTCAGGCAGGCATTCCGCGACGTTTATCGCTCCATCTCCGGCGAGCACCCAGACTGGGACGACTACGACCGCGCAATGGTTGAAGACAGGCGCGCCGTTGTCGTTGTGGTGCCGGAGCGCATCTACGGCACAGCGTTGTAGAAGACGATGAACACCATCACTCAGAAAGAGTTCACCGAGCGCCTCGTCGAGCTATGCGTCAGAAGCGGCCTGAGAGGTGTGCCCCGCAAGACCAGGGACCGGCACATCCTGTCGAAGGGCATCACTCTGACCCTTGACCTGAAGGCAGAGTACACGGAAGAAGAGGTGAATCAAGAGCTGAAGACATGGCTGGCTGACGTTGGAGGCACCCTTCGCCGCCTTAGCCATGTGCGTCTGCGCCGTCTGCTCATAGACGAGGAATATCTTGGCAGAAGCAAGGACGGCTCGCGCTACTGGGTGGCGCTTGGTTCGAGAAATCACCCCGCTTACGAGCCTGCCGTGCAGGACGTCGATGTCCGTGGACTGCTCCGGTCAGGCAGGGAAGAGGCCGAGCGCCGAAAGCAAATGTACCTGCAAAGGCAGATGGAATCGTAGAGATACGAAGCCACCCTAGCCCCACTCCTGGAGCATCAAGCCGTCATTCGCGTGGATTGAAAATCTCGTAACCTTCACGCGGATTCGGCCCCTGCAGGGAAACATCGTCACCGCACAGCCAGAACGAAAGGCTGGGCGCGACCGGCGGAGGCATGTCCCTCGGCGGTATCACAATCAGGTCGCCGATGAAATATGCCCTGAAACACCCATCTCGCTGCGACTCCTCCCTAGGGAAAGCGATGCCGCCGTCGAATGTCCAAGTCTCCTCGCCCGTCTCCACCGTCCTAGTCCCCGATACGAAGACCGACCCGCTGACGCCATCGAACTTGCCCGTACCCTCCACAATCCTAAGCACTCGCTTCCAAAGCCAGGAGTCGCCAGCCACCGAAGGGCACACGAATCCTAGCGTCTGAGTCATCACCAGCCCATCGCCCTCCGGGGTCTGCCAGGTGAAACTGGTCTGACCCTCAGCCGGGGTGCTGCACGACCCATGCTGCCCCGTCACCCCCGACCAGTCGTCGTGGAAAATGAAACTCACCGTGCCGGAGCCCATCTCGCCCGCGTCGAATTCGCCCTCCAGTTCCACGCGGCACCTGCCAGTCAAGTCGCACTCCTCAGGGTTGACTATCTGGGAAGTGCCGGAGCCGCTCCCCACGAAGTCCTTCGTCCCAATAATCGCCTCCGCGTCGCCGCTCGCCAGCGCCAGAAGCGCCAGCACTGCCGCCAGCACGAGTCCTACCGCCCAACCCTCAACCTTACGAAACTCATGCGCCGCTGCTCTTCGCTTCTTCGTCTCGGTCTATTTGCACGACCACGCCATATACCAGCCCGACTAGAGGAACAAGCGCATACAGCAGTGCAAGCATCGACTGCCCTCCGAAGCCATCGCCGCCTACCTCCAGAAACACATGCACATCGCCCGGCTATGCTCGCCGCCAACAGCAGGCCAATCACGTTTCGGGTCATTCCCATGTCCAGCGTGCTCGGCTTCAGAAGCATTACAACTAAGGCAATCGCGGCAATAGGATGCAAGACTAGATGCAGGAAGATCTCCCATGCGCTCACGCCCTCGCCAAGACTTTGCGACACCCCGGTTACCACAGCATAGACCAGGTGAACGACAGCAAGCGCAAGAATGACATATCCGATAATCTTCATTCTCGCGCCCTTCCGTTTTCGGCTGCTAAAGACGCTCCACCTCATATCGTGCGAAATCCGAAGGAGTTATGACATCCACACCCTGAAATCGCTCAAGCACAAGCAGGTCATTGTCGCCCGTAACGATGCAGTCAGCATCCCCGGCAACCGCCGTGCCAAGAATCGCATCGTCATCCGGGTCCCGGCAAATCTGCGTTTCGAAGGTCTCAGGCTCGACGATTTCAGACGCTTCAAGAAGCGCTCCTACCCGCGCCCTAATTTTCCTCGCTTCCATGTCCGAACTTACAAGTAAGTGTATTTCTGAACTCATTCAGAATGCTCATCGAAAGGATAATAGTAATTCGGCGGTTCGATATACAATCATCCAGAAGCCTGCTGCACACCCCGTCAACAATGAACGCGGAAACAAGGATGTTTGTGTCTAGGACAACCTTCATGACACACGGTCAAACACGTCCTGATCGGTGAATATGCCCTGCTTTCGAGCTTTAGGTATCATCTCTTCTCGCATCAGGCGAATGCGACGGATAAGGAGGTGCCTCCTGAGCACATCCAAGACTACTTCTTCATCCGCGCATCCTTCTTCAAGCGCCATTTCTTCCAAATCAGATGCCATATCCTCCGGCACTGTAATGGCGATTGTCTTCTTCATAACTCAATCTCCCGTTGTCTTCACGAAACGCGATCATACACGTCCTGTTCAGAATAAATCCCCTGTTCCTCAGCTTTAGCAGTCATTTGATCGGCAACTGTGCGGAACTTATGAACAAAGACATACTTCTTCGCTGCTTCGAGGAATGCTTCTTCAACGGAAATTCCTTTGTTCAGTGCCATTGCTTCCAGTTCCGCTACCATATCATCCGGCACTGCAATAGTTATTTTCCTTGCCACGAGCCAACCTCCTGAAACATGCCAACCTCTACGCACAGTCTAACACGAACGGCCATGACCATCCGACACCACTTATCCTACCCATCCATCCTCACCACCAACTCCCCCGCAATCCCCGTATAGCCCGCAGGCGTCAGTGCCATCAGACGCTTCTTATCGTCCGGAGGCAGCTCCAATCCGCCAACGAACGCGCGCATATCATCTCCGGTAACGCTGCGCCCTCGCGTGAACCCCTTCAGCATCTCGTATGCGTCGCCCGCGCCCTGCTTTCGCATCACCGTCTGCACCGCCTCCGCAAGCACCTCCCATGCGTCGTCAAGCTCCGCGGCGAGCAGGTCCTCATCCACCGCAACCTGCCGCAAGCCGCGCATCGCAGCCTTCAGCCCCACTAGGCTGTGCCCAATCGCCGGCCCCAGGTTCCGCAGCGCCGATGAGTCCGTCAGGTCGCGCTGCAAACGCGACACCGGTAGTTTCGTCGCCAGGTGCTCCAGCAGCGCGCTGCTTATCCCCACATTCGCCTCCGAGTTCTCGAAGTTGATGGGATTCACCTTATGCGGCATCGTCGAAGAGCCGACCTCGCCCTCAACCGCCTTCTGCCTGAACACTCCCAGCGATATGTACGACCACATATCGCGGTCGTAGTCCAGCATCACCGTGTTGAACCGTATAAGCGCGTGGAATATCTCCGCAAGATAGTCGTGAGGCTCAATCTGCGTCGTCAGCGGATTGTGCGTCAGCCCCAGCCGCTCCACGAAGCCGCGCGCAATCCCATGCCAGTCCGCATTCGGATACGCGATAGCATGCGCGTTGTAGCTCCCCACCGCCCCGTTGAACTTCCCCAGGTACTCAGCGTTTTCGATCTGCCGAATCTGCCGCCGCCAGCGATACACGAACACCGCCAGCTCCTTGCCCAGCGTCGTCGGCGATGCCGCCTGCCCGTGCGTCCTCGCCAGCAGCGCCGTATCCGCATTCGCGTCTGCAAGTGCCGCAACACTGTCCACCAGCGCTCTCGCCTGCGGCAGCCACTCCTCCTCCAGCGCACCCTTGACCATCAGCGCATGCGACAGGTTGTTGATGTCCTCCGATGTGCAGCAGAAATGCACCCACTCGCACACATCCTCCATCGAAGTGCCCGCCAGCTTCTCGCGGATGTAATACTCCACCGCCTTCACATCGTGGTTCGTCGTGCGCTCGATCCGCTTCACCTGCATAGCGGCGTCATCGTCGAAATCATCGACCAGTCCGTGCAGCAACGCCTGCTCCGAAGCCGTCAGCGCGCGCATATCCGCGATGTCCGCGCAGCCCGCCATCTCCAGCAGCCACTCCACCTCCACCTGAACGCGCCGCTTGATAAGCGCCCACTCCGACAGGTGGTCGGCAAGCCCGCTCACCTGAGTCGCATAGCGTCCGTCCAACGGCGTTATAGCCCTGATAGTATTCACTGCCAATTTCCTATCCTGTCCATCAATCTCAGTTCCTAACCTATGTACCTCTCATACACAACCTTCGCCGCCGCCAAATCCCACATCGCCATCCCCAGCGACTTGAACAGCGTAATGTCTTCAGCACTGCGCCTGCCCGCCTTCTCGCCGCCCACGACCTGCCACAATTCGCTCACCTGTTCCCACAGAATCAGCCCTCTCGACGCAGGCATCAGCAGTTCACCGCACTCTATCTTTGCCTGCGCGATGCTGTCCACCGCAATGAAGTCCGCGCGCTGAATCGTTGCGTCATCCAGTTCCGTAACATACTCGTTCGCGCCGCCCACAGCGCAGATATGCGTGCCCGCCCGCAGCCACTCGCCATCGAACACAGGCGTGCGCGAGTTCGTAATCGTTACCAGAATGTCCGCAGACTTCACCACCTCACGCGGCGAATCTGCGGCTTGCACATCTATGCCAAGTGCATCCGACATGCCCCGCGCAAACCCGCTCCGACGCTCTGCATTTGGACTATACACGCGCGCCTTAATAATGGGACGCACGCTGCATATCGCCTCTAGCTGCGCGCCCGCCTGAAACCCGCTGCCAAGTATGCCCACTTCCGCGGAGTCCTCACGCGACATGTACTTCGCGCTCACCCCCGAAGCCGCGCCCGTTCGCCTCCGTCCGAGTTGATTCGCCTCTATCACGGCAAGCAGGTCCCCAGTCGCAACGCTATACAGAAGCACGAAGAAGCGATAAGCGCCGTCAACAATGGAATACACCTTGAAGCCGAACACACCCTGCTCGTGCAGCGCAGCCGTCATGTGCGCCAGCATCACGCCCGGCCCGCAATCGTGTGTCCGCGCGGCAGGTTCGTAGCAGTGCCAGCCGCCTGCTGCTTCAGCACCGCCTCCACCACGGGCACGGCTTCCTCGACAGTCAGCAGACGTTCGACATCGCCATCAGTAAGCCACAGGGAGGAATTAGTCATAAGAAGCCAGCACCTTATGTAGCATGTTTAGCCCTGTCGGTTCAGCGTTCACTGACCGATCGACTAACCGAAATACTGACTTGCTTGCTACGAGCGCACAGCGATTACACCGAGCCAACTTCGCGGCACATGCGTAATCTCCATCTCGTCGAAAGTCTGCCGCACACCGGATTGGAGCGCCTCGCTCGCCTCCTTCAGCGGCACGCCCGGCAGCGTCCCTTCGATGAAGTCCTGGAAGCCGCTGATGTCCAGCCAGCCCTCGATAGGCACCTGCACCGTCTCTATGTTCTGCCGCACGATGGTCATGCCATGCTTCTCAAGAAGCTCGTGGTACTGCTCAACCGTAAGCTGCTTGCGAGACTCCACCTTCTCCGTCCTGCTCGGCCTCAAACCATAATCGCGCCGCAGCGTACGGATCGACTTGAACATCCATTTGCGGTAGAACACCTCGCTCTCCGGCGGATGGCTGCCCTCGTAAAACGATGTGTTGAAGGCGAATTTGCCGCCAGGGTTCAGCGACTTGGCGATGTCGTCCAGCAGCGCGTCCTTGTCTGGGATGTAGTGAATTGCGTTGCAGAATACGACCGTGTCCACCGATTCTTTGAGCGAACCGGACAGCCCCTCGACCTGGCTGTGGACGAACTGAATAGCGGCATCGCGCCTGTCCTTCAAATTCTCCATCGCCTGCTTCAGCGCACTCGCCGAGTGGTCAACTGCAATGACCACCGACTCGCGGGCGTCGTTCAGGCGCCCCACAATCAGGTCCGTCACGCCTCCCGTGCCGCATGCAAGGTCCACAATGCGCTTATCCCTGCTGAGGTCAGCCATATCCACGAGCTGAGCGTTCAGCCCTTCATAGAAGGTGTTCTGAGAGAACTTCGAGAACGAATAATCTTCGGTTGTCATGGCACGCCTCCCGTTGCTGGCGCTCTGCTACGCAGCGCAATTATAACGGATAAACTGAATAAAAGGAATTGACCCACACCACACAATCCGCCATTTCCTCATCATCGGAACGGTCGCCTTTCTTCTTTGGCCTTTCTTCCTTGAAAGTAGAGGGTTGCGGGATGGAAATACCATCAAAGATAGATAGGTGCAAGGAAGTCATTGCTATCCACATCAGCCCTGGTCTAGGCAACATGGCGACACCTAGAAATTCTTACAAACTCACAAGGCTTGTGATATATTACACACATGAAACTCATTGACATATCCGTTGCGAAATGCTAGTTCGCAACGGACTGCTGATAACCAGCGCTGCGCTAATGCTGGTGACGCTCTACATGGTCTTCCTCTGGGTGCCCACCGAGCTTAATCTCGGCGTATCCCAGCGCATCTTTTATTTTCATGTGCCTCTTGGCTGGCTCGGCATGCTCTCCATTATCGTAGTGGCAGTCGCCAGCATCGTTCACCTTGTAACCGGCAGCCAGTGGTGGGACGATCTAGCCTACTCTACCGCAGAGATAGGCGTCATATTCGCAAGCCTCATCCTCGTACCGGCGTTATCTGGGCGACGGCGACCTCGGCTGGTGGTGGACATGGGACCCCAAGCTCACGACCACTCTTGTCCTCTGGTTCATATTCGTTGGCTACCTGATGGTGCGCGCATACGCCCCCAAAGGCTCGCAGAGCGCTCGCTTCGCGTCAGTCATCGCCCTCTTCGGCGCGATAGACACTCCCATCATTTACATGGCGACTGTCTGGTGGAGTACCGCCCACCCTGAACTCAACGTCGGCCCTGTCGCAAGCGACCGCGACGAAATCGGCTCCAACAAGATTTACACCACACTGCTCGTATCCGTAATAACCTTCACCATCTTCTACATCCATCTGCTGGTCGAACGCTTCCACCTGCGCCGCGCCGAATCCGCCCTCGACAGCCTGCACCAAGCCTTCGCCGCTCGCCTCTAACACGCAATATCCTGTCCATCCTGTGTATCCTTGTTAGCCCTGCTCGGAGACGAACCTTGAAATACATCGCAATCGCAGCAGCAGCCATCATCATTCTCGCAGCCGTGCTTCTCCCCGGCGCAGCAGCGGTCGCCCACGCCTATGACGAGCCTCCCGCGCCCATCGTTGCTGAAGCTCCCGCGCAGCAGCAGCGCGGCGAAGCCGAACTACCCTGGCTCTTCGCCGTCTATGCCATCACTTGGGCAGCATTCTTCGCCTATGTATTCTTCATGTCCCGCAGACAGCGCGAAATGCAGCACGAAATCGACACCCTCAAGCGCGCACTTGATGCTAAAATGGACACGCAGGAGGGCTAAGATGAGTGTGAATGAGCTACTCCAGAGGGTCCATTTCGTGGTTGACAACGGTGGCAACAGGACAGCCGTAGTACTCGACTACGAGGACTGGGAAGAGTTGATGACACTTCTGGAAGATATTGAGGATGCCGAGGAACTCAGCCGCAGCGCGGATTCTGAGGAAGAACTGATTCCTTGGGAGCAGGCGCAAGCGGAACTGAGGGCAAAAGGGATTGACGTATAGGGTTCATATAGCGCGTCGCGCAATGAGGGACATCGAACGAATCAATCCCCAATATACTCGCTTGATTAGTCAGCGCATCACAGCTCTTTCGGAAGACCCTCGGCCACAAGGCGCAAGGCGGCTGCGAGGACAGACAGGCTACAGATTGCGTGTAGGAGTGTACAGAGTTCTATACCAAATTGATGATACTGCGCGAACTGTTACTGTTCGCCGCGTAATGCATCGCAGAGAGGCCTACCGCTAGAACAATTTGCCACTCCCCTCATTCCTGCTTTTACAGGAATCCACCGTAGCTTTTGGGCGATAAAATATGACCGAAGACCTTACACAACCCGAAATCATAGAAGAACCCGGCGGCATATTTGCCTCCAAGGGCAAAGTCATCGTCGCTACAGTCGTACTACTCGGCGTGCTAGGCTACGGCGTGTACATGACGCTGCTGAGCGCAACCGTGTACTCCTACACCGTCAGCGAACTAACCTCGCTCGGTCCCACGCCGGAGGGAAAGCTAGTGCGCGTCAACGGCAGCCTTGTCGAGGACTCATTCGTGCGTCCCGACGGCTCCACAATGGCGCACTTTACCCTAACGGACAAAGACGATCACACGCATGTCATCGCTTCAAGCTACGATGGCGTCCTCCCCGACCTGTTCTTCAACCCCCACTCCGAGATTATCCTCGAAGGCGCCTACCGCGCCGACGGTGTGTTCGACAGCCAGAACGTCCTGGTGAAGTGCCCTTCCAAGTACATCGAAGCTGAAGAGGAAGGCGCCTACGACCAGTCCGCCTACACCGAACAGAAGGACGGCTGACGCTGCCCATCAATACCTCATTGATTGGCTCGAAGTCCCTTCCCACTTGACGGGGGAAGGTTAGGATGCGGGGGGTGATGGCACGCCGCCCTGATCCTGTCGATGTATATGTCAAAGAGCAGCCCTAAGTCGTAATCGCCCCGTCCACATAGAGCAACTCCAGCGCCTCCGCCGCAGCCCGCTCACCTGCATCGCCATGCTCGGCTCCATACCCTTGCACAACGATGCAATCGCATCCGAAGCCGTTCCCTCACCATCCAGTCGGCTCAGCAACTGCGATACAAGCGCGCTGCATGGAATGCCCTCCGGATGCGCGTCCGTAACCAGGCCCACACCCCACACGAAACGCTCTTCGGCAAGGACAGGCTGCCGCTGCAAGCGTACTCCATCAGCCAATCGCAATGGGATATCAGGCTGCAAGCCCTGCTCCCGGCGGCGCTGTCGCTCCGACTCAACCGCGGCAACGCTGTCGCCGAACGCGGACGGTGGAAGCCCTCTCGAAAGCGCGACACGCTCATAGCCTCGCGCAGGTTGCCCGGCTACCAGTTGGATGAACGACTGCCGTGGCGTGAGCGAAGGGTCGTCGTCCAGCAGACGGCGCGCCTCCCAGAAATACGAATCGGCTGTGCGGTTGCTGGAATAGAATAGGCGCGCCAGCTCGCGGAAATGCCCGTATTCCCTGTAATACATCTGCTCGTACATCTTGCCGGCGGGACCGGCAATCGTAGGGTCTTCCAATGCGGAGACGACAACCACGGACGCAAGGGCGGCATAGGTCAAAGCGAGGTGGACGCCGGACGAAAACAGAGGATCGATGAAACAGCCGGCATCCCCGACCAGAATATAGCCGGGACCGCTCAGCGATTGGCAGCGATATGACCAGTCCCGCACCACCTCCGGACCGGATAACAAAGTGGCAGACTCCAATAGCCCGGCAAGATAAGGGGCGGCGGCGACCTGTGATTCCAGGAAGCGGCGGGCGCCGAGTTCGCGGACGCCCTGCTGACCGACTTCTGCATCCACCACCGCGCCGACACTTGCCCACCCTTCGCGCAAGGGGATGTGCCACAGCCAGCCATCAGGCTGGGATTCGATGAGGATGTTTCCCTCGTCGGGCGTTGGCAGGCCTTTGCCGCCTTTGTAGTAGCCGTACACCGCAAGGTTGCGAAAGAAATCGTCCCACTCCCGCAGACCTAGCTGCCGCGAAAGCACACCGCTCTGCCCGCTCGCATCCACCACGTATCGGGCTGGCAGCTCGATTTCCTCGGACAAATCATCTGCCGGACGGCAGCGAACGGCAGCGGCAGCGCCTTTGTCGTCAAACACGACCTGTGTGGCTTGCCAGCCTTCGCGCACGTCCACGCCGGTACGACGAGCGTTGTTTAGCAGGATGGCGTCGAAGTCGGGACGCCAGACTTGGTAGGAATGGGGATTGCTGGCGTGTGTTTCCCTGAAATACCAACTCCAGGGTTCGCGTTCAACGCCCCAGATCATTGTTGCGCCGGGCTTGACTACGAAGGCGGCGCGACGCACCTCGTCCATCACACCGAGGTTGTCCAGAATGGGGATGCTGCCCGGGAAGCAGCGACTCGCCGACATGCGCGCGCGGGAAGCGCTCTCGCTCCAGCAGGATGACTTCGTGCCCCATGCGAACGAGCAACGTGCTGACGCACGAACCCGCAGGGCCGCCGCCAATTACTATGATGGGCTTGTCAAGAGACATAAGAAGTTAAAGCGTATCAAACAAATGGAGAGGACTATAAATCCTCTCCATTCTACACATTGATGTCAGCCCGTGAACCTACGCCTCAAATCCGGCTGTGCGGTGCGTCCCATCGCAGAAGGGCTTGTTGTCCGACTCCCCGCAGCGGCACAGGAACACCATGTCGCCATCGCCGTCAATCGCAATCTCGTTGCCGTCCGCGTCAACAATCTTTATACCGCCCTGCACCATATAGGGCCCGTTCTTCCGTGTCGTAACCGTCGTATCTGCCATAATCTTCTCCCTTTCTCGCTATCAAACCTACTCTGTTCCTTCCTCCTCGATGGGGGAAGGTTAGGATGGGGGGTGATATATTGCCCCATCAATCCTATCTATCGCTGCGCGCCCTTCCATCGCCCTGATAAACTCCGGCACAACCTCTGTGTAATCTCCCACGATGCCGAAGTCCGCCGCCTTGAATATCGGAGCGCGCGCGCTGCTGTTGATGGCGACCACCGTGCCCGCCTTGCCTATGCCCACCGTATGGTTGAACACGCCGCTCAACGCTACGGCGACATACAGGTTCGGCGACACCGACTTGCCGGACAGCCCAATCTGGTATTGGCGCGGCAGCCAGCCCAGTTCAGTTATGTCCCTCGTCGCCCCTAGCGGCGCATCCAGCGCATCCGCAAGCTCCCGAAGCAGCGGCAGGTTCTCCGGCCCGCCGATGCCCTTGCCCACGCCCACTATTGTATCCGCGCTGTCAAGTTCCGCGCCCTCAGCCGACGCATCCACAACGCGCTCAATGGTCTGTACGCGCGCCTCCCCCAGCGAATCCAGTGGTATATGCTGCACAATAGGGTCGATGCTTTCGTCAGGCGACACCGGCGTCAGCAGCCCCGGTCTCACCGTCGCCATGTACGGCTTCGTGTTAGAAAGTATCGGCGCGACTATGTTGCCACCAAACGCGGGCTTCAGCTGCACCAGCCGTCCCTCATCGTCCACCTCAAGCCCGATGCAGTCCCCCGTCAGCCCCAGGGACAGCCTGCCCGCGAGTCGCGCCGCAAGTTCCCTGCCGATCACTGTCGATCCGAGCAGCACCGCATACGGCCGATGCTCACGAATCGCGTCCGCCAGCACTCCCGTGTACTGAGACACCTCATAGTTCGCCAGTCGATCATCCTGCGCCAGCAGCACCGTGTCCGCGCCGTATGCCGTCAGAGCGCCCGCGTGCTGCTCTGCCTCATCACCCAGCAGCACAGCCTCTACGCTCGTATCCAGCATGTCCGCGATCTCGCACGAGCGACCCAGCAGTTCCAGTGTAATTGGACGCAACTCGCCGCCAAGCGTCTCAGCCACCACCCAGATTGCTCCCAATTGCCCACGCTCACGCCGCGCCCCGCGCTCAACGGCCGCGTCAGCCGCATCATCGCCGCCGCCTCCATCGAACATCCCACGACTGCTGAGATACGCCATCAGCTCCGCAACCGCCTCTTCCATCGGCTTGTCCCGCGCCACTATGCCGTCGCGCTCAGGCTCTATGGAATATATCTCGCTCACCCATGTCGGCGATCCTTCCGTGCCGAACACCGACAGATCATCGCTCAGATCTGCAGCGGTCAACGTGGTAACGGGCTTCTCCAGCGCAGCCTGCCGTTCCGCCCGCCGAGGATATATCTCAGGCGCGACATCCTCAGTAACCGTGATGAGCGCCGGCATCGCGCACATCGCACAACATCGTGGCCCTCGTCGGTAATTCGCTCCGCTGTAAGAGACGCACTGCCGTCAGTGGAGACATCCAGCTCAAGATGGCGCACCCCGCTCACCTGCGGCAGATCGAGCATCTCCGCTATCTCTGCGCCCACCTGCCCCGTCTCCGCATCAACGCTGTTGCGCCCGCAGATAATCAGGTCGTACTCGTCTCGCGCCAGCGCAAGAGCAAGCGCGCGCGCCGTTGCCAGCGTATCGCTGCCCGCGAACGCGCGGTCGTTGAGGTGCACCGCGCTGTCCGCTCCCATCGCAAGGCACTGCACCAGCGCGTCTCGTGCTTGCGGCGGCCCCATCGTATAGACCACCACCTCAGCGTCATGATCCTGTTTCAGATTGACCGCAAGCGACATCCCAAGCACATCGAAGGGATTGACTTCGCTCGGCACGCCATCGCGCACGACCCGCCGCGTCTCATTGTCGAACTTCAGCAACGAGACCACCGGCACCTGCTTAATGCAAACAGCTATCTTCATGACACAAATTGGTCTCTTTTCTCTTGAAAGGGAAGGTTAGAGCTTGTCTTGGGATCGCTGAAGGAATGAGAGCGCACTGGTTCAGGCACGATGAATGTTATTCCTTACGCGCTCGGCAAAGCCCGCGGGCACAGCCTGCGTTGACATGCCTCGCAGTACGGCTATCGTCTCGCGCAGTGTGCGGAAGAACGCCTCGCACAACGGGCAGTCGCCTAGGTGCGCGCGGATCTTCTGCTCCAGCGCCGAGTCAATCTCCCCGTCAATGTAGTCAGACGAGTGATTGCGCGCCTCTTCGCAGGGCTGCGGCAGCGCACTGCGCCCAAGTAATCTTAATATGCGAGCCTTCAGGGACATCATCATTTTCTACGCCTAGCGCTCTACCTCTAGCCAAGTGCAAGTATATCAGCAAACCTACATGGCGCAAGCCGACAGACTTTTACTTATTGGATGCTCTCACTTACAATTGGATGCAAGAGATATAAACTATGACTAACCAAGACGAGACAGCACAGAGCGACCCGACGCCGATGGAGTTCGACGACATCGTTGAGATGTACTCGAGTTCGTGTACAACGTCGCCTACAAGATGATGGGCAACCCGCACGACGCCGAAGAGGTCGCGCAGGACGCCTTCCTGTCGGCATACCGCGCATTCGCTCGATTTCGCGGCGAGTCCCGCGTCACAACATGGCTCTACCGCATCACCGTAAACGCCGCGCTAATGCGCATCAGACGCGAAAAGCGCGCACGCGAGTTGCGTTGGGTCGGCATCGAGAACCTGGAAGTACCAAGCTGGGAAGACTCCCCGGAGCCGTCCACGATTAACTCCGAGCTAGGTGCGAAGATACAGGAGGGCATCGCGCGTCTCCAGCCCGAACTTCGCGCCGCCGTCGTGCTCCGAGATGTCGCCGGCCTCTCCAGCGCGGAAGCAGCCGAAGCGCTCGACATCACCGTATCATCGCTCAAGTCCCGCCTCCACCGCGCCCGCGTCCTGCTACGCCAGCACCTCGCCGAGTACGCACCTAGACGTTAGGCGCCATCGGCGTCAACCTCACCCCCATCGCTCCCTCGCACCACGCCGCCGCCGCAAGCAGACCCGCCTCATCGAAATGCCCCGCGACTAGCTGCACGCCCATAGGCATCCCGCCCTCACTCAACCCCGACGGCAGCGTAATCTCAGGGAATCCGCCGAATGTCCACGGCGACTGAAACTTCGGATCGCCCGTCGTCTCGCGGCTTGGCGGCGCAGGCGCAGGCGTTGTAGGCATAATCAGCGCGTCATAGCCCCGAATCGCCGCCTGCACGCCACGCCTGAACTCGCGCTGCAAGTGCTTCGCCTTCAGGTATGTCAGCGCGGAGTGTCGCCAGCCCTTGCTCGATCAGTCCGTGCACATTCGACGAGAAAATCATCCGCTCGCACGGCAAAGTTGCTCTCATGCACCTGCGCCCCCTCCACCGACATCAGCGCGCGCTGCCCCAACAGCGCCGCGTCGAAGTCCACCGGCAGCGACACCTCTTCCACGATAGCGCCCGCCTCGCACAGCTTCTCGACCACCGAGGATGTATTATCGCGCGTCTCGTCATCGCACTGCTCCATGAAGAACTGCGCGCACCAGCCCAATGCGCGGCGGCTTCCTCTGCGATTGAGACGCCTGCAGATAGTCCTCCGTGGCGCGCTCCGACGAGTCAGGGTCGTTGATGTCATGCCCGGCCAGGGCGTTCAGCATCAATGCCGCGTCCGCAACGCTGCGCGTCATAGGCCCCATCGTGTCCAGCGACTCCGACACCGGGTACACGCCATATCGGCTCACCCGCCCGAACGTCGGCTTAAGCCCCACAATACCGTTGTACGAAGAGGGACGCACGATTGAACCGCCTGTCTGCGACCCAAGTGCTGCCGGAAACATCCCCACCGCCGCGCCCACAGCAGACCCGCTGCTTGAGCCACCCGGCGTGTGCGCCGCATTCCACGGGCTGACGGTAGGCGCAGGGTCGCCACATGCGAATTCTGTCGTAACCGTCTTGCCCATGATATCGCGCCCGCACGCTTCAGCAGCGCAACGGTAGTCGCGTCATAGTCCGGCACAAACTCCGCATATATCGTCGAGCCGCTCGTCGTCAGCACCCCCCGCGTGAAGTAGATGTCCTTGATACCCACCGGCACGCCGTGCAGCGGGCCCGCGCGGCCCCTCACTCGCAAGCTCCCGGTCCCGCTCTCGCGCAGCAGCAAGCGCAGCATCCCCGTCCAGCGTAACCCACACTTTCAGCGCACCCTCCAGCGCATCGCACTCGCGCAGAAGTGCGCCCCATCAGCTCCGCCGCGGACATCTCTCCGTTGCGTATAGCCTCAGCAGCCTCAACCACGCCAAGCTCATGCAGTTCGTTCATGGCATCATCCTTTCGCGGAGTTGGTTAGCAATTCAATCTATTGATGAGAACGAGTATAAGTTATCGACACACTTCCTCATTTGCTGATAAACTAACCCCCGATAAATCGAAATACTATCGTTTGGAGTATCTTATGCCCCGACTGACCAATCAGCAACTCAACGACTTTCTCACCTCCGGAGCGCACCTTATGAAGCTGGCGACGCTCACCTCAGAAGGCTGGCCCTATGTCGCGCCCATCTGGTACGACTACGATGGCGAGGCATTCTATGTAGCGGGAAGACGCACGGCGAACTGGGTGGCGCACATCCGCGACGACGAGCGCGTGTCCTTCTGCATAGACACCTGCGACGCGCCATACACTCGCGTCATCGTCGAAGGCAAGGCGGAACTAGTTGACGGCGCTGGATGGGCGACTGGAAGCACTGGGCGGTGCGCTATCGCGGCGAGGAAGAGGGCACGCAATACTACGAGGAGACCAAGCACATGCCCCGCGCCTACATCCGCATCACGCCGCGCAAGATAACCACCTGGGCAGGTCCCGGCTGGCATCCCCGCTATCAGGAATAGTCCAGTTGAGCCGATGAAGCAAAAGATGAAGGTTGGGGAAGTGAGGACCTGATGCAAATACTTAATCGCTTAGTTGGAGCGCTGCTGCTGCTTACAGCAGCGATTGTCGGAATCTACTTCGTAGTTGACCAGCTTGAGGTGTTGCCCTTCCTGTGGGGAGAACTCGACTACCTCATGGCACTGGCACTTGTGCTCGGCGTCATATTCGCCTACCTGCGAAAGCGCAGCCTCGAATCCGCCGGACTAGACCGCATAGTCACGCGCCGATACTTCGAAGCAAACCTGCTGTTCTACGGCTTCGTCGCAATGGCGATGCTCTTCTTCTGGAACTGGTTCGACCTGCTTGTCGATGCCGACCCTCAGGACACCGACCATAACATAGTCTGGATTATCGTGGACACTGTAGCGCCCCTGCTCTGGGGCGCGCTCGGCATTTTCCTGCTGCGCGGCGGCAAAGACGACTAGCAAATTGTGCAGTTAAAAGTCATTAGTTGGATGAAGGCGGACGAAAGGAGCGGTAACCTTGGACATTCTCAAGCGAGCAGTGGGCGTCTTCCTAATCGTGGTCGGAGTGGTGGTTGCACTCCACACCATAGTCGAGCCGCTCTACCACACCACAAGCGATGCACAGCCCTACGCCCCGCTCTGGAACATCCTCGACCCAATAATGGCGGTCGCCATCGTCCTAACCGTGATATTCGCCTACATCCGCAAGCGCGATGTTGACGGCAGCGGTGGCGCAACCATCACCCGAGAGTTCTGGGAGCAAACATAGTCTTCTACGGCATCATCTTCGTGGGCATCATGTTCTTCTGGAACTGGTTCAACCAGATCAGCCCCGCATACGCCACCGTAGGAACGGATGTGGTCTCGATGACATGGATTATCATCGATGCTGCATTGCCTCTCCTATTGGGCGCGATGGGCATATCCATGCTCAACGCCGACGATGCCTGACGAATGCAACTATACCCCTTCCCCCTCGAAGGGGAGGGCTAGGATGGGGATGAGAACACCCCTGCCACTAGAAAGTCATCGACACCTTCAGCGCACCGTCCTCACGCGACTCCGCAAGGTCGAACGCCTCCTGCACCCGCTCCACCGGGAACTGGTGCGTCACGAACGGCGCCATGTCTATCTCGCCCTTCGTGATGAAATCAGTCGCAAGTGGAACGCCGGCAGTCCCGGCTCATCCTGCGCCCCGAAAGTCGTATAGAGGTCAAGGCGCTTGCGGAAGAAGGTGTCCCAGTCGAACGGTATACGCTCCATCGTCGGCGGCAGCCCGAACACCGCAACCGTGCCGAGTGGCTTGACCATCTTCAGCGTCTGGTTCAGCGTCTCCACGCTGCCGCACGCCTCGATGACCACATCTGCGCCCTCGCCGCTCGTCAGATCCAGCACCGCATCTGTCGCCCGGTTGCCCGTAACATCAATCGTGTGGTCAACTCCCATGCGCGCGCCATGCTCTCGCCGAGCCTCCACCGGCTCCACCGCGATAATGCGATGCGCCCCCAGCCGTCCGCAGCATGAAGTCATGGAACAACCCGACCGAACCCTGACCCAGCACCGCGACCGTCTTGCCCAGCAGCGGCGGCAGCTTGCGCGCCCCGAACACCACCGTGCCCAGTTGCTGCGCCATCAGCAGGTGCGCCGGCGGCACATCCTTAGGCAGCTTCAGCAGAAACTGCTCCTCGATCATCTGGTAGCCCGCGAACACCTTCGACTTCCAGATATTCGGCGCGGTCAGCACCAGGTCCCCCTCCTCAAACGAAGTGTCGCCCGGATCAACCACCTCGCCCACGCCCTCATGCCCCGGATACCCGTGCGGCAGCGGAAACTCATGCGCGTTCCAGCCCATATACACGATATGCAGGTCGCTCCCGCATATCGAGCCTAGCATCGTCTTCACCAACGCATGCCCCGGTTCCATTGCAGGAATCGGCACTTCATCACAGCGCAGTTCTCGCAGCCCCGTCGCAACCGCCGCCGGCATCATAGTCATGTCATTGTTCCTTTCCGAATCGTCATTTCGCGTCTCTGCTACAATCATCTGATACTGCCAGAAATTGTGAACCCAGAGCGTGGTCGTGTCAAGGAAATGCCGTCTAATTCGCCACGCAGGGAGGAGTGTACTGTGCTGCGCGCAGCCATATTGCTTGCACTGACAGTCCTTCTAGTTGCCGCGGCGCTCCACGCCTCCACCGACCAAGCCCACGCCTGCTCCTGCGTCCCACCTCCGCCACCGAAGGAAGCCCAAGCCAAGTCTGAGGCAGTCTTCGCTGGCAAAGCAGTCGCCGTTGGCGGCCTCCCGCCCGGCGGACACAACTCGGACGACCCGCGCATAGTCGCATTCAAGGTCAGCACCGTCTGGAAGGGACCGTCCTACGAAACCCTGTTCATCACAACCGACATAAACGAAGCAAGCTGCGGATTCACTTTCATTGAAGGCAGAGATTACATCGTGTACGCATGGAAGGGCGTGGATGTGATCTTGTGCAGCCGCACCGGCTTTACAGAGAACGCCCAAGAAGACTTTGCCGCGTTGGGAGAAGGCAGCGTACCCGAACCCGGGTCAAGTTCGCCCGTACCCAAGTCCAGACCCGACCTCGTGCCGCCTAGCGGGTGTAACCTTCCCTTCGTCTATGTGCCCGGGCATATTGACCTCTCGGCCTTTGGACTGATAGCCCCACTCGCATGGCTTGCCTGGCGCAGACGCTCACGGAGATAGGCTGGCCGTGATACTGTGTAAACTGATGACAGGAGAAACTCAAATGCCCATGCATAACCCACCCCATCCGGGCGAGATAGTGAAGTACGAATGCCTCGAACCACTGGGGCTGACCGTCACAAGGGCAGCGCAAGGATTGGGAATAAGTCGCCAAGCGCTCTCCGAGCTCATTAACGAAAGGTCCGGCATATCTGTGGACATGGCGATTCGGCTATCCCAGGCGTTCGGCTCCAGCCCAGAAACTTGGCTCAGAATGCAGATGGCTTACGACTTGTGGCAAGCCCGCGAACATGCCGCTCAAATCAAGGTAGAGAAATTCGCCGCGTCAACACCATGACACGACCCGCAACCACAATCGCCATCGCCGCCATCCTTGGCCTCCTCGCCGTCATTGCAGGTGCAGCTGGCACACACGCACTCCGCAACACACTTGACGCAGACGCACTCCGCACCTTCGAGACCGCCGCCCGCTTCCAGATGTACCACGCCCTCGCGCTCCTTGCCACCGGCATGCTCTCCATGCGCTGGCAGATTCGCGCCCTCACCATCGCCGCCGCGCTCTTCACGCTTGGCACAGTGCTCTTCAGCGGCAGCCTCTACATCCTCGCGCTCACCGGTATCGGCATCTTCGGCGCAATCGCCCCCATAGGCGGCATCTGCCTCATGGCAGGCTGGGCAACCCTCGCCTTCGCCGCCTTCCGCACGAAGTAGCCATTCCGTCAATTCATCCATGTCCGCCGTCCGTCTGATATGATATGCCAAATCAAAATCGCAGTACGGAGGACAAAACATGCCCAACAGCGAAGATATGAAACAACGAATACGCGACGGTGAGATTCTCATCGGTGTGGCCGCGCCGCTCAACGCCTCAAAGAGCCTGATGGAGGACACCCTCGGCAAAGACGACTACGCCTTCATCCACACCGACAGCCAGCACGGTCCATTCAACGAGGAAACGCTCGTGCAGTTCTGCGCCAACGCCGCCGAGCTCGACATCCCCGTGCAGTTCCGCATCAAGCACACCCGCCACGCATACCTCATCGGCAACCTGGTTGACCTCGGGCCCGCAGGTATCGAAGTGCCGCAGGTCGAAGAACTGTCTGTTGCGCAGGAAGCCGTGGACTACTTCTACTACCCGCAGTTCGGCAAGCGAAGCTGGGGCGGCGCAGCCCGCTGGAAGGTGCAGGGCCGCGAGGACAGGCTTGAGTACGCCGAGTGGTGGAACAGCCATGGCTGGCTATGCCTGCAAATGGAGTCCATACTCGCAACCAGCAACGCCCGCCTGCTCGCAATGGAAGGTGTGGACTGCCTCACCTGGGGACCAAACGACCTTCTCGGCGACATCGAGAAGCATCCCAAGCACCCATTCCAGAGCGTGGACGACTGCGTGAAGCACGTACTCACCCAGCTTGAGGGCAGCACCACCCGCGTCTCCTTCCGCAGCTACGATCCCGCCCTGCGCAGCAAGTACATCGACATGGGCGTAACCATCCTCATGGAAAACCCCAAGCCGTAACAGGAACCAACACCGATAGACAGGCAACTAAAGTCCCTTCCCCCTTGATGGGGGAAGGTTAGGATGGGGGTGTATTCTCCTTCGTCATCCTGTCTATTATGTCCATCAATGTGAAATTTATGGAGTGATTTCATGGCTGACCGTATCAGAGTGGGCAACGCCGAGATAGTATTCGCGCTGGACATGATCCCGCCTGCGCGACCGCCCGACGCCTTCTTCGAGGGCGTAACCGCAGCAGACTGGGAGCCGTACAAAGACATCCTCGAAGACGGGCAGATACAGCTCTACTACGGCCACTTCTTTGTGCGCTCGATGGGCAAGACTGTGATGGTGGACACCGGCATGGGCCCCGGTCCCCATGCCGACCGTGGCAACGTCAGGGGCGACCTCCTGAACGCCATCCGCGCGCAGGGCGCAAGCCCCGAGGACATCGACATCGTGGCGCACACCCACCTGCACGGCGACCATGTGGGCTGGAACATAGACCACAGCGGCGACTCGCCCAAGCCGTACTTCCCCAACGCGCGCTACCTTGTTCCGCGCCTCGACTGGGAGCACTTCACGCAGCCGGAGCACCTCGCCTACTCGCCCCAGGTCCGCGACAGCGTAATACCTCTGGAGAAGCTAGGCCTCATGGACCTCGTCGACGAGGGCCACCAGATTACCGAAGAGATGACCACACTGGACACCCCGGGCCACACCCCGGGCATCAGGTCATCCTCATCAGTTCGCAGGGCGAGCGCGCGATGATAGTCGGCGACGCCATACACAGCAACGTGCAGATTCAGGAACCCGACTGGTGCGCCGGCGTAGATACCAGCAAGCCCGACAGTCGCCGCAGCCGTCACTCCCTACTGCAGCGCGCCGAAGACGAAGACTATGTCATCGCAGCGGGCCACTTCCACCCCGAGCAGCACATCGGCAAAGTCATACGCTCCAACGGTCGTCGCTACTGGCAGGCGCTGTAAGTAAATTCAGATCTAGGTGAGAAACATGTCAATAATGGTCACCGGCGGCACAGGCTTCATCGGCAGGCGCATCGTCCGTGAGCTAACCGACCGCGGCGAGGAGGTCGTCAGCTTCGATCTCGCGCCACCACCACCTCAGCAGGAAGGCGTAACCTACTACCGTGGCGATGTCACGCAGTTGCCGCAGCTTCTGGAAGCCTGCAACACGCACGGCGTAACGCGCATCGTCCACATGGCCGCGCTCCTGCCACCCGACACCGAAGACCGCCCTCACTTCAGCATGCAGGTCAACATCGGCGGCACAAACAACGTCTTCGAGGCGGCACGCTGGTGCGGCATCGAGCGCGTCGTCTATGCAAGCTCCATAGCAGTCTATGGCGTGCAGGAGACCTTCGGCGACAGACCCGTCAACGAAGACGACCTGTCCGCGCCCCCACAACGTCTATGGCATGACCAAGGCAGTCAACGACTTCGCAGCAGCCCGCTACCGCGACCTCTACGGCCTCGACCTGCGCGGCATTCGCATCTGCACCGTCTTCGGGCACGGCCGCGTAACCGGCATGACAGGCATGATCGGCGGACTCATGATCTCGCTTCCCGCAGTCGGTGAGCCAATAGACTTGCCCTTTGACCCCGATGAACTCTCGCCTATGATTCACGCCGAAGACGCCGCCCAGATATTCGTGCGCGCCGCCCTCGCCGAGAACCTGAACCATCCCGTCTATATCAGCGGCGGTCACCTGTGCAACATCGGCGACATGGCAGACATCGTGCGCAGCATCATTCCCGACGCCCATATCACAACCGGCGAGCGCAAAGTGCCGCACATCTACCTCGTTGACAACAGCCGCATGCTCGCCGACATCGGCTACGAGATCGCCCCGCTGGAAATGCGCATCCGTGACCACATCAACGACGCCCGCCGAGAAGCGGGGCTTGAGCCCGTCTCATAGTCTTGAACAGCGCCGAGGCTCTGCTGCCATCCCTACTGATCTCCATCCCCGAGGGCGTCATCGACCTCGGCTGGGGGCACCCATCACCACGCCTTCACCCGACCGACATGCTGCGCCGTGCGACAGACATCGTCCTCGCAGACGGCGCGCCCATCCCGCTCCAGTACGGAGCGACCCAGGGCTACGGCCCCCTGCTCCACTCACTCGCAGAGTTCCTGTCCGCGCAGGACTCCTATACCTCACCAGTCTCGCCCCAAGAACTGTTCCTAACGGCAGGCGCGTCGCAGGCAATTGATCACACCACCACCCTGTTCACCCAGACGGGCGACACCGTCTTCGTCGAAGAGCCGACCTACTACCTGATACAAAGCATCTTCGAGGATCACGGACTGAAAGTCGTAGGCGTGCCCACCGACAACGACGGCCTACGAATGGATGCCCTCGAAGCGATGCTCGCAGACCGGTCCGTGCAAGCGCCGAAGATGCTCTACATCATTCCCACCTACCAGAACCCCAGCGGCAGCGTGCTCCCAGCCGACCGACGCAGCAAGCTCGTCGAACTAGCGCAGCAGCACGGCTTCCTCGTGCTCGCCGACGAGGTTTATAACCTGCTGTACTACGGCAAGCCGCCACCCCCACCAATCGCGTCCTTCGACACCTCCGAGGATGGCTGCATTATCTCGCTCAGCTCATTCTCGAAGATACTAGGCCCCGGCCTGCGGACAGGATGGCTTCAAGCGCGCCCTCCGCTCATACAGCGCTTCGCCACCGCAGGCCTCACCATAAGCGGCGGCGGCCTGAACCACTTCACATCCACGCTAGTTCACGCCGTCTTAGAGCAAGGCATGCTTGAGGACAACATCGCAATCCTCCGCAGCACCTACGGCGAGCGTGTTTCCGCAATGTCTGCCGCAGTGCGAAAGCACCTCGGCGATGCGGTTGACTTCACCGCGCCCGGCGGCGGCTACTTCTTCTGGCTGACCTTCAACGACAGCACCAACACCGACGCGCTCCTTCGCATCGCGCAGGAACACGGCGTCAACTATCGCCCCGGCACCGCCTTCTCCGCCCAAGGTGCGTTCACGAACGCCATCCGCCTCGCCTTCGCCCTCTACGAACCCGACATGCTCGCAGAAGGCATCCGCCGCATCGCAGAAGCGCATAAGACCTCGCAGTGATGCTCATGAGATGAGGGGAAAACAACGACTATCATCTTCTAAATAATTCACACAAATCGCATGTTATCATTAGGCGCATGAACGGCAGGGAGTTTGTCAGGCGCGCTCGGCGGTATGCCCGCAGGAACGGGCTGAGCTTCGACTTCGACCCGACTCGCGGCAAGGGCAGCCATGGCGAAGTTTAACATTGGCGACCGCAGCACAATCGTACAGCAAGGCGAAATTCCCCGACGTACTTTTGCTGCAATGCTCAGACAGCTCGAAATTGATCGTGAGGAGTTCTAGGCTATGCGATATGCTTTCCCGTGCGACATCGTTTTGGATGATGAAGAGGCAAAGGCTACGGGCAGAGAAGCCTATGTAGTAACTTTCCCTGATGTTCCTGAAGCGATCACTGGCGGCTGGTCTTGGCAAGAGGCTTTGGATATGGCAGAGGACTGCTTGGCTGTCGCCTTGAGCTTCTACGTTGACGGGAGCGAAGACCTACCGACTCCCGGCCCTCTCGCCGACGGACAAGTGCTTATCGCTGTGCCGCTCATCGTTGCGGCGAAAGCTCACCCTCTACACAGCCATGCGTGAGCAGGACATAACCGACGCAGACCTCGCCACCAAGTTGGGGATGCCCGAAAACGCCGTCCAAAAGCTGCTCAACCCCAATCGTTTCTCCCACATCAGCCAAGTCGAGCGCGCGCTCAAGGCGCTTGGTCGCTCTCTGATAGTCGAAGATGTGGTCGCCGTCTGACCAAGTTGCCCTTGTCATACTGAACAACGCCATCCGCCTCGCCTTCGCCCTCTACGAACCTGACATGCTCGCAGAAGGCATCCACCGAATCGCAGCCGCCCACCACGAAGCAGGTGGACACAGGGCATAGCCAGAAAATCCCTGTCTATCCTACCCATCCATGCTAAAATTGTTCATTATCTTCAGTCGGGGTACATCCATGCCAGATTTCATGAGCGGCGACGAAATACGAGAAAAGTTCCTCAGCTACTTCGAGGCGCAGGGGCACAGCAGGTTTGCGAGTTCATCGCTGATACCAGTCGGCGACCCCACGCTGCTGCTGACCACCGCAGGCATGGTGCAGTTCAAGCCCTACTTCACCGGCGAGGCGGAGCCCTCAACAAGCGCGCCACCACTTCGCAGAAGTGCTTTCCGCACCCCCGACATCGAAGAGGTCGGCGACGCCACGCACAACACCCTCTTCGAGATGCTGGGCAACTTCAGCTTCGGCGACTACTTCAAGGCAAACGCCGTCGATTTCGCTGTCGAATTGATGACCGAAGGCTACGGCATCCCACTCGACAAGTTCTCCGCCGCAATCCACCACACCGACGAAGAGACTCGCGGCCTGTGGGAGGCAAAGGGCATCCCCGCCGACAAGGTCTATAGCTACGGCGACGACGAAAACTGGTGGGGACCCGCAGGCGACGAGGGACCTTGTGGTCCTTGCAGCGAGCTGCACTACGACTACGGCGCAGAGTACGGCTGCCTGCAGGGACGACTGCGCCCCGAACTGCACCAACGTCATGGCGGACGGCGTCGTCTGCGACCGCTATGTCGAGCTCTGGAACCTCGTGTTCATGCAGTACTACCACCACCTCGACGGCACGCGCACCAACCTGCCCGCGCCCAGCGTGGACACCGGCATGGGCTTCGAGCGCCTCGTGCGAATCCTGCAGGACGTCGATACAGCGTATGAGACCGACCTGTTCACGCCCATCATCGCCGCAGTCGAGCGCGTCAGTGGCAAGAGCTACAACAACCCCGACGACACCTACGCAATCCGCGTAGTCGCCGAGCACGGACGCAGCGTGACATTCCTCATCGCGGACGGCGTGGTGCCCGGCAACGAAGGGCGCGGCTATGTGCTGCGCCGCGTCATCCGCCGAGCCATCCGCTACGCCCGGCGCATCGGCATCGAGGGCAACTTCCTCGGCGAAATCGCGGACGCCACCATCGATAAGATGGGCAAGGTCTATCCCGAACTCGTCAACAACCGCGACTTCATCCTGACAGTGCTCAGGCTGAGGAAGAGCGCTTCCAGCAAGCCTTCCAGAACGGCTACAACATGCTCTCCGAGGCTCTTGAAGGTGTGGACACGCTCGACGGCGGCACTGCCTTCCGCCTGTGGGACACATACGGCTTCCCCGGAGATGACGCAGGAGATCGCCGCCGAGCAGGGCGTCACAGTGGACACCGAGGGCTTCGAGCGCGAAATGGAGCGCACAGCGACAGCGTGGCAGAGCATCCGCGCAGTTCGGCGAGGAGCGCGCCAAGATTCGCCAGTACGAGAGCCTCGGCGTGGGCGCAACCCAGTTCCTCGGCTACGAGCAGATCAGCGCATCATCGCCCCGTCAGTAGGACTCATAGCCGACGACGAGGTAGTCAGCGAGGCAACCGCAGGTCAGAGCGTAGAAGTCGTGCTTGTGCAGACGCCCTTCTACGCCGAGGGCGGCGGCCAGATAGGCGATGCCGGCACGCTCACGGGTCCCGATGGCAGTCATCGAAGTGCACGACACGCAGGCAGTCATGCCCGATGTCATCATGCACTTCGGCAAGGTCAAAGTTGGCACCGTGCGATTGGGCGACACAGTTGAAGCCAATGTTGACCCGACACGCCGCGAGGACACGGCGCGCAACCACACGGCGACCCACATGCTTCACGCTGCCCTCCGCGAGGTGCTTGGCCCCCATGTGCGACAGGCTGGTTCGCTCGTTGCACCTGAAAGGCTGCGCTTCGACTTCTCACACGTGCAGCCCGTAACCGACGATGAGTTGTGGCAGGTGCAACACCTCGTCAACGAAAAGATACGCCAGAACGCCGGCGTCCACCGCGACGAGGACACCTACCAGTCCGCGATTCAACGCGGCGCGCTCGCATTCTTCGGCGACCGCTACGGCGAGCGCGTGCGCCTAATTGAGATCGCCAACGGCGACATCTTCAGCTTCGAGGTCTGCGGCGGAACGCACGTCCATCACACTGGTGAAGTCGGCAGCGTCTATATCCTCGGCGAGTCCAGCATCGGTGCCGGCATGCGACGCCTCGAAGCCGTCAGCGGCAGAGCAGCCGAACGCCTTGTCTGGGAGCGCTTCAATCGTGAAGATGGGTTAGCAAGCACGCTGAACACCACGCCGCCCGAACTGGGAAACGCGGTTCAGCGAATCCAGGACGAAAACGACGATCTGCGTAGGCAGTTAGCGACTCTTGAACGGCAGAACACCCTGCAAGCCGCCGAGATTCTCCTCGACTCAAAGCAGGACATCAACGGCGTATCCGTCCTGTCGGCGCGCACCGAGGCGTCCAATTCCGACTCGATGCGTGAGATAAGCGACTGGCTCCGCGACAAGATGGGCAGCGGCATCGTCGTGCTCGGCGCGGTCATCAACGACAGGCCCACCATCAGCGTGGGCATCACGCGCGACCTGGTTGACGGCGGCGCGGACGCCCGCGACTACGCCCGCGATCTTGGCAGGATCATCGGCGGCGGCGGCGGCGGACGCCCCGACATGGCGCAGGCAGGCGGTCGCAACGCCGACAAGCTCGACGAAGCCATCGCAGGCGCAGCCGACATCGTCCGTCAGAAGACCGCTTCGTGAGAATACTCGCGCTAGATGTAGGAGACAGGCGCATTGGCGTAGCCCTCAGCGACCCGCTGGGCATTCTTGCATCGCCCCTCACGACCATCGACCGCAGCACACCTGACACCGAAGCCGCAATAGACGCTGTGCTTGCCCTCGCTGAACAGCACGAAGCCGCCGAGATACTCGTCGGCATACCCTACCTGATGTCTGGCCGCATCGGAGCGCAGGCGCGCATCACGCTCGACTTCGCCCAAGCCCTGTCAGAGCGCACAAACATCCCCATCACCCACACCGACGAGCGCCTCTCATCCGTCCAGGCCGACCGAATGCTCACCCAGTCCGGCACATCAAACACGCGCGACAAAGGCCGCACCGACTCAGCCGCCGCAGCCGTCATCCTCCAAGCCTACCTCGACGCCAGAAGCTGACAGGTTTCCCCTGAATCGTCCGCTCCATTCAGGTGGTGCTACTCAAAGCAGTTCCAGAAAAGCCTGTAAGTCTATCTCCGCATCCTTCTGAATACCGCTCAGTCTCTGGCGCCTGATAGGAGTATGTGCGGGGCCGGTGACCTTGAGTGTACGATCACGTGTATGCTCTTGCAGGCGTATATGATATCTGCATAGCCTTACAACGACCCACCCATCACGCTACATCGCGTGATTACTTGTCAACTACGTCCAAACTGGTCGGCACTATAATATGGTCTACGCCGTCCACGCTTATCAAGACATCTGTGTATCCCTTGACCACACCTACCCTGCCATGCAAGTGCTTCTTTCTAGCCTTATCGTTCACTCTTATCTTATCTCCAGGTTGCAAGCGTTGACGAATTAAGTCCTGCATTGTTGTTCTCCTTTCACTGAAATGCACGCTCTTACTTGTATTGTACCCAGTATGGTCAGAATCAGATGGACTCAATTTCCTTTTCGGGGCGGGTTGTTGACGTTGACACTTCGACACGTCGTTCGTATCGCGTAACGAGAGGTGCTAATGAATAATCCCCTTTGACACTGACCCAGAAATCATCGCAGAAGAGCAAAAGGCAGTTCAGCAGCACCGAGAACAACAGATTGTCAAGTACGCTGCGTTCAATGAAGTGGGATGCTTGTGTACTATTGAGTCGCACATATGAATTTAGGCGATACGATGGCATTCGTTCATTCGGACGAAAATAGCATTCGACAAAGCTTCTTCGGCTCGGAACATGAGCTTCGCAATGTATCGGCTGAATATACTGTCGTGTATGTGAATGCCGTAAAGCAGTCGACAGAGGGGAACGGGGTTTAGGCTCGGTGGTTACTTTCTTAATAATCCCCATTTTTCGCCACTTTGCAAATGTCAGTCTGCATATAGTGGCGTTTCCATTCAAGTGGCAATTCATTGCCTTCATCGCTGCTTTCGCAGGAGTCCGGAATGTAAATTCTACGAAACCACTTGAAGGCAAATGCTACTACGCTGCGATATGGATCGCGCCCTTATGGACAGGATGCGCCGACAAAGCCCTGCGCATCCTGTCCATACTGTACATCCGCATGAATTCCTAAAGCCGCACAACCATCTGCACCTGTCCGGACGGCTTCATCAGCGACTCAAACGCACCCTGTATATCGTCCAGCGGCAGGAAGTTCGTTTCGCCAATCATAGGCTCCACATTCACCAGTCCCGCGCGCATCAGCTCCAGCGCAACGCGCCAGTCCTCCGGCTGTGTGCCGAAACGATGCTTGCAACTTCACCTCGCGCGCCATCCAGTCCGGCGTAACCAGCGGCGTCGGCTCCCACGCGATAGCCACCAGCACCACCTGGCCGCCACGTTTTACGATGTTCAGCGCACTGTCGAGCGTTGACGGATTTGGCACGGCAGCGCACTCGAACACGATGTCCGGCCCCACGCCGTCTGTCAACTCCACAAGGCGCTCTTCCACATTCTCGGTAAAGGGGTTGATGACCGCATCAGCTCCAAGACTGCGCGCCGCCTCTGCCCTCGCAGGCGCAGGCTCCGACACGAACACCGATGTCGCACCCGCCGCCCTTGCAGTCTGCATGCAGAACAGCCCGATCGGCCCCGCGCCCATCACCAGCACGCGATCCCCCAGCTTTATCTGCGACAGCCGCACGGCATGCACTGTCACCGCGCACGGCTCAGCAAGCGCAGCTTCTTCATCGGATACGCCGTCCGGTATCGGCATCGGCTCCCAGTCCTCTAGCTGCACATACTCCGCGTATGCGCGCGTCTTCGCGCCCTCCGGAAAGCCCATCGTGCGATAGTTGTAGCGCGGGTCGTTGCGCGGGCCGCTCGGCACATACCCCGGCGGAGGATTGCCGCCGCCGCCAACCACGCGATCGCCGACCTGCCAGCGCGTCACGCCCTCGCCGACTTCAGTAACGGTGCCGCAGTATTCGTGCCCCATCACCGTGCCCGGCGGCGCCACATCGTACATGAACGCATGCACATCCGTCCCGCACACCGCGCAGTATCGCACCCGAATCACCACTTCGCCCGTACCCGCCGTAGGCGTCGGAATCTCCTCGACCTCGAGGACACGCTCTCCCTTGTAAACGGCTGCTCTCATCGTTACCCTCCTTGAATTAAACACGAATAGACAGGATGACCGGGAATTGCTCCAACAGCATATCCCTTACATCCTGTCCATACAAGTCGGCTATATTCGCCCGTTTTTCGCTGGCTCTATTCGATTGCGATGGCGAGCCTAGTCGTCGCTTACGCCGTTTGCTCTCAGGTAGTCGATCGCCAGCTGCACCGTAGTGATGCCCTCAGCATCCTCGTCCGAGATCTCGATGGTCGTAGCTCCATCGCTGAACTCTTCCTCGAACGCCATGATAAGCTCCACCAGGTCGAGCGAGTCGGCGTTCAGGTCCTCCATGAAAGACGCTCCTGCCACCACTTCGGACTCATCCACGCTGAGCTTGTCAGCGACAATTTCCTGCACGCGCTCCATTAGGGTTGCCACTTCTGTTACCTCCAGGGTTGTCAGTTTGTAAGTGTTTCGAGTTGTTCAGTGTGAATCCGACTCGCCGCCGCCATCACGCTCCCCAGAACGCCGTTGATGAACCGCGGCGCGCTGTCCCCGCCAAAAGCCTTAGCCAGCTCCACCGCCTCGTTCACCGCCACTCTCGGCGGCGTATCCTCCGAGACCATTATCTCATATATCGCCATCCGCAGGATATTCCTGTCCACCACCGCCATCTGGCCAATGGGCCATCCGGGGGCAAACTCCGCAATTATCTTATCTATTTCCGCGGCATTTGCAAAGATACCGTCAAGCATTGCGCGCGCAAATGCCTCGTCCCACTTGGATATCGCAGTCTCAGCCAGTCGCACATCCAACACCTCTGTCGCGATATGCTCGACGGTATCGGCTTCATAGAGGGACTGCAATACAATGGCGCGTGTGCGCCGACGCCCAACCACCGCGCTGGAATCCGCCTTGGCGTAGGCGTCCGCCTGAGCATGCGACTGAAGCGTCGCGGCGTCCGGCACAGACCTAATTCCTACCGAGACTGAGTATGGATTCGAGGTCGCCAACGCTCGTAATCTGCGAGCGCCGCGAAATGCGCTTGACCATGCCGGAAAGCGCCCTGCCCGGGCCGATCTCGATGAAATCGTTCACGCCGGAATCTACCATGTAGTCCACAGTCCGCTTCCACTGCACGCAGCTGCATATCTGGGAAATGAGCTCTCGCTGCACCTCTTCAGCAGTTGTAAGAGGCTGAGCGCTGCAGTTGCCAACAATGGGAATCTGAGGATCGTGGAACTTCACGCTGTTGATGGCTTCAATCAGTCCTGCGCGCGCCGGCTCCATCAGACCGGAGTGGAACGCGCCGCCAACGCGCAGGGGAACGGCTTTCTTCGCGCCACGAGCGGTAGCGAGGTCGCAGGCTCGCGCAACGCCCATAATGTCGCCGCTTATGACTATCTGCTCTGCAGTATTGATGTTGGAGACGTAGGTGCCAGTCTCGACGGCAATCTCTTCCAGGGTCATCTCGTCCAGCCCGATGATAGCGGCCATCGTGCCGGGGTTCTCGTCGCATGCAACCTGCATCAGTTCGCCGCGACGCTGCACCAGCTTCGCCGTATCACCGATGTCCAGCACGCCCGATACCGCCAGCGCCGTATATTCGCCGAGGCTGTGCCCCGCGGTTACGACCGGCTGCGGCATATCGTCGCCGAGGCGCTCTTCCATCGTCTTGATGCATGCAAGACTCACAGCCATTATGCCGGGCTGTGCGTTTATAGTCTGCCGCAGGTCGTCTTCCGGCCCGTCGAACAAGATAGTTGAGAGGGAGCGCTCAAGAGCCATGTCAACCTGATGGAACACCTCGCGCGCAGCGGGCGACTCATCATAGAGTTGCTTCCCCATCCCAACAGCCTGTGCGCCCTGACCGGGGAACAGGTAGCCCACCTTCGCGCCTTGCGTCTGCGGCATGAAGCTAAGAGTCATAGGTCTATCTCCTGTGTGCAATGTTCAGTATTCGAGCCGTCCGGCCCTTCGGCAGCAACGGACTCAGTACAACGGAATGAACAGCATTAAGGAATGTTTCACTTACATCCCTCCATCGCTGTTGGCCGTTGCAGGCATAATCAGTCGGCGTTGGAGCCGGTTGCGACGTTGCGACCGTTGTAGTAACCGCAGGATGGGCAAGCCCTGTGAGGCATCCGCGCCGCGCGGCACTGCGGGCATTCCGCCAGTGTCATCGGCGTCATCCCGAAGTGCGCCGAGCGTCCCCCTTGGCGTCCCTTTGAGTGCTTTTTCTTTGGCAGTGGTGGCATCTTCCGTCCTTAGTTTCCAATCACATCCCACCGTCGTGTGGGAAGAGCCTTGTATTTTAAGCCTTGTAATTTGGCACTTGTAATTTGGCAAATATGTCAGCAGATGTATCAACACACCTATCAATTGTAGTGTGGCTCATTAGGCAATGCAAATGCCAGAAGCGGACCCCATCTCGGATCCCTGATAACATTGTCGCAGGAACAGCTAGTGTCGTTGAGGTCAGCGCCGCAAGTCAAGCACAATCCCTTGCATTCATCGCTGCACACAGGCTTAAAGGGCATGCTGAAACCGAAGTACTGCCTTATCGCCTCGCTCATGTCGAGCATGTGCGTCTGATCTATATAGAAGTTCTCGGCCATCGCGTCGGGGAAGTTAAGCCTCGCACCCGTATTGACATCGACTTCCGGCAGATACTCCTCTTCTATCTCCATACGCACGAACTGTTCCATATCGGCGACACAGCGACTGCATTCACAGTCCACGTATGTAGTCAGTTGCGCGCTAACCCAGATACCTGCATCCGTCCTCATCATCTTCACCACTCCCGAGATGGGCGTCATAGGCGCACCATCTACAAGGCTGGCAAAATCATTCACATCGTAGGTGCGGAAAGCACCACCCATTTCCTTCAGCAGCTGCGAAACATTGAAATACATCCTTTTCACCTCCGCAGCGGCGTACTTGCCCTCACACTAAAGTAGAATTGTAGCGAGAAATGCGAATTAGTGTCAAGTTTCACGAAGTCAGCGGCTAGGTTCTGCTGACATCTGGTACACAAAGCGTTTTGAACCTGTAAAGTAAGTTTATTATGTCATTCTGAACGGAGCGGAGCGGAGTGAAGAATCTAAAATCGTTGCACATACGCCATTCATAGACTTCAGATTCCTCGCTTCACTCGGAATGACGGGGGACAGTCCACACAACCTAATCCTCGGAAACCGGCGAACTCCTGAAACCATCCGGCATTGACAAGGGTTACTGATGGGAGTGCCTTCCTTATCGGTGCCACCCTCCTTTATAACGCCCTGCTACTCCAAAGGATAGCAAATACCATGACGCGCAGGGCTGCAAAGCGCATTCCCAACCCCCGTAGTTGAGACGCACCCGAACATCCGAAACGCCGGACATCCGAAATAATTGACTGAAAGGGAGCGCAATGCTATCTTCTGCTGAGATAACATGTGGTGGCATTGCGCTCTGCATACGTGCCGCCATAACTGAGGATCGGACTTGGCACAGAGCACATTGAGGGCGCCCGCAACTGCCGCGCCCACACCCCCGGTACCGTTTACGGCAAGATAAAGCAGTCGCCAATCATCGAAATCCTGATGCTAACCGACTTTCGATGGATTTGGATCGGCTCGTTCGCATCGTTCACCGCAATGAACATGCAGATGATCACTCGCGGCTGGCTTGTGCTTCGCCTGGAGAACGACTCGCCGTCCGCGCTCACCTGGGCAATGGTATCGTTCGCCGCGCCAATGGCAATTGTCTCGCTCCTCGGCGGTGCGCTCTCCGACAGAATACCCAAGAAATACCTTATCATCGGCAGCCAGTTAGGCAACGCCGCCCTCACGCTCATCGTAGGCCTGATGGACGCCACCGGCACTATATGGCTCGGCGCGCTCATGGTTCTTGGCGTGCTCAACGGCTCCATGTTCGCGCTCAACATGCCCAGTCGTCAGGCAATCATCTCCGAGATTGTGCCGCGCGACCGCGTTATGAACGCCGTTGCGCTGAACAACACATCGATGAACCTGACACGCGCATTCGGCCCCGCGCTCGCCGGGATTCTCATCGCCTTCTTCAGCACGGCGCTGGTCTTCTATATCGTTTCCATAGTGTATGTATTCTCTGCGCTTTCGGTCGTGCGCCTCAAGAACACCGTCATCATGCCGGCCTCAGCGCGCAAGAGCATTATGGCCGACATCAAGGAAGGCTTGCGCTACGCCCTCGGTGATCCGACACTGCGCGGGTTGATAATCATGGCGTTCCTGCCCGCCCTCTTCGGCTTCACCCTCTTTGCGCTGATGCCCGCATGGGCGCGCGAAGCATTGAATGTAACCTCATTCGACCTCGGCTACCTGATGGCGGTGATGGGTATCGGTGCTCTTTTCGGTACGCTGGGGCTGGCGTCGATGCGAAACCTCAACGGGCGCGGGATGATCCTGCTGGTCATCAGCACATTCTGGGGGCTTTCCATCATTGGCGTGGCGTTCGCCGCCGAATTCGTCTCAGCGATATTTTTCCTGATTGTTTACGGGCTGCTTAGCTCACTGTACATGTCACTGAACATGACTCTGTCCCAGATATACGCCGACCCCGAGAAGCGCGGGCGCGTCATGAGCCTGTTCATGATGACTTTCGGGCTGATGCCCATCGGCGCAATCCCATTCGGCGAGTTCGCGGAGGTAGTCGGCACTCCGCAGTCGCTAAGCATAAGCGGGTTCGTGCTGACTGCCCTCACGCTCACATTCGCCTTCGCATACCCACACTTCCGCAAAATTCAATAACATCTCGCCTGTTTCCGGCAATCAGTGCTGTTGCTCTGGAACTGAGTGGCAATCTAACCCGTTCGTGTTGAGCCTGCCGAGCTACCCTCCGATCAACTCCACCCGTCCATCTTGTCCACTCTATCCATAGATATTGGTCCCCCTGTCCAATGATTATCCCAATGATTATCGACTTCCACACCCACATCTTCCCACCTGAGATGCATGAGCGCCGCGAACACTACGCGCAGCGCGACAGGACATTTGGCGCGCTATACGCCGACCCCAGGGCGCGCATCGCGTCCGCCGAAGACCTGATTGCCACGATGGACGAAGACGGCGTTGATGTATCCGTAGCGATGGGCATAGGCTGGGCCGACTACAGCGCAGCGCGTGAGGCTAACGACTACATCATCGAGGCGACAAGTCGCTGGCAGGCGCGCATAGTGGGCTTTGCTGGTATCAATCCAGCGTGGGGCGACAGGGCAGCGCGGGAAGCAGAGCGCTGCGCCGCCGCGGGACTACGCGGCATCGGCGAACTGCACCCGGATACACAGGGCTTCGATCTCGCGGACAAGAGCGCGATGGCCGAACTGATGGCAGTCGCCCAGGAACGCCGCCTCATCGTAACCACCCACTCTTCCGAACCCGTAGGCCACCAGTACACCGGCAAGGGAACCGTAAGCCCGCAGGTCCTGATGCGCTTCATCAGCAGCTTCCCGGACGCGACAATCGTATGCGCCCACTGGGGCGGCGGTCTGCCCTTCTACGCCCTCATGCCCGAGGTCGCCACCGTGCTGCGCAACGTCTATTTCGACACCGCCGCATCGCCCTTCCTCTACAACCCGCAGGTCTATTCGGCAGTATCATCGCTCGTCGGCGCAGACAAGGTACTCTTCGGCAGCGACTACGCCCTGCTGCGCCCCCACCGCCTGCTCAACGAAATCGCCGCATCATCGCTCGCCCCACACGAACGCGAAGCCGTACAAGGTGGAAACGCCGCGCGGCTACTTGGAATCTAATTGGCCTTCGGCCGAAAAATCCCAAACGAGCTCGTGTACCCGTGCAGGAATGTCGCATCGCCCACCTGCCCAATCTCGCCGTTGCAGAAGAAGCCCGTCAGCGGCACCGCGCCTACGACATCCGTGAACACGCTCGTATCGTGGTCCGGTCTGCCATACAGGTACGAGCCGCGCCCAAGACACTGGAACAACAGCGCGCCCGCCTCTGATTGCCGGCCGTCAGGAAGCCCCGATACATACTGCCCCAGCATCGCGCTCAGGTCCTGTGATGAAGTTTTCCGCGTCGCGCAGGTGGAACTGCACCGTCTGTCCCTCTTTCAGCATCTCCCCCACCGCAAGCGCCCCCCGCTGTGCGTCCACTCCCACTATGTTGCGTATCAGGAAATCCCCCAACTGCGGAGCGTCGTTCAACTCATCCATCACCACACCGAGGAACAGCGAATGTTGCGCCAGTTCGCGGTCGCGCTCATCGAGAGTCAGGAATATCTCTTTCAGAATCTCGAACGGCGTACGCCCGTCCACCTCCAGCAAAATGTTGCGCCGAGACGACGTGATGTGCATCAGGTCGCCGATAGGACGGCAGCCCTGCGCGACCACGGTATCTATCTGAACATCCCCCTCGAAGGCTACACCCACAACTCCGCTGGTATGCGTCTCACTCCCAAGATACAGCGCGTTGCCACCCTCATGGTGCGCGCCGCTCGCCAGACCGCCAATCTTCGCTCTGCTCGGAAAGGCGTAATCCAGTCCCATCAGCAGCTGCTCGCCCTGCATACTGAACGGGTCTGCAAGGATGAGGAAGTCCACCTCCGAACCCACGGGCGTATCCACGAGCGATCCCCACTCATCCGGCGGCGCATCCCCGTCCGGCAGTGCGCCGTACTGAATGTGAAACGGCGTCAGGCGTACACCGGGTAGGTGTGCCGCCGTAAGAGCCAGACCGGGCCTGTTCTCCACCTCGGTCGCCGCGCCAATCACTCCGCCCCCGCTGCACCCCACAAGCAGCGCATCGCCGAAACGCTCCGCTGCAAGCCCAGTCAGCGTCTCATAGTCAGGAGCGTAGTGGGGCGATACGAAGGCAACGACCATATGCGGCGCCAGATCGCCAAGTTCGTTCTCCAGTCTCGACGCGCACTCTTCGAACGCTTCGGCAAGCGTCGTCCCCTCGGATATAGCCGAACTCCACTTCATAGCGTTCCCTCTTCTACCTTCTGACGCGCCGCGCCGCCTGACAATCTTGGCACTCCGTATTTGGCAATCCACATTTGGCCATCCACATGGGAATTATCGCTATTCTAGCAGACAACCACTTCGCAAAGAGCGCATCCCTTTCAGTCCACCGCTCAAAGCATTACAATCCCAGTAAAACCAGATTGTCAATCCGGCTAGCCCCACATCGGAGGTTCAAGGATGAAAAAATTCGCAGGCAAAGTGGCGATCGTAACCGGCGGCGCTGCCGGCATCGGCGGCGCATCGGCGCGTCTTCTCGCCGAGCATGGCGCCAGCGTGCTCATCGCCGACATCAACACTGCGGAAGCGCAAGCCAACGCCGAGACCATACGCGCGCGCGGAGGCACAGCCGAAGTAACCTCCACAAACGTAGGACGGCACGAGGAAATTGCCGCCATGGTACAGACGGCCATCGACCACTGGGGAAGGCTCGACATCCTCGTGAACAACGCCTTCAGCCCCACGGACGAATCGGACGGGGACGCTATTGCAGTGAGTGAGGATGCGTGGGATGCGGGTATGGCGACGCTCGTAAAAGCGCACTTTCTCGCCGCCAAGTATGCCGTGCCGCACATGCGAGCAAGCGGTGGCGGAAGCATCGTCAACATCTCCTCAGTACACGGCCTGCTCATGGCGCCCCAAAAACTCATCTACGAAGCGGGCAAGTCCGCCGTCATCGGCGTCACAAAGCAGATGGCGATAGACTTCGGGCCGGACGGCATCCGCGTCAACGCTATCTGCCCCGGTCACATCGTTACCGAGCGACAGAAGGAACGCTGGGACGCAAACCCCTCCGGACTACGCTACTTCGAGGACCAGTACCCCGTGAGGCGCACGGGCGTGCCGCTGGACATCGCCAATGCCGTCTCGTTCCTCTGCTCCGATGAAGCGTCCTTCATCACAGGGCCATGCGCTCGTCGTTGACGGCGGCCTCACCATCCAGCTTCAGGAGGACTTCAGCGTGCGCCAGATGCGCTACTTCCAGGAGCATCCCGATACCCAGCTGCCCTACTGACACGCGATCCTGCAAAATGACAGCCCATTATCATATGAAACCGCAGACAGAAACCCTGAACACCCTTCACGACCACCTGAAGTCGGATCTGGACATCGTGCTGGTCGGCTTGAACCCAAGCCTGTATTCGGTCGAAGTCGGCCACTACTTCGCCACGCCGCGCAACCGCTTCTGGCGAGCCATCAACCGCTCCGGCCTGCTCACCGAGCCTCTTGACGCCAACACAGACTACAAGATGCTGGAACAGAGCATCGGCATGACCGACATCGTGAAGCGTCCGACAAGAGGGGCGTCCGACTTGCGCGCCGCCGACTATCGCGAGTGGGCGCCTGTGCTGAAGGCGAAGCTGGAACGCTTCGAGCCGCTGATCGTATGCTTCCACGGCGCAGTAGCGTATCGTAGCTACCTGAGATACGCTGAAGGCATTAGCGCATCATCCTTAGAACTGGGCTTGCAGCCACACACCATCGGACGCTCCCGCGTATTCATGGTGCCAAACCCCAGCCCAGCAAACGCCGCCTACTCCCTGGATACGCTCGTAGGCTGGTATGAAGCACTGCGCGACCTGCGCCGCCAACTCAAAGGGGATGACACTTGAGAGCTAGTGGAAACGACACCATCCGCACCTTCGTCGCCATCGAACTCGACGACGAAGTAAAGCGGCACATCACGGCTGCCATTGACGAACTTCGCCACCGGCAAATCGACAGTCTGCGACTCGTGCGTCCCGAAGGCGTGCACCTCGACGCTCAAGTTCCTCGGCGACATCGATGCTGCCCAGGTCCCGCAGGTTGCGGAAGCAATGACTACCGTCGCAGCCTTGCATGCACCTTTCAGCCTCACGCTCAGCACGCCGGGCGCATTCCCCAGCGCCAACCGCGTGCGCGTGCTCTGGCTTGGCGTTGAAGGTCGCCTTCAACGGCTCAGGCTGCTGCAAGCCGATATGGACGAGGCGCTGACAGAAATCGGATTCCCCGCCGAAAGGCACTCCTTCAACCCACACCTGACCATCGGAAGGATACACCACAGAGCGCCAGGAACCGACAGACACCGCGCAGCGGACGCCCTCACCGCACTGCCGCCGCCAGCAGATCAGGCAATCGCCGTAAACGGCATCAGCCTGATGAAAAGCACATTGCGACCGGACGGCACGGTCCATGAACGCATCGCCTACAAACCGCTTAGTGACCCTCATTCTGCCTGATGCTCGGGCCCATGCTCAGCCCCTTTAATGATACAACTGTGTCATATAGCAAATACCAATCACAAGCACTTGTTTAGATATTCAATATAGTGATATACTGTACCAGTTATAAATCGGTCATATAAGTCGTGTAGGTAGAATGAGGAGGGCGCCGTGCAACAGGCTTGGCCGGAATGCAGAGTATGTCCCGAGGGCAGCTTGCTCCCCCTGTCCGATTTCGGAAGCCAGGGGGCACCAATCCATTACAAGGCTTGGGTATGCAGCAACCCTGATTGTGGATTCAACCTCAAGATTCGCAACGGCGACGTGTACTTGAACGAACCTATAGCCAACGGCGCATCGCACATCCCACGCGCGAGATAGGCTTTCTGCTGCTTCCTTAGCTGTAATTTTAAGACTTGCCAAACGATTGGTGGTCTTTTGCGCCTTTAACAGGCGCATTTTTCGTTTAACCCCCATGTACCCCTGCGATATACCCCTGCAATGCACGCCTGCGCTATAATCCTAATATGCAATATGCTCCACCCTAAGGTAGCGGTACTGCGCGCATGAAAGGCGACTCTCATTTGTACGGATCCTCCCGCCGGCAGAGGCGAAGCAAGTTCAGGCCGGGCAAGACTCTTGGCATAGCAATGGTGCTGACAGGGGCGCTCTTGCTGACTCTCATCAGCGGCTACTACGCCTACTCTGTTAGCGCGCGCGCGCAACTCGACGACCTCAACTACGTCGTCGCGCAGCCCACACAGCCACCACGCCTATTTCAACGCCACTCGCTACTTCAACAGATATGTCTCCGCCGACAGTTCAGTTAACCGGCGGCTCCGCCAAAACGCAAAGCAAGGCGCTGCCCGCTTTCACAAAAATTGCCGCCCCTAAACCTGAAGCGGTGGCTCCCCCATCACAACCTGTACAGCAGGCAACTCCCGCCAACCAGGAGCGCCCAATTCTCCCAGCCTCGAGCTACACTTCGCTTTACCCGGCTACTCACATACACCCGAAGTTCTGGGCGCAGCCCCTATGGTCCGGAGGCGAACCGTACACATACAGCCCGGCAAACCCGGGCATAGACTTGCCTGACGGCTTTCGCGCCGTATCAGCGTCCGATGGCGCTGTGCGGAGAGGTCAGGGCGCGCTCACAAGCCGAATCACCATCCCGCTCATTGATGTCGATTCCGAGACAAAGGAGCTCGCGATACTGAACCTCGGCGACAGCAGAGCCTATGAGACGCCCAAGCACGTGGTTGGACACATACCGCAGTCCCCCAACCCCGGCGAAATCGGCAACGCATGGTTCTTCGGACATCTGGAAAGCCCCATCAGGGGCGAGGGCAATGTTTTCCAGCGACTGCCGGAAATCCCCGACCTGCTGCGCGATGGCGACGATGTATTCGTCGAGCTGCAGAGCGGAGACGGGCGCGCATTCTATACAAAACAATACGCACCGAAGTAGTGCATCAGGACGAACTGGAACTATACCCTTCGCAATTAGCGCAGATAACGCTTGTCACTTGCGTGCCGCGGCTCGTCTATGACCATCGCATCGTTGTTACCGCCGAACTCGTCGGCATAAAAGACTCGCCCGACACCGTAAACTGAAGCCCCGTCCCCTTATTCGCGCTGGTGTCAACCCCGTTCGCGGTGACCTCGCCGAACCACCTTCTGCATCACCGCCGCGAACCCGCAGGCGCCAGCACATCCTGCATCACAGAGATAAAGTTGCCTGTCGGCGTGGAAACGGTCTTGCCCTTCAGCGTCACGATGCCCGCCTGATCGACAGGCAGGAAGTTCGCCAGGCTAATGACGCCCACGCGCTGAGAGTCCTCCGGCTCAATGGTCAGGCGCGGCCCCACCGAAACGCCCATGCCAAGCTCCACATAGCGCTTTATCATATCCATGCTGTCCAACTCGACCATGATGTCGTAGTCAACGCCCCGCCGCCGAAACTCGTCCTCGAGGATCTGCCGCGTGTATGTGCCTCGCCCCATCAGGATTAGAGGCCACTCCGCAATCTGGTCAAGCGAATGCAGCGGCTCTTTAAGCAAGGGATGGTCGAGCGGCGTTATCAGCACCCGCTCGTACAGGAACAGCCCCTGAAATTCAAGCGACTCCCGCTTCTCCGAGTGCTGCACAATCCCAAGATCAACATCGCCGTCCTCCACCATCTGAAGCACTTCGGCTCGCGTGCCCGAGCGTATCCGCAGATGTACGCGCGGGTAGCGGTTGAGGAACACGCGCACCACGCGAATGAGCGTATGCGGAATAATGTCGGGCGTGGACGCAATATGCACCGGTCCCCGCTCTTCCGCCAGCGCCGTCATAGAAGGCAACGAGTCTATGCCCTCCACGAGCGGCATGACCAGGTCCGAAAGCCTCTTCCCCGCAAGGGTGAGCTGTATCGGACGCTTCACCCGATCGAACAACACCATTCCCAGTTCTTCTTCTAGCTTCTTTATATGCGTAGTAACCGTAGGCTGTCCCAGGCCAAGTTCCCGTGCCGCCTTCGATATGCTGCGCATGCGCGCCGCCGTGCTGAAACTCCTCAGTTCCCGAATCTCCATTGTTCGAAAGTCCTCCAGCAGTGTCTCTAGCCTAGATGTACATTGTTCAGATAGATATATTATATCAGGCAATATGTCTTTATGTAATGGAGTTGCCCTACTAAAATGAATATGTACCGCAGAAACCTGCTAACAATGGCAGGACAGAACGGACAAAATGCAGACCTTGAAAGCAAGGAGGTTGCACATGTTTGACAAATTCGTAGGCTCCATTAGGGGAATCCGCAGCCATCGCACCGGGTTCGACTCCTATCTCCTGAATGTCCAGAAGGGCAGAGGCGGGAATGGCCCCAATTTTGACGAGGCTCGCAAGGACTACCGCAACATTATGCGCAGCGAGTACCCGGGTTTCATCGGCTAGATTTCATCGGATATATAAAGTAAGTGGGAGCAGCCTTTCGGCTGCTCCCATCTTCGTTACGCCGCATCCTCATTTCCAATTCCTCCACATCCCCTGTCTCCTTCCCCCTTCTGTCCTCGTTGCCCTGTTCAACTTGTTAGGCTCTGCCCTTGATGTTAATCTTTAGCTGAAGGGTATCTGTTGAAGTGCATCTGTATTACAGGCTAAAGCGCCCCCAACCGATACTCTGCTAGAAGTGGCAAACAAGGAGGCATAGACCCATGAGCAAACTAAGCGCAGACGCTATCAGGCTGCTGAGCGAAGGCAAGAACCTGGCAATCATCGCCACCATAATGCCCGACGGCTCTCCGCAGGCTACCGCCGTATGGGTTGACACCGACGGCGAGCATGTCCGCTTCAACACCTCAGAGGGACGCGTCAAGACGAACAACCTCCGCCGCGACCCGCGCGTGGCAGTCGCCATACTCAACGCTGAAAACCCCTACGAGCAGGTTACGATCCGCGGCCGTGTCGTCGAGTTTGCGCATGAAGGTGCGATCGAGCACATCAACTCCCTCGCCAGAAAATACGTCGGCACAGACGAATTCGAAGGCCGCGATCCCAACGACCAGCGCGTAATCGTCAAAATCGCCCCATCCTAATGTCCCTTCCCTGCTAAATCCCCTCTCCCTAAGGGAGAGGGTTGGGGTGAGGGGAAAATACCATCCCGTACTCGAATGTAGGTAACCCATTCACAAAAAATGCTGAAATTCTTTCTCCGCCGCTCCACAACTGAAAACAAGGCAAAGACCGAACAAGCCGTCAGGCGCTCCCGCCAGACCTTCTTCGGACAGATGACGGGCCTATTCCGCCGCCAAAACATCGACGACGCCCTCTGGGACGAACTCGAAGAGCTGCTCATCTCCGCAGACGTCGGCGTGGCAACCACCTTCAAGCTGATTGAGCGTCTGCGCGACCAAATCCGCGACCGCCGCGTCTCAGACCCGCAGGACGCCCTCGCCCTGCTCAAAGAAGAGATGCTCTACCTCGTTGACTTCAAGGACACCAACCAGGCGCTCGAAGTCGATGAAAAGCCCCTAGTGATCCTCATGGTCGGCATCAACGGCGTCGGCAAGACCACCAGCATCGCCAAGCTGACCAAGCTCTATCAGGAAGAGGGCAAGAGCGTGCTCATTGGCGCAGCCGACACATTCCGCGCCGCCGCCATCGACCAGATTCAGGTCTGGGGCGAGCGCTTGATGTTGACGTCATCGCCCACCAGCAGGGCGCAGACCCCAGCGCAGTCGCATTCGACACGCTGCAAGCCGCCCGCGCCCGCAACGTCGATGTCGTCATCATCGACACAGCAGGCCGACTGCACACCAAGTTCAACCTCATGGAAGAGTTGAAGAAAATGCAGCGCGTCCTCTCGCGTCAAGGCGTCGACTCCCAGCGCGTCCTGCTCACCATCGACGCCACAACCGGCCAGAACGGCCTGTTTCAGGCGCGCGCCTTCACCGAGGCAGTCGATTGCGAAGGCGTCCTGCTGGCCAAGGTGGACAGCTCATCAAAGGGCGGCGTAGTCTTCGCCATCGCCGACGAACTCGACCTCCCCGTCCTCTTCATCGGCACCGGCGAACAACCCGACGACCTCGCCCCCTTCGACCCGGAATCCTTCGTCGAAAGCCTCTTCGCCGACCCCGATCAATAAGGAAGGCGCAGTGGTGACACAACACAATGACATTAATGTCAGTTTGGGCTTTCTTGAAAGCTTCGACTTTGACATTTTTGTCATATAATAGTATCTATTATCCATTGCAGTGAATAGGTTCAGAAACAGAGACACCGAGAGACTCTTTTACGATGGAAGAAGCCGTCGCATACCGCCCGATATCCAGCGCAGAGCGCGTCTTAGATTGCAGCGAGTAGTCTCAGCGACGAGCTTGGAATACCTTCGTGAGCCTCCCTCGCTTAGACTTGAGGCCCTCAGAGGAAATCGCAGAGGTCAATACAGCATTCGCATCAATAATCAGTGGCGTGTGTGCTTTCAGTGGACACAATCCGGCGCAACAGACATTGAGGTTGTGGACTATCACTAGGGAGAAATACAGATGACCGATGCAACTTTATCCACGCTGGCGAACACCTAGAGGAATTCTTAGACGAGTATGGCATAAGCCAGTCCCAGTTCGCCAAAATCATCGGCGTAAGCCCGTCCCGCATCAACCGCATCATCAACAGGCAGAGCCCCATCACGGCAGAAATGGCGCTGCGAATCGGTCGAGCCTTCAGAATGAGCGCCGAGACGTGGATGAACCTCCAGCAAATGTACGACTTGGAGGTTGCGCGTGCCGCAATTGATGTCAGCGGCATAGAGCCGCTCGTAGATGAACTTCCCGACGACTGGACACCCCCGCTCGAAGCGGAGCGCCCGGAGCACGCGGAACGCTCCCAAGACCTGGCAAGCAGCGCGGCGGCAACATAACATACGCCGCCCCTCGACAAGAATTTCGATACTGACGACTGACGACTGTCAACTGAAAACTAAATCAAGGAGGCACACCATGACAGCCACAGCCACAATCCGAGACCGCTACGGACTCGCCATAAGCACAACATCCACGGCAGCAGCCGAGCACTATGTCGAAGGCGTTGACCTGCTGCTCGAACAGGGCTACGGCACCGAGCAGTGCTTTCAGCAAGCGATAGAGGCAGACGAAGGCTTCGCGCTCGCCTACGCCGGATTGTCCATGATGCAGATGCTCCGCGGTGCGGCAGCGGACGCCAAGGCAAGCGTAGCCAAAGCCCAGAAGCTCGTCAGAAGCGCAACCCGCCGCGAGCAGCAGCACGTCGAAGGCGTCGCGCTCTTCACCAACGGTCAAGGCCCCAAATCCCTCGCCGTCACCCTTGAACACCTCGACGAATTCCCGCGCGACGCCGTGATGATGCGCGTCGCCAACCGCCTCTACCTGCTCGGATGTAGCGGCGCAGGAGTCCAGAATTTCCCCGAAGAGCTTTACGGCATGCTCCAGAAGCTGGAGCCGAGCTACGGCGACGACTGGGCATTCCTCGGCCAGTACGCCTTCGCCCACCACGAGACAGGACGCCTCGACGAAGCACTATCCCTCGCCGAGCGCTCCCTCGCTGCCCGCCCGACCAGCGGCCATGCCTCCCACTCCGTCGCCCACGTCTATTTCGAGAAGGGCAACGCAGTTGACGGCGGCGACTTCCTCGGCAACTGGCTCAAGGGCTACGACAGCCGCGCCCCCTTCAAAATCCACCTCTCCTGGCATCAGGCGCTCTTCGAGCTGGCGCAGGGCAAATACTCCGACGCCGTCAAGCTCTACGAAGACGTCATCCGCCCGACCGTAGTGGAGAAGAGCGCGAACTCGCTTATGGACAGCACATCGCTCATGTGGCGGCTGCGAATGTACGGCAACTGCAACCCGCCCTACCCCATCGAAGAAATCAGCGAGCAGGCATCCCCCGCAGCAACCACACCCGGTCCCGCATTCCGAGACGCCCACGCCGCACTCGCATTCGCCGCCAGCGGAGACGAAGAGCGCCTGAACAGCGTCAAGGCCCGCCTGCGAGACCTCGCCGGACAGGGAGACGCACTCGCAAAGGAAGTCACCCTGCCCCTCGTCAAGGGCATCGGCGCATTCGCCGACGACCGCTACGAAGACGCAGCGCGATACCTGGAACCCGTATTCCCGCAGCTCGCCCGAGTCGGCGGCAGCCACGCCCAGCGCGAAGTCTTCGAGACACCCTGCTGGAGTCATACATCCGCGCCGAGCAGTACGACAAAGCCGAAGACCTGCTCCGAGAGCGCCTCAACCGCCGCTCCTCAGTGCGCGACAGCTACTGGCTCGCCCGCACCAAGACCAACACCGGCGACACCGAGACCGCCCAGAACACCCTCAAAATGGTCGCCCAGCAATGGCAGACCGCCGACCCCACCTCCCCCGAAATCGCCACCCTCAACACCCTGGTCAACGCCGCTAGTAAATCCTCAAAACTAAACCAACGGCTTGGTATTCGCCAAGAATGCCGAGCCGTTTCGCTTACACAATTCCTTCAGAATCTGATAATATTAATGCCCAATAGAAGCACACACCCCACGATCAACAGGACGGGACACCATGCTCACAGGCATCGGACTCCGAAACTTCAAAGCATTCGGCAAAGGCCCAAATGTTCTCTCCGCCGACGAGCACGGTAATCTGACGCGGACAGATACTGCACCCTTGTCCAAGATCACACTAATCTACGGCCCAAACTCTGGCGGCAAAAGCTCCATCATACAGGCGCTACTGCTACTGAGACAGTCGCTTAGGAGCATATATTCCCATTTGATACCTAGTGGGTTAAACACTTATATTGATTTGGTTAGTTTTCATTCCCTGATTCACAGGCATGACGAGTTGCGTGAACTCAGGGTAGCCGTCAAGTACAGAAATATGGAACTCGGCTGCGACTGCGCAGAGAACGAAGTGGGAATGAGATTTGACCTTGACGCGGATGATGGTACTGGGTTCCTGCACGAAGTAAGCTACAAGATCACTCGAGACGGTTCTTTATTGCTCGACGCTCCCGTCATTCCAATAGGGCCTCCCTTCCAACCCTTTCAGCGGGGATCACTTCAGAGTGACCATTATGGGTTCGTGCTGAGAGGCAATGTACCAATACCTCTCATGAATTCTTGCCATTCATAGAATTGACAGAGTTACATGATAAGCGCCGAAATGTCTTGAGGACTCTGGAAACGATTGAGACGAGGGAAGCACGGGCGCAGGTGCAGGCGTTACATCAAGCACGAGCTAGTAGGATGCCAGATCCTGAAAATACCTTCGCGGCGAGAGCTTTTTTTTTTTTTTTTCTTTTTTGCAGAGTGACCTTGTCACCACAGAGAGAGTTACGGGCCTTAACGCCTGAAAAATTCCGCCACAGGACGACGGCACACTGCATTTGCTAAAACTATCTGAGGTCCATTGACGGGCCGCCGCCGAAAGGTTTACAAAGTTAACGCAGTAGATGGTGCTCAATCGGGCCATCACAGGCTCCAACGGGAGAGTTCACGCAACGTGTTGATTCAGGATCACCGCAAGAAGAAAGCAGGGGAACGATTGTTCGAACAGTTCAAAGTCAAAATACCCTCGAACTAACGTCGCAAAACATGGGCAAATAGCAGTCGGTAACGGGCGAACACATCACTATCTTCCTTAATGACAAGTGGACTGACACTCAAGTAACCCTTGCTGATGTCGGATCGGTGTTCACTCCGTGCTCCCATCCCGTAATCATCTGTTAAGGCAAGCCTCGCAGTAGGCTCGATTATCTGTGTCGAACAGCCAGAGTTACACCTTCATCCAAGCCTGCAGGCAACTGTCGCCGACCTAATGATCGACACAATAGACGAAAAACTGACGACAGCGAAACATGTGGATTGTCGAGACCCACAGCGAACTGCTCGTACGCCGGATACAGACCCGCATAGCGCAAGGCGACGTTTCTCCGTCTGATGTATCCATCCTCTATGTCGACCCTGAAGATGACGACTTCGAGGGCAGCGCAATTAAGCAGTTACGGCTGGACGATACTGGATCGTGGTTGGACGAATGGCCTCACGGCTTCTTCGAAGAAGGTCATGATACGCAATGGAGCAGTCGTTAACGCTCGGATGAAAAAGAGGGCGTCAGGGGATGCGCGCGAACGGCAAATGAATAGAAGAGCGAAAAATGGCGCGAATTAAATTCGCCATCGACCCGGAGGCTCTCCAAGAGGACGCTCCTGTGTCTTCGCAGGAGTCTGAATTTCTGCGTGCCAGAATTGACTTACTTCTGGCGTTTTGGAATTCGTTTGGTACTTGGGTTGAGCCTGAACAAATATATAAAATATTATCTGACGGCTCTCTGGCATGGGACAACGACTTGTTACAAACAATGAAGACTGCGCTTCGTCCGTTTGTAACTGGTGGCGCAAGACGCTCAGCTGATCTCGTAATTCAGCTTCAGGATGAAGAAGGTCCGCTTCCAATACTATGGGAAGACATAAGGGATTCTGAATCTTTGGGGCTATGGCTACCAGATTTCGATTTGGCCTTAGTCGGGCAACGCATTGCAAATCATATTGGGCTGGCCAATCAGTCCTGCATACATTGTCCTAGCAGCACATCGAGGTTCGTTGATGTGGCTTTGTGGCTACGAGGCGTTGCCCAATCCTGCCAGCATCAAGAGTTGGTAAGTATTGATGCAACTCGTACTATAAATCAAGGAAAATTGGTTATTGACCTATGGGACGAGACGTTTCAGCCCATTGCCAAGCGTGCGCGGGAAGTAGTAATCATCGACAGATACGCAGCGGTTCGGACCTTGAATTACTCAGATAGAAGCGGTGGATTATACCGCTTGATAGACCTAATCGATGGGAATTCGAACATACGCAAAATCACAGTGTACTCAGCCTATAATGTTGCCCGCGGAATAGGACAAAGGCCCACCAGCTTTAGGTGACCTTAAGAATTCACTAAGAAATAAACTTGGCCAGAGCAACTTCCAAAATGTCGAGTCAGTGAATCTGTACTTGGCAGCTAACGATCATTTTCGTGAAGAAGGCAGAGACAGGTTTCTGCGTTTCGATAGCATTGCGTGCGCCATAGGACATGGGTTGGATGTCTTTGAAGGTCAGAACGTTCAAGTAGGTACGACGTTTGGGCTCCTGTCGCAACCCGAAGATAAGAGATATGTAAGGGACTTGGAGCGGCGTCTGAATAGAGAAACGAGTCCGCAGGATATCATTCAGTTGCCCCTACCCTAACCCCTACTCCCCCCACCCCCACTCATAGTATAATCCCCTCATGCTCGACGCCCTCCGATGGCTCATCACCGTAGAACTCATCGGGCTGGCGGCATTCCCGCTCGCCTTCTACCTGCTCCCACGACTTGCTGACAGGGGCTTCACCCTCAGCAAACCCCTCGGCATTCTCCTCGTCTCATACCTCTTCTGGGTACTCGGACTCGCCCACATCCCCACCGTGCAGCCCATCGCAATCGCCCTCGTGCTGCTCCTGGCGGCGCTGTCCGCATACATTGCCTACCGCAACTTCGACGACCTCCGCGACTTCGTCAAGCGCGAGTGGCGCACCATCGTCATCGCCGAGGCAATCTTCCTCGTCTTCTTCATCGGCTGGACGCTCTTCCGCTCCTACGACCCCTTCATCAACCACACCGAGCAGCCGATGGACCTCGCCCTCCTCAGCGCCTCCATCAACTCGCAGGTCGGCCACCCCGAAGATCCCTGGCTGCGCGGCGAGCCGGTCAGCTACTACTACTTCGGCTACTGGATGATGGGCGCCCTCAGCCAGATTTCCGCCATCCAGTCCCACATCTCCTACAACCTCGCCCTGCGCTCATCCCCGCGATGTCGGCAATGGGCATCTTCGGCATCGTCTTCAACATGGTGCGCATGGACAAGGCGCGCAGCGGTGTCGCTGGCACAGACAGTATGAGTACGGTTAGGGCATCCGTAAGTGCCGCCCTTGCCGATAGCACACACAGAAAACTTGCCATCATCGCCGGCATCGCCGCGGCCCTGTTCCTCGTCATCGTCTCCAACCTCGAAGGCGTGCTGGAGTTCATGCGACTCAACGGCATGGGTTCGCAGGGCTTCTACGACTGGATTCGCATCAACGACCTGCCCGGCCCCATCGACATGCCGCCGCAGAGTTGGACGCCGCCCGACTTCTGGTGGTGGTTCCACGCCAGCCGCGTCATCAACACCTTCGACGGCGTCCACTTCATCGACAAACACATCCAGGAGTTCCCCTTCTTCAGCTTCCTGCTAGGCGACATGCACCCGCACGTCGATGTCCATACCCTTCATCGCGCTATTCGTCGGCATCGCGCTGAACATCTACCGCCTCCCCTCGGACTTCTGGCGCAACTATCGCAGCGTCTATCCCTACGCCATCGTGCTCACGGCGGCGCTGGTTCTCGGCGGCCTCGGCTTCAACAACCTCTGGGACATGCCCACCTTCGCCGCCCTGCTCATAGGCATACTCGCGCTCAAAGCGTACCGCGAAGGCAGCGACATTCCGCAGTCCATCGCGCTTGCGTTCTTCCCCGTCGGCTTGGCAATTCTCGCACTCGCCGCCCTGATGTACTCCCCGTATCTGCTGGACATCAACGCCGGCGTGAACGGCATCGGAGTCGTCATCACGCACACGCGCGCCATCCACATGTTCATCGTCTGGGGACTGTTCCTGACGGCGGTAACGCCCTTCCTGCTGGCGACATTCTGGCAGACCACCGTCCAGCGCGACTGGGCGGCACAGACGCTCACGGCAGGCGCGCTCGCATTCGCGCCGTGGCTGCTATGGACGCTCGCCTACCTGCCCAGCGACGGCAGCATCGAAGAGGTAATAGGCCGCTTCATCGGCATCCTCCCCCTCACAGCTCTGGTAGCGATCGGCGTCTATAATGCGCTCTATCTCGCAAGGCGGGAGAACGAAGGCGGCAGGCTGTTCGCAACGGTTCTCGCCGTGCTCGGCTTGGGACTCATCATCGGCTCGGAGTTCCTGTTCATCCGAGACTTCTTCAACAATCGCGGCAACACCGTCTTCAAGCTCTACTATCAGGCGTGGATACTGCTCGCCGCTGCATCCGCCTTCGCCGTGTACTACTGGTTGAGCACAATTCAGAGCAGGACGGGCTGGCGCGCAACATTCTCGTATGTGTGGGCAGCAGCGTTTGTCCTGCTTCTGATAGGCTCGCTTTACTACCCCCTCGCCGCTGCCAAGACCAAGCCCGACACACCCTACGCGGGCCCCACCCTCGACGGCTTGTCATTCGTGCAGCAGAACAGACCCGCAGAGTACGACGCCATCGCGTGGCTGAAACAGAACGCATCGCCCGATGCCGCAATAGTCGAGGCAGTCGGCGAGTGGAGCGATTGGGGACTCATCTCGCGCAGTACAGGCTTGCCCACAATCGTCAACTGGCTAGGCCATCAGAAGCAATGGCGCGGCGGCTGGGAGAAATTCGACGCCAACAAGCCCGATGTTTCGCGCGCCCTCCGCGACAAGTATTTCGACGACAGAACAGCCGAAGTCGAGCGCATCTACACCACCCTCGACCCTGCCGAAGCGCAAGTCATCCTCTACAAGTACGACATAGACTACGTGTACATCGGCCAGCGCGAGCGCGACAAGTACGGCATCGAAGGCATACCCCAAGTTCGACGCCATCGCCGACGCCGTATTCACCGACCCCAACGGCGAAGCCATCATCTACCGCGTCCGCTGATACCTAACGGCAACTTGCTTAGACGGTAACTGTTCGCTGAAGGCGAAAGTTCTACGCCTAGACAATAAAACTCTTAGTCTGCTAGCATGCCGGTACATAGTTGGCAAGTGAACAGACGCAGTGACTTGTGCAGAGACTACCCAATCATGGAATCTGTTCGCAGCCACCGGAGTAATACCGGAAGGAGGATGCTATGTCTCAGACCACCAATACATGCCCTTCTTGCGGAAGAGAACTTGACGACCTGAAAACCGATCCTGACGCGGCGGCGGCACTAGAACCGGCGCGCCATCCATTCGTCGCATGGGCGATTGCCTCACTGCGGATAATGTGGTCGTCCCTGCGCCATCCGGGTCAACCAGTCTGGATTGACTACCGCACTGGAAAAGTATGGCTCCAGCGTGACGACTGAGCCTCGCTCAGGGGCGTGGATCTTTATGGTGGTCGTAGGATTCGCCATAGTCGTGGCAATTCTGTCTCTGGCTGGAGCCGTTGCCCTGTCCATCTATGTGGACGCTAATCCCACCAGTCCCGCGGCGATGACCGTTAATTCCGTAGGACGCCTTTGGACTGTAGGCTCCTCCTCACTTTCCTTCGTGTTCGGACTCATAAGCGGCAAAAGACTGTAGCACGCTGCCAAGTTAGATGAAGTGACGACAGCCGCACTCCCCGTCTTCTCGCAAAGCGGGAAACTCAGTGCCGATGGGCAAGCAAAGAAAATGGGCAGGACTGGTATTAACCAATCCTGCCCATCCCGTCTATCAATGTTAGTCCCCGCTATGCAACCCGCGCGAACTTCTGCACCCTCGCGCCGTCCAGCGTCTCGCCCACATACAGGTCGCCATTCGAGTCCATCGCAACCGCATGCCCAGCGATAATGTCGCCCGGCGTATCCGAGCTCATGCCCCAGCCGCCGAGCCACTGGCCCGTCGGCGTCAGAATCTTCACCCCCGCCGGATGCGACAGCGCATTCGGACTGGGCTGGTCCGGACCAAGCCCCTGGTGGAAGCCCAGATCCGTAACGAACATATTGCCGTCAGGCCCCTGCACGATGTGGTCCGGCCTGTGAACGCCGCCCCACTCGCTCAGGTACTGTCCGTCCGGCGTGAATACCTGTATGCGACTATTCTCCCTGTCCACCACATAGATGAGGCCCTCGGCGCTGACGCAAACGCTGTGCGGAATGCGGAACTGTCCCGGACCCTCGCCCGGCTCGCCCCACGACTTTATCAGCTCGCCCGTCGCCGTGAAAGTGGTGGATCCGCGCGTTGCCATAGCCGTCGGATATGTACAGCGAGCCGTCCCCCGCTATAGCAATGTCCGTCGGCCGATTGAATGGCTCGCCACTGAACATCTCTGGCGGATCGTTCGGCGTGCCCAGCATCATCAGCAGCTCGCCCTCTGCCGTCCACTTTCGCACCGTGTGGTCGCCAATGTCGGTCGTATAGAGGCTGCCGTCGGGCCCCGCCTCGATGTGGTGCGCCGAGCCGAACAGCCCCTCGCCCCAGTGATTGATCATGTTGCCGTCCGTGTCCAGCACGATTATCGGATGCGCGCTGCGGTTATACACGAAAATTCGGTCCTGCCCGTCCACCGCAACGCCAACGGCATGGTTCCACTCCCAGCCGTCCGGCAGGCTGCCCCATCCGGGCACATGCTCATAAACATACTTCCCGTAGCTGACCCTAAGCCCTTTGTCTCCCATTGGAGTTGCCCTCCTTATTAATTGTGGCATTATTACCACTACTATCCTTGTTGTTTCACTAAAGCGGTTCATTTTATGGGCGGTATAGAAGTCCCTTCCCCTTTGATGGGGGAAGGTTAGAGCCTGCCCCTGCGAAGGCAGGGGATGGGGGTGAAATCCTATGCATTCACCTGAATAGAATCCATGCTACCCTTCACCAACGGGCAGAATTATAACACGCTTTCGTGTTAGGATAAGTCCCAACGAATTTTGCTATTATTACAAGCTAAATATCCTATTCATCCTGTCCGTCGATGGCAGTTTCATGTGAGGTCAAAAATGCTCGAACGATTCAAAGTACCCAAGAAAGACGAAGTGCGCGTTCCCATCGAGTCCCTGCAAGAGGTTATACGGGCGGTATTTGAGAAGATGGGCAACTCGGAGTCTGACGCAATCGAAGCGTCCGAAGTGCTCGCCATGACCGACCTGCGCGGCGTCGAGACTCACGGTGTCTCCAACATGCTCCGCGCCTACGTCTCCCAGTACACCAGCGGGCAGGTCAACCCGACACCCAACTGGCGCATCGAACGCGAGACACCCGGCACAGCCGTCATCAACGCCGACAAAGGACTTGGCGTCGTTCTCGGCAGGCGCGCTATGGACATCGCAATCGAGAAGGCGCGCAACGTTGGCATGGGCATCGTAACCATGAACAACGGCGCACACCTCGGCGCGGTCGGTCACTTCTCCATGTACGCCGCCCAGCACGACATGGTCGGAATGTGCGCCACCTCAGCCGGCAGAGGCGTCCTCCCCACATTCGGCGCGGAAGGGCGCTTCGGCACGAACCCCATTTCCATCGCCGCGCCCGCCAACAAGGAAGCGCCCCTGCTCTTCGACGCCGCCACATCCCAGATTGCCGGCAACAAGTTCTCCTTGGCTCGCAGAGTCGGCTCAGACCTGCTCCCCGGCTGGATTTCCGACGAAGAGGGCAACCCAATAATGGAAGAGACGCCTGTCCCCGGTGGCGAGGGTGTCAACTATGGCAGCCTGCTACCAATGGGCGGCACGCGCGAAAATGGCTCACACAAGGGCTACGGCTTCCTCATGATTGTGGACATCCTCTGCGCCTTCATGTCCGGCTCAGTCCCCTCAGTCTTCGACGAGGAATACTTCGAAAGCGGCTACAAGCACTACTTTGCCGCATACAACATCGCCTCATTCACCGACGTTGACGCCTTCAAGAACAATATGGACCAGATGCTCCGCACACTGCGCGAGACCCCGCCCGAACCCGGCAGCGAGCGCGTCCTCTACCCCGGCCTCGCCGAGTACGAAGAAGAGCAGGACCGCCGCGCCAACGGCACCCCCCTGCACACCGAAGTCATCGGCTGGTTCGAAGAAATCTGCAACGAACTCGACATCCCCCACCTACAAACGATGTAAGGCAAAAAATCCCTTCCTCCTCGATGGGGGAAGGCTAGGATGGGGGCGAAATCCTATCTATCCTGAACATACATGTCAGGCTCTACTGACATCTGATACACAAAGCGTTTTGAATCTGAAAAGTAGGTTTATTCTGTCTTGAACGGCTCTCCTATTCTGTCATTCTGAACGCAGCGCAGCGGAGTGAAGAATCTAAAATCGTTGCACATACGCCATTCACTGACTTCAGATTCCTCGCTTCGCTCGGAATGACAGGGGGGACAAATGGGAAATGTCCACACAACCTAGAAGGTGTTGATACTCTTCGTCATTCTTGCTTTCGCAGGAATCCAGTTAGACTAGGAATAACGGATGATGAGCGTTCTCGAAATAAAGCAGGCAATTCTGACGCTTAACGAAAACGATTACAAAGAGTTAATGCAGTGGATGAACGAACTGTACTGGGAAAGATGGGACGCGCAGATAGAGGCAGACTCAAAGAGTGGTAAGCTGGATTTCTTGGCAGCCGAAGCCCTAGAAGCCAAAAGAGACGGCACGCTGAAGAATGATCCTGCCTATCCTTTACATCCATGTTAGGTTCTGTTGACATTTGGTACACAAAGCATTTTGGACCTGAAAAGCAGGCTTATTCTGTCTTGAACGGCTCTCCTATTCTGTCATTCTGAACGCAGCGCAGCGGAGTGAAGAATCTAAAATCGTTGCACATAAACCATTCGCAGACTTCAGATTCCTCGTTGCTCTCGGAATGACAGGGGACAAATGGGAAATGTCCACACAACCTAGTTATCCCCGCTGATCCACTAACTGACCGACCAAAACACTGACAAACCATTGTGAGGTGAACCATGGGTAAGCTCGACGGCAAGGTAGCCCTCATCAGCGGCGGCGCGCGCGGACAGGGCGCAGCCGAAGCACGACTATTCTCGCAGGAAGGCGCAAAAGTCGTGCTCTGCGACATCCTCGACGAGCAGGGACAGCAGGTCGAAGCCGAAATCAACGAACTCGGCGGCGACGCCCTCTACATCCACCTCGATGTTGCCAATGAATCCGAATGGGAAAGCGCCGTCGCAGCCACCATCAGCAAGTACGGCAAACTCGACATCCTCGTCAACAACGCCGCCATCGTCATCCAGAAATCTGCCATCGAAGACCGCACCGCCGACGAGTGGGACCGCATCTTCGAGGTCAACGCAAAGGGCGTCTTCCTCGGCACAAAGCATGCCATCCCCGAAATGCGAAAGGCAGGCGGTGGCTCCATCGTCAACATCTCATCCGTCGCCGGCATCGGTCAGAGCCAGCACCAGGAACCCGCCTATGCAGCCAGTAAGGGTGCAGTCCGCATCTTCAGCAAGGTAACCGCATCCCAGCACGCCATTGACGGCATACGATGCAACTCCGTTCACCCCGGCCCCATCGACACCGACATGATTCAATCGGCTATGAGCGACCCTGCCCGTCTTGAAGCGCGCCTCGAACGCGTTCCGATGCGTCGCCTTGGCACCGTTGACGAAATCGCCAAAGGCGTCCTCTACCTAGCCTCCGACGACTCCTCCTACGTAACCGGCTCCGAGCTAGTCATAGACGGCGGCGCAATCTCGATGTAGGGCCGCTAGCCACTTTATTCGCTGCAGAGCGGTCTATCAACTGTTGGCAGAATTCATCAGCAGAAGCGATGTATGAGAGACACGCTGACAGTCTAAGGGGTAAATGGGCAAAGTTATCGCGACCTAACTCAACCAATTCTGTTCTTGCAGAGTTCCTAATGCATGCTCAGCTTGAGAAGAGTTGAAGTGTGGCTTCAGTTTAGTTACATAGTTTGCCACATCGCTCGGGGTGGCTTGACGATTTTTCGCTACTAGATCGGAAATACACAAAATGAGTAGTTGCAAGGAGTTCCAGTGACCTTGAATCTCTATTCCGTAGTAACTCCATAACTTCATTTATCTTCTCATTGAGTGAATCTGAGCCGAACCTTTGGAACAACTTCGCCTTTTCTTGGTCGTCGATAGAAATTCTGTAGCCGTATCCATTCGGGTCTGTCACTATAGAAACAATGCCTAAGTCAGAAAGTATCCTCAAGTCCCCCCAAAGTTCTTCCGAATATGGGCCGTAGTGATAGAGCTTGAAATTGTAACCTACATCAACGTCAAGAGCATTCTGCAGGAGATAAACAACTTTCTGAATCAATGTGTGCCCGACCCTGACCTTATGCGTCATGCCATCCTTCACTATGAGTGTTAGTATCGTCCATTTTGGAAATTGGTTTTCCATATAGAAACCTCTGTATTTGTCTTGCTTAATTTATGGGAATGTCCTGCAATATACCATCCCACTTTTGTTGGCAAAACCTTTCTACTTCCCCGCGCAGCTCTTCAGTAGAGTAGATTCGTTGCTTACGAATAGTCTGTAGAGCATTAGTAAGAGGAGAATGCTCGATCAAAGAACGATAGGTACCCTGTGTGTGCACAAAGATTGGTGGTTGACTGAATCTGTAAGGTGCTTTCTCAGCTTCGTCAATGCGAACGTCTTCAGCGCCAAATTCACGGTTCACCTCTTCCTTGAGCCACTTGAAGGCGACTAAATCTTGGGCACTGGGGTGGTCACTCGTTTCAAAGCACAAACGAAAGAACTCTCTTCGCAAGATCCTTTTCCCGAAAGTATTATCATCGTCCTTTAACTCTTGTATGAGAAGCACGTCATCAAGTTTCACGAATGCTTCCAAATCAGAAGGGAATTTATTATGCGGGAGCCAGCTCTTGAGAAATTCTGTCAAGTGGATGTCCAATATGCGCCGAGTTTTGTGATAGTACACGTCCAGGAACATGAAGTACCTAGCTAGAAGGAATCCCTCTATTGCATGAACTCCTCCTCCTTCCAACGCTAGTTCAGGGCCGTCTTTTTCTTCATTGTGCCGTATGAATAGTGTGTTCAATAGGCGGTGAGAGTCGAATTTCCCATAGGCAACACCCAAGTGATGCGAGTCTCTTGCCAAGTAATCAATTCTATCACTTCCGATGTCGCCTGTAAGAATCTCGGATAGAAAACTGTCAGACGCAGACTTTGCCTTTTCTGTAGCAATTTCGGCTACTCGGATTTTTGCTCCGTCTCCCAGTTCCCTATCGATAAGTTCTCCAATTTCTGTCTCGGTAACTATTCTGTAAGTATATTCTTCGTGTTCTACTTCATCTGGGAATAATTCTTCAGTTGCATGGGAGAAAGGAGCATGTCCAACATCGTGGAGCAGAGCGGCCAGTCGAAGGAATTTTCTGTTCTCTTCCGTTTCTTCTACACTCCAACTTAAGATTTCTCTAGTATCAGGCCTTTTCATCAGTTGATCGAATAATTCTCCGGTTATGTGGAGTGCACCCAGTGAATGCTCAAATCGAGTATGATTGGCTGTAGGATAGACTAGATTTGTAGGTCCAAGCTGCAATATGCGTCTTAGTCGTTGAAAATGATTCGAATCTACTATTCTCTGCTCTAATTCATCAAGTGTGATGAATCCATATATTGGATCACGATAGTCGTATGCGACCAACTTCCTCCTCCTTGCCGACGAAATATACCAAAGGCACAGAAGTTCTGCAACTTCTTACCGTAAAAAATGGCTTCTATTCGCACATAGAATTAATCAAAATGTGAAAATGCCAACGAACTCGCTCTCACCCACCCCACCCACAACAAAGGACCCTCCCCCACCATGCCCACCAACCCCCACTTCACCATCCTCACCGCCGACCGCGTAATTGACGCCAAAGGCGGCACACCCATCGACAACGGCGCAGTTCTGCTCGAAGGCTCCACCATCGCCGCCATAGGCCGCGCCGCCGACATCCGTGCCCCCGAAGGCGCAGCCGTGCAGACCGTCCACTACCCCGGCTGCACCATCATGCCCGGCATGGTGGACTGCCACACGCACCACAACGGCTTCGGCGACGGACGCCTCGGCGACGACCTAGCCCAACTCCCCGACGAGGTGCTCACCCTTCAGTCCGCCAGAAACGCCCGCGCCAGCCTATTCTCCGGCGTAACCACAATCCGCGAGAACGGCCCCAAGAACGTCACCATGTTCAGGCTGCGCGATGCCATCAACGCGGGACTTACGATTGGCCCCCGTATGGTGCTCTGCGGTCGCCCCGTCGCCATCATCGGCGGGCACATGGGCTACTTCGGCGGCGAGGTCACAGGCGCAAACGATGCCCGCGCACTTACCCGTCAGCTCATCAAGGAAGGCGCAGACTACATCAAGATAGTCGCCACCGGCGGAACTACGCGCACATCGTTCCCAACTCTGCCGTCCTTCAATGTGGACGAGCTCAGGGCAATCACCGACGAGGCGCGCAAGTTCGGCAAACTCACCGCCACGCACTCCTCGAACTCCACGGCAGGCATCGCCAACTCCCTCGACGCCGGCGTGGACATGATCATCCACTGCTATTACCTCGAAGCCGACGGCTCCGATGAACTTCCGCGAGGACGTCGCGGAGCGTATCGAACGGCAGGGCGCATTCGTCAACCCCACGCTGCAAGTCAGCCGCGCAACCGCCTGGGACCTCACCCACAAGCGCGAGGAGCAGACTGACCGCCCAGCGAGCAGTCCGAGCTTGAGCAGCCCGCGCCAACCTCGACGTCCGCCTCGACCACACCCGCCGCATGATAGACATGGGCGTGAAAGTCATCACCGGCTCCGACTCATCCTGGAGCAGCTACCAGCTCGGCAACACCGTTACGAGACCGAACTGCTCGTGCATGCCGGATACACCCCCGATGCAGGCGTCCTCTCCGTAACAAGCTGGGCAGCGGACGCGCTCGGAGTATCTGACACAGTCGGCACCCTCGAACCCGGCAAAGCGGCAGACATCCTCGTCGTGCAGGGCAACCCCGCAGACGACATCAACGCCCTCTGGAATGTCGAGGACGTATTCCTAGCAGGGCGCAAAATCGAACGCGGCTCAGAAGACTCCATCGCCGCAGTCCGCCAGCCTCCCGCACAGATATAGGCACGTAAATTGCAAAAGTCCCTTCCCCCTCGATGGGGGAAGGTTAGGATGGGGGTGAAAGCAGCGGAACAGCCAGCCACTTCGCTTCCTGTAAGTGCTTGTCATCCCGTCAGCCCCTTTAACTGCATTGAATACGGAGACCAAAACATGCCACCAACCGCCCCCCAGTTCACCATCCTGAAAGCCGCCCGCCTCATTGACACAGCCGCAGAAGCCGTGCATGAACAGGCAGCAATCCTTCTCGAAGGCAGCACCGTCCGGCAAATTGGCACGGCAGAGACTGTCCACGCCCCCGAAGGCGCGTCAGTGCAGGAAATCGACTACGGCGACGCTACCATCCTGCCCGGCCTCGTGGACTCCCATGTCCATCTGAACGGCATCGGCGACGGACGAGCGGGCGACGAGCTTGTAACCCTGCCCGACGAGGTGCTGACCGTTCAGTCCGCGCAGAACGCCCGCCGCCACCTCTACTCCGGTGTTACCACGCTGCGAGACTGTGGAGCAAAGAACAGCACCACATTCATGCTTCGTCAAGCGGTTGACTTGGGCATCGTCCCCGCTCCGCGCCTCGTGCTCGCCGGCAGGCCCGTCGCAATCATTGGCGGCCACCTCAGCTACTTCGGCACCACCGCCACCGGCGTCGACGAGTGCCGCGCAGCCGCCCGTCAGCTCATCAAGGAAGGCGCGGACTTCATCAAGATTACCGCCACCGGAGGCAGCACCCGCACCAGCCACCCGCTCAGGCCGTCCTTCGATGTCGGAGAGCTGAGCGCAATCTGCGATGAAGCCCACCGCTTCGGCAAGCACGCCGCCGCGCACTGCGCGTCGTCTCAGGGCATGGTCAACTCGCTAGACGCAGGAATCGACACCGTCATCCACGGCGTCCACAAGGACCCCGACGGCGCGGACACCTACCGCCCAGACATCACCGAGCGCATCGCCGAGCAGGGCGTATTCGTCAACCCCACGCTCGGGCAGGGCGTGGCGCGGATCCGCATGCTCGAAGACATGGAGAATCTCACCGCCGCACAGCAAACCGAGCTTAACGCCGCCCGTCAGACCTCCGATGCGCGAATGGACCACTTCGCCCGCATGCGAGATGCCGGAGTGGTAATGGCAGCAGGCTCTGACTCCGCGTGGTCCTACTACCCCATGGGCGACTACCAGACCGACATTGAGGCGCACGCGATGGCGGGCATGTCCAACATGGAAGCCATCGTATCCGCCACCCGCGACGCCGCAAGGTCCTGCTGCATTGACTCGCTCGTGGGAACGCTCGACCCCGGCATGCAGGCGGATGTCCTAGTCGTCAACGGCAACCCCCTCGACGACCTAGCCGACCTCCGGCAAGTAGCCGACGTATTCCTAGCCGGCAACCGCATCGACCGCCAGAACCTCATCTAACGCCGCACAGCTGCTGACCTCATTGGCGCATGCTGACTTCAGCCATGTTGTCCCTTTCCCCTCAGGGACTGAGAGGCGAATGTAAAGTCTGAACAAAAAGGCTCGCTTATTCTGCCATTCTGAACGCAGCATCCCTTCACTGTCACCCTGAACACACCGTCCCTCCCTCTGTCATTCTGAACGCAGCGCAGCGAAGTGAAGAATCTAAATTCGTTGCACATACGCCATTCACAGACTTCAGAACCCTCCCTAAGCTCGGAATGACAGAGGCAAGCGCGCTTCTGCAGAACAATAACGAAATCACTCTCCCTCCCACCAAAATCTTTTGACTTTATATTGGACATTGGTTAGCATTCTCAAAGCATATACCGCACCGGTGCATGCCCTGCCCCAAATTAGAGTACACATCCGCGCTTCCCTCACCTTTTCCAGCAATAAACTTCACCATATTTCCTACAGGCGTCCCTTAAGCCAGTTGCGCTGGAACGCTCATATCTGTGCCAATCTGAAGTGCAAACTGGAGACACTACCCCAATTTCATGAATGAGGCAATCGTTTTCAGCGTACTGCTCGTCGCGCTCGTGCTGTTCATTACGGGCAGGATACGCTACGACATCGTTGCCATCGGCGCGCTTCTGGTCCTCACGGCCTTGCGTATCATTCCGGCGTCCGTTGCCTTTCATGGATTCGGCCACCCCGCGGTCGTAACCGTCGGAGCCGTCCTTATACTCAGCAAGGTGCTCGAAAACTCCGGCGTCATCGATGTCATGGAAGGCTGGTATTCTCGCGTAGGCAAGCGTCTTACCGTACAGGTATTTTCGTTGTCAGGACTGGTAGCCGTCCTGTCCGCATTCATGAACAACGTGGGGGCGCTCAGCCTGATGATGCCGCTTGCCATCAGGGTCGCCAGCAGCGCAAAGCGTCCCTATTCGCCCTATCTCATGCCCCTGTCCTTCGCTTCTCTGCTGGGCGGACTTACCACTCTGATAGGGACTCCGCCCAACATCATAATCTCCGCTTTTCGGCAGGAAGTGGTTGGCGAATCATTTCACATGTTCGACTTTACGCCGGTCGGAGCGTTGGTCGCCATCTCCGGACTGCTGTTCATCTGCTTCGTCGGCTGGCGTCTCATCCCTTCCAGGCGACCGCGGGCAAGCTTGTCCGATGCAATCGACATCGCGGACTACATGGTGGAAGTGCGCGCAACTGAGAACTCGCCGTTCGTGGGCAAGCTCGTCCGAGACCTTGAGGAGTCCGTCGGGGAAGATGTGGCGATCGTAGGGGCTTATTCACAGGGAAAGGGGCTACGGCGCCCCGTCCAGCTACCAGATTATCGATGTGGGCGATGTGTTCATCATCGAGGTCGCGCCGGAAGACCTCAGAACATTCATGACCCAGACCGGGTTCGCGCTGGAAATCTTCAGGACATACGCTCCGATGTAGTGCAGACGGTCGAGTCCGAGGATGTGACGCTGCTTGAGGCAGTAGTGATGCGCAACGGCGTTGCGGATGGCAACACGGTGCGAGACATTCACATGCACCCCGCGTTCGGCGTCAATCTCCTTGGCATATCCAGAAGAGGCAACAGGCTGGTGACAGGGCTCAGCCAGCTGGTGCTGCAAGTGGGCGATGTGCTGCTGCTTCAGGGCAGGACCGAGGTCGTGCAGGCAGCCCTGCCGCAGCTCGGTCTGCTTCCTCTCGCTCAAGCGCGAGTTGGGCGTCGGGCAGCGCCGCCCCCTGCTGGTTCCCATAGCCATTTTCGCCGCCGCTCTCCTGCTGACCATATTCAGCGTCATCCCGATCCACATATCCCTGCCGGGCGCGGTCGTCCTGCTGCTCGTCAGCCGCTTCCTCTCACTTCAGGCCGCGTATCAGGCGGTCAACTGGCCCATCATCATCCTGTTGGGCGCGATGATTCCAGTGGGCGAAGCCTTGGAGACACCGGCGGAGCGCTCCGCATCGCCTCAATCGTAACCGACCTCGGCGAGTCCCTGCCCCGTGGAGTATGGTCGCGGTCGTTCTTGTCATCACGATGCTCTCTGTCCGACTGGATAAACAACGCCACCGCCGTGATCCTCATGGCACCCGTCGGACTCGGCGTTGCGGCAGCATCGGAGCGTCAGTTGACCCGTTCCTCATGGCAGTCGCAATCGGAGGCTCCTCCGCATTCTGTCCCCATTAGGCCACCAGTCCAACACCATTGTCATGGGCCCCGGCGGCTACCACTTCGGCGACTACTGGAGGTGGCCCTCCCCCTCGACATCATCATCGTCGCCGTATCCACTCCACTGATAGTCTGGTTCTGGCCCCTCGGCGTCTGACCCCCAGCGCATTATTGCTTCCCCTCCCCCTCTGTGAGAAGGCTAGGCCCTGTTGACACGTGATGATATGACCCATATTGTCCCTTCCCCCTCGATGGCGAAGGTTAGGATGGGGGTGAAGTCGAAATCAAGCACAACATTGAATACAACACCAACACCCTTGGCAGCAATCCCGAAGAAGACTAGGTTCTGAGGGACACTCACTGCCCACAGCAGTCTGACCTGAAAAGCAGGTTATTCGTTAGTTCTAAACGGAAGGCCTCATTCCTATCATCCGAACCCATCGCGCTTCTATGCTGTCATTCTGAACGAAGCGCAGCGCAGTGAAGAATCTAAGATCGTTGCAAATACACCATTCGCAGACTTCAAGTGCCTCGCCTCGCTCCGTATGACAAGGGACATCTAAACGCAGCACCCCTTCACTGTCATTCCGAACGCAGTGCCCTTTTATTCCGTCATTCCGAACCCAGCGCCTTCATCCCCTGTCTTCTGAACGAAGAGCCAGGCAGAAGTAGTGAGAGACTAAGATCGTGCAGATACACCGATTCGCGACTTCAAGTTACCTCGCTAGTCTCAGTATGACACGTGACATCTAAACGCGCATCACTCTCCTGTCATTCCGAGACGCAGCGCCCATTTTATCCGTCATTCGCCAACCCAGCGCCTTCACCTGTCATTCTGAACAAGCAGCGCGAGCGTGAAGAATCTAACGCTCGCTGACCCATACGTCCATTCACAGACTTCAGATCAGCTCCCTCGAATGACAGGGACAACGGGAAGCAGTCCACGCAACCCTAGCGTGAGGATAAAGTTAGCTTATTCCGTCATTCCGACGCAGCGCCTTTCATCCCCTGTCATTCGTCCGACCCAGCGCTTCACACCCACCTGTCATTCTGAACGCAGACGCAGCGCGCAGTGAAGATCTAAGCTCGCTTGCACGCACATGCACAGCCATTCACGACTTCAGATCCCTAGCTCCTCAGGAATGACAGGGACAATCGAACAGCCATCACCACACCCAACGCATCATGGCAGCAAAACCACCCAATCCGTCAGCGCCCGCTTGCCCGCACGTCCGCAATGATAAGATACCCCCATCATCTGACACTGGAGGAAAGAATGCCCGACAAGAAGAAAGTCTTAGTAACCGGATTCGGCGGCAGAATAGGCAAAGTCCTGCGCGACCACCTCGGCGACAAGTACGAGTTCAGCGGCATCGACCGCATCCCACTCGAAGGCTTGGACTCCCTCACCGCCGACCTCACCGACCTCGAAGCCATCGCCCCCGCATTCGAGGGCAAGGACGTCGTAGTGCATCTCGCCGCCGAGCCGCGCCACACCCCCGACATCGGCTGGGACCTGCTCATGCCCGACAACGTAATCGCCACCGCCAACGTCTTCGAGGCAGCAAAGCAGGCAGGCGTCAGCCGCATCATCTTCTTCAGCTCCATGCACGTCGTCGGCATGTACGAGCGCGACCAGCCCTACACCGCCATCGCCGAAGGCGACTACGGCGACCTCGACCCTGCCACCGTCCCCCTCATCACCCACGACATGCCCGACAGACCCGACGGCCCCTACGCCGTCAGCAAGATATTCGGCGAAGCCCTCGGTCGCTACTTCGACGAAGACCACGGCATCAGCGTCATCTGCATCCGTTTCGGCACTACCAGTCCCGACGACCGTCCCGGATCAGACCCCGCAGCTTCGTAAGCTGGTTCAGCCACCGCGACATAGCTCGCATGGTTGAAGCCTGCATCGAGGCCGAAAACATCGGCTTCGACATCTTCTACGGCGCCTCCAACAACACCTGGAAAATCTACGACACCCCCCGCGCCTGGCAAGTCCTCAACTTCCACCCCCAGGACAACGCCGAAGCCTTCAGGTAGGTAGTTGCAGGACAACCTCAGAACATACAGCGTGCGATTGGAATATGGAATAATGACATCCTATTACGAAAATCCACACATCTCACTATCAGGCACACTTGCCTTCCTCCAATCTGCTTCCAGTGTTGAAGTTGAGGCGGCAAGTGGTATTAGCCCTGTACCCGAGAGTCTCGACAACCTAGACTGCATTGACCTTTCATTCGCTGGAGATGATCTCATTGACCGGAAACCTAAAGGACCTCAAGGATCAACTACCGAAGAAATTCAGCAAGCGTATGGGCCGCTTCTCAAGATTTCGAGACAGAAAGACTGCCCTAGCATCGAGGGTAGCTTCGCAATCTGTTGGCAGCCACTGAGTTTCCTTGCGAGACTAAGGTACGGCACCAAGTCGAATGAGGAAGCCAGCGTTGCCATTAAGCATCAAAGAGCATATTTTTGTCAGCTATCTGAAATAGTCAGACGAATGAAGCCAACGTGTTGAGCCAGACGCGTTATTGTGTCTGACAAGGACGCTGCAATCTTCATTCACCTCTCAGTGGGGCTTATTCTGCTCTCTGAGCAGGTTTATGGAGGGCAATCTGC